TTGTAGTAAATCTGATAATGTTAATTTGACGTGAAAAAGAATAAGCCGATTTAGGATAAATAAGAAAAATCTAAATTGAGATAAATTAAAAAATGCCTAATTTAGTTGTATTTGTAAAAGCAAATTTATGTTAAATCAGAAAAATTTAATTTCCAATGATTTAGAAAAGTCAATGTACTTGAATAATTTACTTTTCTCCTTGTGAGTTGTACGATATTTTTCTGTACTGTCTGCAGTCTCTGCTGGCGTTTTCTTTTTTTTACTTTCAATATGATTCTGGAAAGGAATACATTCTGAAATCAGCAATTCTTATTCACTAGTTTCCAGTCGAGACAAAGAGTTTGCAATCGGCAAGTTTGATCTGGAAACAAAGCAGAGCGGAAGAAATAAAGAAAAGTAAATAATAAAAAACACAAAGCGGCGCTCTGAGGGTGCGATGCATCATCTGGCGCGACACACATTTCAGTATGCAAATTCCCCGCGCTGCCACTTTGCGCTGCTTTCAGACAGGAAAATACACCCTTCTTTATCCACTCTCGGCAGCCGGAATATCAATGATTTTATTATATATTATGCAAGAGTTTCTTTCGGCTCCATCAATCATGCCCGACAACGGAATAAAAACGGCCAATATAACTGCGAGGGGATTGAAAACATTTCTATTTGGTCAAACTCTCGGATGAGTTGAGCTTTGATTGCGGCCGAATAAATTCCAGATCTGATAATAACTCCGTTCATTTGCATAAATAAATCGCCCACGCGCTCGGAATCGGACCGAAGAAGTAGAAATTTATTCAAATTCCGACATGTGTCGTCCTCGAGATTGTAGAATGAAGCGCACGAGAGAGCGAAATAAATCACAAGGACTAACTCAGTTCTTCTTATATACGTACAAAAATTGATTTATGCCGTTTTTAATTTGAATTTCCTGGCGATAAAAGGGAAGCTCGAGTCGGAATGTAAAACGGCTCATTATGCTGCTCCATTGTGCGATCACCGTGGAGAGGAACGCATTTTCCAATCAAATATGCATGAGTTGAAAAGCCTTGAAGCACAAAATAAGATTTGTTTGAATTTCAAAAAAGGTCGTGAGCGTTTTAAAAGAACAATGTGATTTTGAGGAAGAAAAATGAAAAATCTTTATATTCAGCGTTTTTCATTTTTATAAGATTTCACCCCTAAGCACGTTACTAGATTCAAAGTTTCTCGCTCTAAAAAAGCGTCATTTTAGGCTCAATTAATTTGAAATTAAAAAATTCCCATCGATGTAAAGTCAAAACGTAATTGAAAGGTATTTTCACCGTGTGAGTTTCCGTAGAAGTAAAAAAAAGTAAATTAATTTTTTAATTTTTTTTTCTAGATAACCTTAAGACGGCTTTGATTTTTAAAGTAGGCAGCACATAATCAAAAAATAATTTTCAATTTTCTTTATTGTTGTAATAAAATGTTTACTAAAGAAAACAAAAGATTAAGATTATTAAGAAGGACAAACTTTCAAAATTTTAAGGACGATTATAGATAGACCTAGATTTTAAGAATTCCCAATATAGCCCTTGGGGGTGGAGCCCTGAAATGAGATATATCATAAGGTGGTACTAACTCTAAAAATTCACTTTTTTTTTGGTAGACCTCAATTTTAAGAATTCTCAATATAGTCCTTGGGGGTGGAGCCCTGAAATGAGATATATCATAAGGTGGGACTAACTCTAAAAATTCTCTTTTTTTTATAGACCTCAATTTTAAGATTTCTCAATCTAGTCCTTGGGGGTGGAGCCCTGAAATGAGATATATCATAAGGTGGGACTAACTCTAAAAATTCTCTTTTTTTTATAGACCTCAATTTTAAGATTTCTCAATCTAGTCCTTGGGAGTGGAGCCCTGAAATGAGATATATCATAAGGTGGGACTAACTCTAAAAATTCTCTTTTTTTTTATAGACCTCAATTTTAAGATTTCTCAATCTAGTCCTTGGGGGTGGAGCCCTGAAATGAGATATATCATAAGGTGGCACTAACTCTAAAAATTCACTATTTTGATAAACCTCAATTTTAAGAATTCTCATTATAGTCCTTGGGGGTGGAGCCCTGAAATGAGATATATCATAAGGTGGTACTAACTCTAAAAATTCACTTTTTTGATAGAGCTCAATTTTAAGAATTCTCAATATAGTCCTTGGGGGTGGAGCCCTGAAATGAGATATAACATAAGGTGGTACTAACTCTAAAAATTCACTTTTTTTGATAGACCTCAATTTTAAGAATTCTCAATATAGTCCTTGGGGGTGGAGCCCTGAAATGAGATATATCATAAGGTGGTACTAACTCTAAAAATTCACTTTTTTGATAGACCTCAATTTTAAGAATTCTCAATATAGTCCTTGGGGGTGGAGCCCTGAAATGAGATATAACATAAGGTGGTACTAACTCTAAAAATTCACTTTTTTTGATAGACCTCAATTTTAAGAATTCTCAATATAGTCCTTGGGGGTGGAGCCCTGAAATGAGATATATCATAAGGTGGGACTAACTCTAAATATTCACTTTTTTTGATAGACCTCAATTTTAAGAATTCTCAATATAGTCCTTGGGGGTGGAGCCCTGAAATGAGATATATCATAAGGTGGTACCAACTCTAAAAATTCACTTTTTTCGATAGACCTCAATTTTAAGAATTCTCAATATAGTCCTTGGGGGGTGGAGCCCTGAAATGAGATACCTGAATCACTTGCAATAGACTACAGACCTTGAGAATATTTTAAAATACGATTATGAAATAAAATTTAAACTTTTTAATATTATCGAATTGAAATTTTAAGAGGACGGACTAATTTTAAAGGTGAAAAAGAATTAGTCAATTGAGGATAAATGAGAAAAAGCCAATTTGTGTTAAATTAAAAAAGTTTAATTGACCTATATTTGAAAAAGCTAATAAAAAATAAATCAGAAATAGCTAGTTTAAAGTAAATTAGAAAAAGTTAATTTACCTTAAATTAGAAAAAGTGAATTTTTGTAAAATTTTATAAAGCTAAATTAAGATGAAAAAGAATTAGTTTATTTACGATAAATGTGAAAATGCCGATTTGAGATCAATTAAAAATGTCTTAAAAATTTATATTTGAATAAAAAATTATTAGTTATCAGAATAACATGCTCAATTTAGTCCTTAGCGGTGGAGCCCTGAAATGAGATACCTGAATCACTTACAATAGACAGTGATAGACAGCAGACCTTGAGAATATTTTATAATAGATTATTAAATAAAATTTTACCTTTTTATTTTGAATTGAAATTTTAAGCGGGCTTATTTTAATATAAAAAATTACTTCCCATTCTGTAAATATCATTCCCTGGAATTCCCCTCAAACTTTATTACGAGGAAAACAAGGAAACAGAAATTAAATCAACAAACTACCAAGAGTCGACTTCTGCGGCGGGCAATTTGCAAAGTTTGGGAACAACATCTGACTTCAATTAGTAAATAACTTTGCCTCAAAGCGCCGCTGGGCGATTTCGCGATGACCCATTTCCGCCGCAACAGCCAAAGCAGTGAGAGAGCGATGGAAGTTTTGCTTCCGCAAAACGCACTCGGCGTGCGGTTTCTATGCGAAAGTATGCGGCGGCGCTTTCGGGCAGATCCTCTCACACTAATGCCGACCGCAGCTCTCGCAACTCGGCAGGAGAAAAGCTTTGCTGAAAAGAGCCTGTTCTGCATGCACACGCGGACGGAAAGAGCTCTTTTCCTTTTCGCCCCAATAATAAAACGTAACGGGAACGAGAGAGAGACTCTGTTCATTTTGCTCGGGCTGCAGTAAAAGCTTAAATATAAGATACTGCATTCAAGGTTTTGCTCGCTCGCAGGCAGATTGCAGTATAATTATTGGCAGACGTATTCTCCAGAGCGCTGGCGATTATGGGCCGCAATGAAAGGAGAGATGATTGCTTTTCTAATAAACGGAGTATTAAATCACATTAAATTAAAATTGGCTCTAATTAGGCGTTATAAAAAGTTGTTTGGAAAAATCTATCATGGCCTATGGGTTTCTTCTAATAGGGAAGGAAATGTAGTGATCACATATTTAACAAATTTCTTATAAAAACTTATTCTAACATTTAAAGTTAATAAAAAAAATTAATTAATATATGACAATATTGGGATGACAAATATTAAAATTAATTAAGTTTTTTGCACCTTTTACAATAATATACAGAACAGTTTCTTTGAAAACTAATTTTGCAATATCAATACCAAGAATAAAATTAATATTTATAATATTATTATTATTATTTTTAAAATACCAAGTATATTGAGAAAAATTAAACAAAAATAAGTATAAAATTCTAGTAAAAATAACTAATTATTATATTACAATTTTTATATAACCAGTTTAAAGTCGGTTAAATTTATTTTAATTTTCAACTAGAACTTGTCACATCCACTTGGATTACCCGTAAAAACAATTTAAGCCTTCTATCATTGGCTTCATGCAGTCATGCAATTCTTAATTACATTAAATTAATGAACTAGGATTTTCCTCACTGAGAAATATACCGGTTTTATTTTTTATATTTACCAACTTTCTCAGTGACGAAAGCTCAGTTAATAATTCCTCATTATTCACTCCTCAATAGCCATACTTTCTTGATTTAATTACAGAATTGTATGTTCCAAATACAAATGTAGATAAAAAAAAAATACAGTTAAGAAAAATGAAGGGAATATTTAAATAAAATATTATTTTAATTCAGGATTCCTGCTATTAAAATGATGAAAAATAATCTTTACAAAAATATAGAATCAATGTTTGCGATTGTTGTAAAAGAAAAATTGAAATTTTAACCAACATAAATTGTTTAAAATTTGACGATGCCAATGAAAGTTGTTAAAACACCCAATTATTTTCCATCAGAGTTCACATATTTCATAAAAATTTGTTTACTCTCTAACCAGAGTCATTTTGTTTGACCAAACGAAAGCCTTTAATTGTGCGTCGATTGTTGCAGGCATGGGATTTGCTGTTGTCGGCGCCTACTGCAGTTTCCGTTGCTGAAGAGACCAAGACTGAGCCGAGAGGTGAGCCATTGAGTCCAGAACCAACTCTCGCGATAATCCCCCTGTCAATCTGCGCCAAAGCAAAGCCCACCGGCCGTCCGAGCCAGCGAGGACAAACGAATGTCCACCGGGAGGCCGGCGGCGCTTCTTTCTCTGTCGTTCTCTCATTGTCAGTTTTCTGCTCGCTCCGCTGGGAAAACTCGCGATCCGTTGAAAATTTATATATATATACACACGGTGTAATCTATTTCCTACCCAAGAGTGGATGAGATTTATTTCCCGTTTCGTCTTCTCTTGTTTGGCTTTTCATTACTGTTGCTCTTGGCAGATTAGTCGGCTGAGTGATGGGAGTTATTCTCGCGTGAGTTGATGGCGAAATGATAATGGAACTCTCAGTTTTGACCTGATTTTTCGCATCAAAATTCGCATGAGACTTCGTTGGAATTGCACAATTCATTAATTTTTGCTATGATGGGGAAACAAATAACTGCAAAATGTAGACAAATCAACAACATAGTAGCACAAATTGTTAGACGTTTCAAAACAACAAGTTTAACTTCAATTTATTTAACTCATGCAGCGTAATTTCCAGAAAACATTAATAAGAAACAATATTTAAGTGCAACAAATTAAAAAAATATATTTACATTTTAATGACAGTGCTAAAATTTCAAAATAAATTCGAAACCAAAACCAATTTAAAAGTCGGCTTTTCCTCGATGGTTTTGTGAGTTGTTTAAAATCAAAAAACAGTATCCTGCTCTACATGTTTCAGCTGCATTTCCACAAAATATATTTTACCTGAAAACTGAAAAACGAACCAAAAAATAATTTGGCCTTCTCTCGCCCACCGCCGAGAAATGCTCAAAATATTCTTACTAAAATTATTATATAAATTAATTAATATGGAAAATTATTGAATTTAATGTTATATTTTGCGTTAAAAATTGTTTTGTGAAGGAATATTACTTAAAATAAATTGTCACTGAAAATTGTTACTTCGAAACTTCGAAAGTAAAATATTTTTATAAAATAGAAAATTATTTATTGTACTAATTCTTGTTAAAATAATTTCACAGCTTATGAATTATGGCTGCAGCCGAAACATGTAGAGCAAGATATTATTTTTCTTAAACAATAAACAACTCGCAAAACCGACTTTAAACTAAATAAAATCACCATGAATCCTCGATCGTGAAATTCTACAAAATTTAAATTGTTCTTTATTTATAATTTTCACATTATTTTTTTTGTTGACATTATTTGAATTTTCTATGCTTTTTTTATAAGTTACGCCGAAATTTGCATAATTTATTTCAGCAGTTTTGCAAACAGTTAATTAATAGAATAAACACCTTGAGGACACAAAGCAAATTTTAGAGGCAAAATCTAATAAACACGCAAAATGAGAGGCGAATTAATTAGCGCCAAATTGCGTAGCCGTTAAATTCGTTAGGTCTGTTGTGCGTGCAGCACATTTTCCGCTTGCCACCTACCTACCCGCGGAAAGAGATAAACCTTCCGGCCCGAGGCTATAAACAGCAATTCACCCATCCGTAAATACCCATTAGCCGCGCCACCGTTCAGAATTATTTTCCCAGCTACGAACAAGAGAAACTGAAGGCGTTAAATAATTTAATCCGACCCACTTTCGGCAAAGCCTGTGCAAATTGCTCGCAGCGATCAAACCATCTGTCAATCCGTCCAGCCGAACTGCAAAAAGTGACTTTTTAATGGAGAGGGCAAAAACCGGTCGGCAAAAAGCCCGGCTGAGACCGAGAAGTGACGTTGAGCAATGCGCCGTCGGCAGCTCCTTATTGCTTTTGGCAGTCGGTGGCGATTTTTTGTATCTGAAAGTTGGAAATCATCTGTACGAGGAGTCGTCGGACCGAGTTTGCCAAGTGAAATTTCCCCGGAGAGCGCCTGGCCCCAGTCGGGAAAAGCCCTGTTCTTTGTGTGCCGTTTTCGCTGCCTTTAACATTTTACTATCCTCGGTGATTTGCTTTTTGCCGAAAAGCAGCAAACTGAACTTGTGGAATGAGTTTGAAAGATTTTCGAATAAAAGGCAGATGGAGTTTTGAGGGAGGAAGTAAATTTTAAAGAGAAAAATGGCGCCTAATCCTATTTGCTCAAGAAGGCACAGTAAATTTCAAGTTTTATTTGCATGGAAACTTCGAAAACGGAATTGTAAAAATAATAAAAATATTCAAAATTATGATGTTTAAATTTTCAATCTGCGACCGTTCGCGAATGATTAACCGCAAATTGGCCTAAATTTTTGGTTCACAATGTCATTATATGATGATAAGAGAATAAAATTTGCAACCAAAATTTTGATCACTTCGCTTGGAATTCATGTTTTTTTTTTTTTTTTTTTAAGTCAAGATTCAAATATTTGTGGGAAAATTTGATGTACTCTCTTCTTTTTCTGACGTACCTTTTTATTCTGAACCACTTTTAATAACTGAACATATTAAGTGAAGTCAAATGTCAAGATCAATTTAATTTAATTTTCTCAAAAAATCATGTGAATTTTTAATAAATCTGAATAAATCTGAGAGGCTAAATTATGGTAAAATAGATTTAGCCAATTTAGGATAAATCAGAAAAAGCATATTTAAGATAAATTATAAAAGTCAAATTGCAATATATTTGAAAAAGTAAAATTATTTTAAATTAGAAATAGATAATTTATAATGAATTAGAAAAAGTCAATCTACCTCAAATTAGAAAAAGTGTATTTTTAATAAATCTAATAAAGCTAAATTAAGATGAAAAAGAATTAGCTTATTTAGGTCAAATGAGAAAAAAAAATTAGAAAAAATACCTTATATTGGAAAAATGTTTTATGTGCTGATGAAAAATTTTATTACTTCGAAAAACGACATTTTTTTTAGCTCATTAAAAAATGTGGCCAAGAAAATAGTTTGAACCAAAAAATTCAATAATTAATCCTTTTTTTATTATATGATGATTAAGTTCAGTCAAATTTAAATATCAATTTAATTTAATTTTCTCAAAAAATCATATATTTAAATATCTTCAATGCCGGAAGAACCGAGTCAAGAGAATATCTCCCTATTAATATTAAATCAATTTTATACCATTTCTAGATCCTAAGGACAACTTTCCACTATGTGAATATCCTTTTGGTTCAACTGCCTTTACCATTGTTGTTGTAACAATTGCGTCTTCAAAGTTGCACGCAGTCAGATGAAAATTTCGAGGCCATTCTTTGCCTCTGTATGTGTTTCTCTCGTCGCGGCATCAATTGCAAAACCGAAGAGACAAACAAACGCTCTCGTCTTGGCATTTTCTCTCCATACGGGCTCATTTAAGTTTGTTTTACGCAGGCTGCGCTCGGATAATTGTCAATCACGGTTCAGCGAGCTGCTTTTATCTGCGAGAGTGTCTCGTCGGCGGCATCGAGAGAGGCTCAAAGAAAGCTCCGAGATTGCACACAAAGAGACGCGGGGCACACGTAGGAAAGAGAGAGAGAGAGAAGCAGTCACTGGCAGATGCTTCATTTCTGACGCAAATTAAACCGTGCTTTTAACACTCGTCGCTCTCCATTCGAAGAGAGAGAGACTCTGGCTAATTAGGGCTCGTCGGAATGCGATTATGTATGCGAATCGAATCGCGAGAGAAGAGACGAGAGGAATTTGAATGTCGTATAATTCGAATGGGTGTAATTGCCTTCCAAGTGACTTGTTGCGATCCATTTCGCTGCACACGAAGAAGTGTGTCTTCTTGATAGCAACTCGTCCTTGACTTGTAAATCGGATTTCCTCGGATTCAATTAAGAAAATTGATTTTGTTTCAGAATGCACCGTGGAGCTCTTGTAGGCGCTCTACTGTGGGCCTGCGTCCTCACTGGACTTGCTCAGGGTGAGTTAAAAAGCTCATTTTGCATGGAAATGAGAGATAAATATTAGATTTTATTTATTTAATTTTAAAAACCGCACGGACGTAATATTTAAAAGCAAAAATTCTCTGATTAAATGAAAAATAAAATCTTTTCAATGTCCAGTTTTTCGTCCTCAATATACTGTATATCGTTAACTTTTTATTGACATTTAAAAATCATTTAAAATGTACAGTATGTAAATAATTTTGAAGCTAATTATATTTTTTGGGAAAACAAACTGCCACGGTTAAGCATTGATTGATTTTTGAAATGCCCAATGAAATATAAATAAATAAATACTAAGCATAACTTTCTATCAAATTTTTATAAAACTTTAAAAGCCTAACTAGTGGGACAATCTCATTATAAAATGGGGGAAAATTAAAGGATAACTGACCCCAAAAGTAAAAACCTAGAATGTTTGTAAATATTATAAGAATATTAAAAATTATCAAAATGGGAATGTATTTTAAAGAAAACTCTTAAACTCTTTCATAGTAATTTAACTAATTTAGAAAAAAAACGCAGCAAAAAGTAGTTAACAGACTTGATTGCAAAATATTAATTGTAACAGTTGAAGTAAAAAGAATTTTTTTTTTAAATTTATTAATTTATTTTTTATTTTATATTTTCATATTTTATTTATTGTATTACATTTTATTTGTTTATTTTCAAATTCTCTCTCTATTTAGTAACTTACAAAATCCTGGATTTCAAAAGTATATGCAAGCAGACTGTTGTCATAACTCTTATAGTTTTACTTTCTTATGAAATCTACATTCAACTTTTTTGTGCTCGTTTGATTGACAGAATTCGGTGAAAAATAGTAGCATTAATTATTTCAAATATAATTTAATTTACCGCTTTAATAGTAAATTAATGAAGTTAAACAAACCTTGCTAAAAATGAAGAGTTTTGAGAAAATTAATTAATTGACGAAAGTTTGAAAATATATTTTATTAAAAAAATTAAAAAAAAAAAAATCTTGGGCTTGGCAGCATAAAATATATCAATTGGGGCGCAAAATATCACTCCGGTTTTGCGTGGCTTGGGTGGCGACCGCCGCTCTACCCTGAGATGAGACATTTTTACATTGTGAAAATAAGGAAGAAAGAGTCGGACCAGGGGGTGGTTCGCTGGCAAAGGCCGCGAGCTCTCTTTTTTTCGTTCCCTGCAGGTTGCTAAGAAGTCGCAGTCGTATTTGTGCGCCGAGCAAAGCAACATCTCCTCGCAGCTCGCTGCGGGTGGAATTTGATTTGCTAGGCAAAGTGCTGCTGATGAGGCTTCAATAGCCGAAACAGCTGTCCAGCACAAAACAATATGGACAGATTGGGGTGGTTTTAAAGAATTTTAATTTTGGGAAATTTTCGCCCTCAATTAAAATTGTTTATTATCACGATAGGAATTTTTCTAACTTTTTTACACCGGCTTTGTCTCAAATATCTCGTTGTCTCGGAACGTAATTCCACGTCAAGGCGATTAGTCGCAGTACTAATTTAATTATTTCCCGTTTCGAGTGGTTTCTTTGGGTTTTAAATTCTCAAAAAAGTAAAAGAATATTAAAAATTATCAAATTGGGAATATATTTTAAAGAAAACGCTTAAACTATTTTAGTAATTTAGAAAAAAAACGCAGCAAAAAGTAGTAAACAAACTTGATTGCTATAAAATATTAATTTTAAAAGAATTTTTTTAAATTTAATATTACTTTTTTTATTTTATATTTTCATATTTTATTTGTTGTATTACATTTTATTTGTTTATTTTCAAATTCTCTCTCTATTTAGTATAAACTTACAAAATCCTGGATTTTAAAAGTATATCAAAGCAGCCTGTTGTTGTGTTGTTATAACTTTCATAGTATTACGTTTTTATGAAATCCACATTGAATTTTTTTTAGTGCTTTCAGTATTACATAGGATAAATTATTTTTACCGCTTTAATGAAGTTAAATAAAAATTGCTAAAAGTGAAGTGTTTTGAGAAAATTAGTTAATTGATGAACGTTTGAAAAGATATTGAATTTAAAAAAAAAAAATCTTGGGCTTGGCAGCATAAAATATATTATTTCTCTGTACTTGAATTTAAATTTGCAATGCTGTTAAACGTATGACCATAGAAACCAATGAAGTAAAAAATTATATACGAATTTCACCCACGAAACTGGATTTCAATTTGGAATGAAAGTTTAATATATGATTTAAGTTCTTTTTTGACCATTACTAAGGTAATATTTAATTCAAAAAGGCTATTAATCCAAATTATGGATCTGTCGAGGTGGAAATTATCGAGTGAGCACTTGGCAATTTATTATCATATATTTTGCAGAGCCGCCGACTGTGTCGGTGCACCCGCGGGACCAAACGGTGCGTGCGGGCGCGATTGCGAGCATTTGGTGCCGCGTGACCCCGACGGAGCCGCCGCCGGTGTTGTCGTGGAAGAAAAACGGCAAACGCATCTCCAACTTCCAGTCGCGCTACCTGGTCAAGGAATTTCCCGCCGGCGACGGTCTGCTGCTGCGCATCGACCCGGTCCGGATGGCGCGCGACGACGCCGTGTACGAGTGCGTCGCCGAGGCGCAAAACGGCGAGCAGACCTCGGCCGACGCATCCATCACCGTGCTCGAAAGTGAGTAATTCTCTCTTTTCACCCCTGCTTTTTCCCCCATTTGATCGCAAAAAAATAACAGAGTGGAAGGGTTGTCCGTTGGGAACTGCTGTTAATTAATTGAGGAGGGCGAATTAAAAACAAGAATTTTATCCATTTGTTGTTACTTTGTTTTGAATAATTAAAGCTAAATTATGGCGAAAAAGAATTATCCAATTTAGGATTAATTGGATAAGGAATAATTGGAAAAGGATAATTTGAGATAAATTAGGAAAAGTCATTGTACCTTAAATTAAAAAAAGTGAATTTGTTGTAAATTTGATAATGCTAAATTAGGGTAAAAAGAATAAGCAAATTTAAGATAAATTAAAAAGTCTAATTGAAAATCGGATGGATAATTTGAGATGAATTAGAATAAGTTAATTTACCTTAAATTGCCTTAAATAAGAAAAAGTAAATTTTCAATAAATCTGCTAAATTAAGGTAAGGAATTTAGGATAAATTGGGACAAAAGGATTTGAGATAATTAAAAAAAGTCTAATTGAGCTATATTTGAAAAAGCAAATCAAGCATAAATTGGAAAAAGATAATTTGAGATGAATTAGAAAAAGTCAATGTACCTTAATTTAGAAAAAGTGAATTTGTCGTAAATTTGATAAAGCTAAATTAAGGTAAAAAGAATAAGCAAATTTAAGATAAATTAAAAATTCTAATTGAAAATCGGATGGATAATTTGAGATGAATTAGAATAAGTTAATTTACCTTAAATCGCCTTAAATAAGAAAAAGTAAATTTTCAATAAATCTGCTAAATTAAGGTAAGGAATTTAGGATAAATTGGGACAAAAGGATTTGAGATAATTAAAAAAAGTCTAATTGAGCTATATTTGAAAAAGCAAATCAAGCATAACATGGAAAAAGATAATTTGAGATGAATTAGAAAAAGTCAATGTACCTTAATTTAGAAAAAGTGAATTTGTCATAAATTTGATAAAGCTAAATTAGGGTAAAAAGAATAAGCAAATTTAAGATAAATTAAAAATTCTAATTGAAAATCGGATGGATAATTTGAGATGAATTAGAATAAGTTAATTTACCTTAAATCGCCTTAAATAAGAAAAAGTAAATTTTCAATAAATCTGCTAAATTAAGGTAAGGAATTTAGGATAAATTGGGACAAAAGGATTTGAGACAATTAAAAAAAGTCTAATTGAGCTATATTTGAAATAGCAAATTTTCAAGTGCAAACAAATACCCAAACCAATTAAGTATAAATCAGAAAAGGATAATTTAAGATAAATTATTAAGTCTAATTGAAAATCGGATGGATAATTTGAGATGAATTAGAATAAGTTAATTTACCTTAAATCGCCTTAAATAAGAAAAAGTTAATTTTCAATAAATCTGCTAAATTAAGGTAAGGAATTTAGGATAAATTGGGACAAAAGGATTTGAGATAATTAAAAAAAGTCTAATTGAGCTATATTTGAAAAAGCAAATCAAGCATAAATTGGAAAAAGATAATTTGAGATGAATTAGAAAAAGTCAATGTACCTTAATTTAGAAAAAGTGAATTTGTCATAAATTTGATAAAGCTAAATTAGGGTAAAAAGAATAAGCAAATTTAAGATAAATTAAAAATTCTAATTGAAAATCGGATGGATAATTTGAGATGAATTAGAATAAGTTAATTTACCTTAAATCGCCTTAAATAAGAAAAAGTAAATTTTCAATAAATCTGCTAAATTAAGGTAAGGAATTTAGGATAAATTGGAACAAAAGGATTTGAGATAATTAAAAAAAGTCTTTTTGAGCTATATTTGAAAAAGCAAATTAAGTATAAATCAGAAAAAGATTATTTGAGGAAAAGTACCTTGAATTAGAAAAAGTGAATTTATAATAAATCTGAAATATCTAAATTAGGGTGAAGAAGAATTTGCCAATTTAGGATAAATTGGATAACGCTAATTTGAGTTAAATTAAAAAAATATTACAAAGTTATAAATAATAACATAATTACATATTATAAGTTAAAAATTAAGTCAATCCGGTAATAAATAATGTAAAATGAATAAAAAATTAATAAAAAACGCAATATTTATTGTTAGATTGTTAAAACAAAAATATTATTTTGAGTTTTAAGTTTCAATTCTGCTATAAAAGTATGTTAGGCGATCTTGGAACCTTGCTGGAAATTCTAAAAATTATTCATTCAAACAAATCTCTTTCATTATTGGTCGTTTGCTTCATGAAACAGAAACCACTCTACTTAAATAAATTTCCATAAAAGTAAACGTTTAAATTTGTTTCTGCAGAAACGAGATGACAACAAATTTGGAATTCAGACTCTTATTTGTGGAACATTTTTACGAATCATATTCTTTAATTATTTAATTTTTAGGTTACGCGTCACTTTTGAGTTAAATAAAATCATTTTTGGCGCAATTTCAAAGGAAGCAGATTATCAATGCTTGTGTTTTCAGCGAACAGACTACATAAATTATTGTAATCTTCGCACACAGCCTGCATCACACGCAGAAACATCATCAGCTTTTTGAGTAAATTCCTCCAAATCCAGCAAAGCATATTTGAATTTCAGAGTGGAGCCGCCGCCGCCGCGATTCATTTGCATGATAATTTATTCAACGGATTCGCAACTCTCGTTCGAGCGAGACAATTACAATTGTTGAAAAGCTTGTTTCGCATAAATTTGCATTTCCTTTGTGCAGCGCCGCCTTGTTATTATTATGATGTGATGCTCGCAATCTGCTTTTGCTAATCTTCCTCGAAATAATAACAAAACAGTTTAATTGTTGTTGACGAAATCGCTTTTCGCAGACGAGAAACTGCCGGGCGGCTTCCCCAAAATAGGCCAGGTGCCGACGACCAAAGTGGTGGAATTGGGTCACGCAACAGTTCTGGCGTGCGACGTCACTGGCTCGCCAACACCCCTAGTCACTTGGCTGCGCGAAATGATGCCCCTCAACACTAGCAACCCCCGCTACAATATTCTGGAATCTGGTAAGTCTAGCGAAACAACTAACAATATTTTTTTTTCATATTAATGGATATTTAAAAAATAGTTATTTTAAAAATTAGATTCTACGTTCTGGTTTAAAAAAAAAAAAATGGAATAAATCAGTTGAAAAAAATTTACTATTTTGGAGTATTTTTGAGGTGTTTAGAAAAAATTTCACTTTTGATGAATAGTTGATTATTTTCAGCTGAAATATTTTACAATTATTTGATAATTTAAGTCTTTGTTAAGAAATTTTTTTAAATAGTTCCCTTTTCTGATATATGAGTGGTTTTCGTTGTACGTCGTAATTTTAGTTGTATTTAAAATAATTTAATTAAAGTGAAAAATGCATCAATTGGATATTGAAGGTTGAAATAGGTTCAAAAAGTTTAACAAAAATTTGAAATAGGCAATTTTAGATGAATCTGAACCCTGAATTTTTTTGGGTTTTAGATTTTCAGTATATTTTTGTGAATTTCTGTTCTGAAAAAGAAAAATTTGCTAAATTAAAGGTAATAATCAATTTGCCAATCTCTTAAAAAGATTTTCTTAAAATTTATTTATAAAATTGATATCTTTTATTAAAATCAAATCTCCTTTATATTTATTTTTCTCTTCCCTCTAGTGAAAAAAAAAATTAAGCTCTGTTTAATTCAGCAATCAGAATCCAGATTAAGAATCCCAGTTTATGTGTGAAATCATCGTCACCCTCGTTGTTAAGCATCCCTCAAGCTCTTGGTAATTTCTTTTAATTGCTCGCGCATTAAAAATAATCTCTCTCATCGCGCGATGAATCTCTCCGCGAGCTCAATTACAACCATCAAGCGCAATCTCTCGCCTCGCAGCAATGAAAACAATTTGCATGCTAACACACAGCATACATAATAACCATCTCAAGCAAGATTACTTACTGCACCGCCGGCGGGATGAAAAAAAAAGAAGAAGCTGCGCGAATGCTTCTCTCGCCATCAGTCACAGCCCGGGGCGCGCGATGTTGCCAAATGTACGCCGGTCCCTTTTAAAGATAAGGCGCCTGCGACTTCATAGAGTATGCAACCGGCATGATTTATCTGCCCGACCGGCGGCCTAACTTCATTCTTTACGGCCACTTGCTGATGATAACGTAATTTAATTCCACTCGTAAATTATGTGGCAGTAAAATTTAATGTTGACCTCACTTTTTATTTATTGCGAGACTGAGAAAAAAAATAAGTTAATTTCTACCTGCTCGTTAAAGTTTCAACGCAACGGAACGAGTTTTTGCAGCTCTTTTTTCTCTTGGGCTTTGTTATTTTTTACGGCCGGCGCCGATAATGGCGAGTTTTATTTTTTATGGAAGCGAATCCTGATATTTAATCGAACGTTTGTTTGTTGTTTGTCCGAACGGCCTGCCTATGGGGTGCTGTTAAATTCTCTTTTGTTATCGACACGTCAAAATATTTGCAGTGCGCCAAACTTTTTGCCAGATTTCCGCTTTTCGGATATTGAAATTTATTGGATCGGCTGTCAGGTGAAACGACGTGCTAATGTTGACGGTGAATTATTTTCTTAATTAAAAATATGTGTCGATTTCAGTATTAATAGTGAACAATGCCCTGCTGCCTAAAATTAAAAAATATGGAAAAACAATCATGACAGAATGTAAATTTATTTAGCAAACTGTTTGAAAAAAAAACTAAAAAAAAATTGAAATTAAAAAAAAGGTTTGGTTTAATGTGTCCAAAATTAAGATGAAATGCTTATGTTAATTAATTAATTATTATAATTTTGCTTCTTTATATTACAGTTGAAAGATAATTTCTTAAATAATTGCCCTTAAAGTATAACTTTAGTTTTGGGAAAGTTTTGGAGAAAAAGTTCAATAAAACCACTTGAAACCTTGAACAATTAAGTGTAACAATTAATTATGTTTTTTGAACCATTAAAATTTGTAACTTCTAAATAAATTCATTTTTCCATAAAATTCTCATTTTTGACTGAAAAAATTGAATTAATAAAATTTTCCTTGTAGAAAGAAATTTATAAATTAAGGATTTATTTCTTTCGCTAATTTATATCTGCCTCCATTGACGTACAATAAATGTTATGATCGATATTTTCAGGCACACTGCAAATCAGCAGCAGCGAAGAGGAGGACTTGGGCAAGTACGAGTGCATCGCCCAAAACAATGTCGGCACCGAGTACTCTCAACCCACAATGCTCTACGTCAAAGGTAGGCCGTAGCTCGCAGCGCTCAACAGACTACTTTTATATTTACGTACGAATTTTTTATTATGATATTCCCCTCGGCTGAACCGGTACATAATGTAAAAAATAAAAAGCTTTTTTTCTCGTTCGGCCGAGATAGAAAAAAAAGGACGAGTCCCACGCGAAAAAGACATCTTTCGAATAAATCTATATGGCGTGTCTCTTTTTCAACGGGCGCCCCATTTTTTATTGAAACTCTTTGAAAAAAAGCTTCGGCTTGCTTGCGCGCGAATAACTTCTCTCCGTCACTGTCACCTGTCACTGATCGATCTTTTGCTCGCTCGCTCGCCGCTTGTTTTGTGTTGTTTTGCGGCTCAAATAAAACTGTCAAACCAAACCCTGTCTCGCTGTTCAGCACTGTTTGCTTTCCAACGCAAACGTGAAGAGCAGTTGTTAGGAAATCGAAGCAAAAAATTTACAGATTTTAACACTTGAAAAAAGAAACAAAGTTATGTTTGTTTTACAAAGATTTTGAGATTTTCAATTAATTATTCCCTAATTTTTAATAAATCCTTCAATTATTGCCATTTTATCAGCAAATAGTGAAGCATTTCAATGGAAAATTGAACTTGTTCTATGCAAATCTTGTGAATTAGAGATAATTTTCAAAAGTTTCAAGAGATTTCATTCACAGATTGGTGGATAATAAGTCCAAATTTCATTGAGCGAAAAATCCAGTTGATAGATTTTTATAAAAATTTCCTATTCAATTAAATTTTAATGAATTGTACGTTTTGGTGTAAGTTATTAATATTATATATTATATTTTGAAATAAAAAATTATAGTTTTATTGAATTAAATGCAATAAAACTACTCTTTGAATAATTTGCATCCGTAAAATCAGTTCGCAGGGTGTTCCCGATGTTCACGATTCGGCCGAAACCACTGTATGATGAAAATCAGTAAATTTAACACATTTTTTTTACCGATTAGATTAATTAACAAATACTTTTAACTTGGATAACCTGATTAGAGATTAAATTTATCACTTATTTTGAATATATTCAGAAAATCTTCACCTAAAAACACATAATTTGATACAAATAATAATCACATTTTTGGTATTTTATTTTCACCAGAATTTTCCCATTTTTCATAAGTGTATCGACGACTTTTTTAGGAGCAAAAAGAAAAGATAATATTTTGTACCTTGAATTAGCAAAAGTGATTTATAATAAATCAGATAAAGCTAATTTATATTGAAAAAGAAAAAGCAAATCAAGCATAAATTGGAAAAGGATAATTTGAGATGAATTAGAAAAAGTTAATGTACCTTAATTTAGAAAAAGTGAATTTGTCATAAATTTGATAAAGCTAAATTAGGGTAAAAAGAATAAGCAAATTTAAGATAATTTTCAAAAGTTTCAAGAGATTTCATTCACAGATTGGTGGATAATAAGTCCAAATTTCATTGAGCGAAAAATCCAGTTGATTGATTTTTATAAAAATTTACTATTCAATTGAATTGTAATGAATTGTACGTTTTGGTGTAAGTTATTAATATTATATTATATTTTGAAATAAAAAAATTATAGTTTTTTTATTGAATTAAATTCAATAAAACTACTCTTTGAATAATTTCCATCCGTAAAATCAGTTCGCAGGGTGTTCCCGATGTTCACGATTCGGCCGAAACCGCTGTACGAGGTGATGTTGGGCGCCGACTTGAACGTGACGTGCGTGGCCGTCGGGTCGCCAATGCCGCACGTGATGTGGCTGCAGGGCAAGCAGGAGATCAATGCGCACCAGCCCGTGGGCAAGAACATCCTGCACCTGAAGGACATCCGCCAGTCGGCCAACTACACGTGCGTCGCCCTCAGCGCCCTCGGCTCGATCGAAGCGCCCGCCATGATCAAAGTGCAAGGTAAACAAAAAGTAGTCATTTTGGACAAAATAAACCGTGCTTGGCGCGGCGATTTAATTAAAGCCGACGTGTTTGCTCGCGGAGTAAGTTTCGAGCAGTGCTGCCCACAGACTCTTGACTGTGAAGCCAAATTTTTATTTGCAAAAATACACGATGGTAGTCGACTGAAAAGTGGGTGGGTCGAAAGAGAATTAACTTTTTTGTAACACAAAAATATATAAAATTGTCAAACATTTGAACCATGAACGCTTTAAGTACCAAAAAATATAATATTTATATTTGCCTGATTGTTTCCTCTTTTTTAAGGATTTAGAACACAGAGCGCGGATCTTTTTGTAATTTGAAACAAGGTTTTTTTTTTAATTTTAAAAAAACGCACATTTTTTATTTAATTTTAATAATTTATAATTTTGAAGATTTGCCCAGATTTAATTAACCAATCAAATTGATCCCCCAATAGCTAAAGAACAATAATATTAAGTTCAATTAAGTTATTTTTTGCATTGTTCTAAAAAAAAGTGAGTATGACCTTTCAAATCATTAAACTTAAACTTTATTTTCAAGTTGTTGGACAATTTGGTGCATTGATTTTGGATTTTTACAGTCACTTCCGACACAAAGAAACGTTGAATTGTTTTATTAATTTTATTTAACTATTTGCCAACCTTACCAATTTAATTTTCCTTAACAGTTTGAAATCGTAATCTGTAAATCAAATCCAGGAAATAAGATCAGCATGAAAGAAAAAAATCTTTAGATTTTGATGCCATCAATTTTAATTTTTGTTTTTCAATTTTGCTGATTTTTTGTAATTTTTCTTGCTCATGGAATAGGATCGCAGACCGTGACCGAAACTGGTAGAACCATTTTGTTTTTGAAATAAAAACAAATTTTTTACAACGAGGACAAGCCCGACTTCTTCATTTCCTCAATTCTTATACATTAAATTTAACGGAAAAAAATATAATATTTTTCTGTCCGCTGCGTAAAAATTTAAAAATTATGAAAAAAAAATGCTTTCATAGACATTTAAATTGTATAGGATCATTGAAAATTTCTAAAACAGAAATATTCATATTTTTCTTTTAGCAAACAAAATTAATATTTGTTTAACCATTTGAATATAAACTGAATGTTGTTTTTTTTTTCTTTTCAGCCCTTCCTACGGCGCCGGCGGTCAAAGTGCTGGAGGTGGGCGCGACGGCGGTGCGGCTGGCGTGGACTTACCCCGAGGAGGAAGAGATCCAGTACTACGTGATCCAATACAAGCCGAAATTCGCGAACCAGGCCTTCTCGGAGATCTCAGGCGTCATCACCATGTACTACACGGTGCGCGGCCTGAGTCCGTACACCGAGTACGAGTTGTATGTGATCGCGGTGAACGCCGTGGGTCGCGGCGTCCCCAGCGACCCGGCCGTCGTCACCACCGGAGAAACAGGTACGGCTGCCGTGTTTAAACAAGAGAGAAGAAATGACGAGGCCTTTGATGTTTCGCTTTCAGTCGGACGCCTTTTTCTCTGTCGCGCGCTGCTGGCACTTAGTGTGCGGGCGTGAGGGGAAAAATTTTCTTTGCTCTTTTTCGCCAAAGGCAGAGCGAGCTTTTGATTCGCGAATTCCGCTCCTGTGCCTGCTCTAAATTGGATGGCGACCTTTAATGCTTTTTCTCTCTTGCAAAATATACTTTTGAGGCGAAAAAATGAATTAAATATTAAAATAAAATCGTAAAATCTTTATTAAAATAATCAAATCATGTTGAGCAGCTTTTCGGGTGAGATTCTAGAATTTTTTTATGAAAGAGAAAAAGTAAATTATAATCACGTAATTATTAGCTTAGAGACCAAAAAGAAACTTTTCGACTATTAGGTTGGAGTCTCAAGTAATGATAATTGTTAAAAAGAAAAGAATTGCTTCGAAAATCATTCAACAAATTTCTATTTCTCAACTAACAATAAGATTGAAATCTTAAGATAGATAGAATTGAATTTTGAATATATTTTCTTATATTTTTCTACCAAAATCAGTGCATTTGGGTAAAATGATATTATTCGTGTGAAATAAGTGCATATTTAGGTGATTTTTTAATTGAAAATTTTACTGCAATTTGAAAAGATCAGAGATTATCATTTTGTAGCTTTTCAGAGGCGCTTTGAGGCAACATTTTTTTTTTTTCAAAATTTTGCATTTTTTTATAAAACTGTCATCTTATATCAAATTTAACTTGAATTTTAAACGATTAAAGATGAAAAACCTCAAAAAAAGTTCATTTAAGGGAAAAAAATCTGCTATTATTTGTTCAAAAACAGGAGATTTAAGGTGATTGTGAGAATTCAAGTTTCTCTTATTTAGGTTTAACTACATTTTGTGTATGTTTTTTTTTTTTTAAATTTCCATAAAAAAGGCTAAAAGCAATACTTTAAACTAATTTTTAATTTTCAAATATTTTAAAAACCAAAAAACAACAAATCATTACAATTCTTTTTAATTTTTAGGTGATTCATCTGGTTTTGGAACAAGTAAGTGTTGTCCTGTTTTGAATGTTCTTTGTGAAAAACAAAAAATTTTGATTTTCAGAGCCTGGAAGTGCCCCGCGAAACGTGATGGTGCGGCCATTAAGTTCGAGCACGATGGTAATTCAGTGGGACGAGCCTGACACTCCAAACGGCCAAATCACGGTAAGAGAGCGAAATTCGCCTTCCATACTCGCACACATATAAATCAAATAAGCGGCGCACTTCTCAAAGAAAGTTGGCGGTAATTTATGTGCGCAATTCGAGGATGCACGACTTTCTCTCTCTCGCAAACACCAGACTTGCCACTTTCCGCTCGCTCGCTTGTACGCCAAGGGTTATAAATTTTCGGGCTGCGAGTTACGTGCACCCGCAATTAAGTAAGAGACGCGTTGCAATCGATATCGAGCTTGTTAGAAAGTTGAGAGCGGAAATGCGAGAACCCTCGTCTCTCTCTCTTGACAAGAAGTTCCGAGCGCAACTTTTTTATTAACTGATTGGCAGGGCTACAAGGTCTTCTACACGACGAATCCAGGCCAAGTGATGGCCAACTGGCAGTCGCAGATGGTGGACAACAACCAGCTAACGACCATCAGCGAGCTCACGCCCCACACCATTTACACCATTCGGGTGCAGGCCATCAGCAATGTGGGTCCTGGACCGCTCTCGCCGCCGGTGCATGTCAAAACGCAGCAAGGAGGTAAAGAATTTCAAATCTAATCTTATTATTTCAATTAAGGTTGTGAAAATAGTTATTTTTTTGGGAATAGTTTCAAGGTGTTTTTTTTTTTTTTTTTATTATTAATTTGGTGAAGAAAGTTATTAAGTAAAAATCAACTCAAATAACTAATAATTTTTTCCATTTAAAAGCAAAGAAAATAAGCAAACCCATGGTTTATTGGTTTAAATCGTAGCTAATTTTTACTTAACTACCACCTTTCAATATTGTTATGTTTCGGGACAAAACAGATAGTGACTGGAAATTCAGAAAGAAACGCGATGAGTCAAAATTTATCGTATTTAAATTAATTTAAGCATGGTCTAAGCTTGTTTTTAGGGTTTTTTTTTTCATTTTATACGTTTGTACACGATTTTAAGCTCATGTCAATCGCCTTGAAACTTGAAATTTTGGGCAGCTTTGATAAAAATGCGTCTATTGAAAGCTCCGAAAAATTGCTGATCGTCCAAATTTTACAATCAGTAGAAAAGAGCAAAAGATTTTAATTAAATTTGATAAATTATCATTATTGCTGTTTTTTGTTCAATTTTTTCAATAACTTTGCATCACGAAAAATTTTGGGAGGAAAACATTGAATTTTTTTATAAAAAGGCTCAAAGATTTTGCTAAAAATGAAACAATTAAATATTTTTACAGATTCTTAAATTTTGCTAATTCTGTTTTTTTTTTTTAATATTTAACAAAGAGATTGAAAAGTAATTTCTTCATGCAGATAGATCTAATAAATTACATGTTGAGTTGGAGTTTAAATTAATAAAAATCTTTGCCTCAAAAATCAGCTGACTTTTTTATTTACAGTCAGTCGTGTGTTTGAATTCTCTAATTCGCCATAAAAATCCCTGCCAATTGTTTTGAATGGTTCTCGTTATTTTATCTTTTTTCAGTGCCGAGTCAGCCGAGTAATTTGCGAGCAACGGACATTGGCGAGACAAGCTTTGTTCTGCACTGGAACAGACCGGTACACGCAGGCGAGAACATCGTCAGCTACGAGTTGTACTGGAACGACACCTACGCAGAGGTACGCTTGATTTTTATTATATTTTTTTTCCCCCATTTGAACGCAAAAAAATAACAGAGTGGCAGGGTTGTCCGTTGGGAACTGCTGTTAATTAATTGAAGAGGGCAAATTAAAAAGAAGAATTGAGCTATATTTGAAAAAGCAAATTAAGTATAAATCAGAAAAGGATAATTTGAGATAAATTAGGAAAAGTCATTGTACCTTGAATTAGAAAAAGTGAATTTGTAATAAATCTGATAAAGCTGAATTAGGGTGAAAAAGAATTTTCCAATTTAGGGTAAATTGGAAAAGAGGATTTGAGATGAATTAGAAAATTTAAATGTACCTTAATTTAGAAAAAGTGAATTTGTCATAAATTTGATTTTTATTATATTTTTTTTATCACCGTTTGGCAGCGAGAAAAACGCTCTTGTTTACTACAGAGCGGCTTGTTTTGGTCTTTGAAGTTTTGCTTTTTTGCGAATGGCAATTAGTTTCCCGTCCGGCACCTCCTCATCGTCGACCCTTTGAAGAGTGAGAGGCGAAATTAAATAAAAATCTAGCTCGCTATACAACAGACTGCAAGCAAATGAAAATTAGTTTTGCTTGACTCGCGAGCGGAGGCATCGCTCAGGGCTGTTTGCTGAGAGTAAATGAAAAGCAAGCGCAAAAGCGAATTTCGCTGCTGAAAATCTTCTTCCACTTCATCAGTCGGCAAATGTCAGAATATGAACAACGTCAGACTTTTGAACTTCAAATGGGGCGAATAATGTTATTTCTTGACAGTTTCATAACAAGATTAAACCAGATTCAAAAGTTTAATTTTAAGCTTGTTAAAAATTCCAATAATCTTGTTTGTACAAATTTATTGAATTTAACAATTTTTTAAAACATTTTTAGGCAAAATAATTTGTATGTTTAATTAGGTTATTTGTTTAAATTTTATAAAATTAATTTTTTATATATTCAAAACAGGCACACCTCAAAAATAAATTTAAAAAAAGCTGGTCTTGTGATTCAACTGACCTGAATAGAGGTCAAAATGTTAAGGGCCCATTTATAAGGTCTATATGAGCAATTTTATTTTCATTCATATTGTAAAAGACGCCGAACAGAATATAATTTTATTATAAAAAACCCAGACAGATTTGATTTAATTACAAGAAATTGACACACAAGGAGATTATCGTGGAAGTGAAGCATTGAAAGTTTTAGGATTTTGAATTTTTTTATAAAAAGGTGTTTTTTTTTTTCAATTTTTGCTGATTTTTGTATGAAAAAGGGTTGCAGACTGTGACCGAAACTGATAGAGCTGTTTTGTTTTGAATAAAATGAGGAAAAACCTGATTTCTTCACTTCCAAATTTTTTTATCTCTGGATTTTTTATCTTTATTTTGGGGGGGGGGGGTTATGTATTTGAAATCAACCATTTTAAAAAAAAATGAAGTTTTTTTAATTCATTTTTTAATTTTTTTATTAGGAAAAGCATCACAGACGTATTCCTGTAAGTGAGAGCTACACCCTGACCGGACTCTACCCGAACACCATGTACTATGTGTGGCTGGCAGCCCGTTCGCAACGAGGTGAGGGTGCGACCACCAGCCCAACCCCCGTCCGAACCAAACAATACGGTAAGAATCGAACCGAGAGCGCAGGTAATTGCAGCACGCATGACCAAAAAAATGCACTTTGTGTTAGCACTTCTTCGCACTCCAGCACTCAAAACGAAACCAATTTTCAAATCATGACACACAAATTCTCCGCGACAACAAATTAATTCTTATTCGAAAGTGACTGGCACGAGTGGCATTTTAAGAGGAGAGAAAATTTCTCCGCGAGATTCTAAGAAAAAAAGAAGCTATTTTTTGGGTGAATTTAGTGCAGGGATTGCCGCCGCAGAATTTGACGGCCGTGGCCGAAGGGTCGGGCGCCATCAAGGTCAGGTGGAAGCCGCCCCCGCAGGATAAACGACCTGGAAGGATTTACTACTACAAGATTCAGGCAAGGAAATTGTTCACCATTCTGAAAATTTTGGAAACAATTTTATTTGATGACAATCAAAATCTATCGCGAAAATTGAAAGAAAATCCTAATAGTTTGTGGAAATTTAATAAATTTGTTTAATTTTAATTTTGCTAAATGGTTCTTGAATATTCTTGAATTTGAAAGAAAAACCAAATCTTTAAGACGAATTTAAAATAAGTTATCAAAAACAATAATAAAGAATAAAACAGGAGTTCATGGGATTAAAACAAATCAAAGAGTGGAAAAATTTCTAGACATGAGAGGATCAAATTAAAATGCCTTTAGCTGGAAAATTTGTATTTTCGATGAACCCTTAATTTTAAAAATCAGCAGTGTGGCTTACAATTATATTTTCTGTCAAGAAAATTTTATTTCTCTCAAATTCAAGATTGGAAATCTTAACTGAAGCCTTTAATGAAATCATTGAAAATTGTGCGCAGTTTTTAAATTTTAAAAGAATTAAGAAACATAATTTATATAATATTGCTATAAAATTAACCAAATCTTCTAAAATCATCAAAACTATTAATTTTTAAACAAAATTTTTTTTATAACCGAGTAAAAAATTGTTAATTTAAAAAAAAAAATTGAAAATTCGAAACCAACTTGTTGCGAGCAGGTGGTCGAGCACTCGCGACCGGACTCGGAAGCAATGACCATCACCGTCAATTCGTCAAAAACCGACGTGCTGGTGGACGAGCTGAAAAAGTGGACCGACTACCGGGTGTGGGTGACCGCCGGCAGCAGCATGGGTGACAACTCGCCCACGTCTCCGGTGGTGGTGCGCACTGACGAAGATGGTGCGTTCGTTTCCATCCCACACGTCCACACACACACACAGCCCACTCACACTCTCATTTTCCCTTGTGAATACATTTAAACCGTCCGCTTTCAGCAATTTTTTGTCGCCTCTGCTCCCAATGTCAGACGGACGTGTGTGTTTGCGTTAATTGCAAACACTCCGTTTTTCTGCCACGTGGCGACGGCAGATTCGGGCGTTTGAACATGAATTCTAATTGGTTTAGGAAGGAAAAAAGCAGGTGCCATCACAATTAATTCCATCAGAGAAAAAACACTATACATGAAACTTATTCTACGATCCAGGTTTTTAAGAAACGGAAATTTTTATATTTTTTCAATTTTATATTAAATTTGGATTTTATGACTTTTTTAAATTTTTAAAAATAAATAATAATAAATCCAGCAATTTATGTTAAAAATATTGAATTTATTAATTTAAAGTAAATATAAATTGCCTTTTCAATTTTAAAAGATTAATTTTTTTATTAAAATAGCCACGAAAGTTCTAATTAATGTTTTTTTCTAATTTTATTGAATTTTAAACATGTCCGTTTCTACACCAATGAAACAAAAACCGAACCAGTCCAGACAAATATTTGAACAGAAACACAATACACATTTCATTATATTATACAAACATAATATATTCGATCAAACAACGCCGCGCACTACTTTGCATGCTTAATGTGTGTGTGTCAAGCACCTTTTTGACTGACGCACCATCCGCACTCCGCACTTATCAAATTTTATCGCACACTTTATACGGATCATAAATATAATTTTTCAAGAGAAAAACGGCACCGTTTGAATACCGAACTACACACGAGCAGAATTTTTTACACTCTCCCCCAAAAAAATACCCGAGAAATTTTCAAATTTTGCATTTTGACTGGAAAAAAACTGATTTTTGTCCCCTATTTTTTGACTGCTAATGTGGTTCTGCTACTCGATAGTACGCAGTAAGTACCAACAATTTTTGCAATTTTTGTGTGTTTTTTGTGCTAGACAGAGAAAAAAAAATGCCACTATTTTTGTGTGGATTTTTGTTTTTTGGTCGTTTAGCAATATGTATATTTTTGGGTGGTATTCAAATGCCGTCGGCTTGAATTTCCTCTCTGGTTTTTCGAAAGACAGCTCTAGATTTTCGCCGGGTGAAAATTAAAAAATGAAGAAGAAAAAAAATGAGCAAACGGATGTTGTGTTTGACATGTTTGCCGGCGCAGCCATCAGTGTTTGCGCACCAGAGGCGAATTATTTTCTTTAATTACCAGCCGACGAGCCTTTTGTTTTGTGCTCTTGGCTTGTCGACGTGTTTGCTATATTTGCACAGCGAATTTGCCCGGACAAATGGCCTGCTTTTTGCCGTCGGCTGCGCGGAGTAAAAAGCTGCTCCGTGCGAGTAATGCGGCTCGCTCGGCTTCTCGTTTGCTAATTGTTTGTTTGCTCGGTTTTCAGTTTTAATTGTGTTGGAAAAACGTAATGGAGAGGGCTAGAGTAAAATAAAAATAAAAATATTCCACGCACAGAGACAAAAATGCATTTAAAGCAAGCCATTACCCTCTCCGAAAAAAATTCATTAAAAAAAAAATAACGTAATTTTTACATTTTTTTTTTAAATTTTGTTCAAACTCGTTAAATTAATAGTGTTCTGAATACCTCATTTGTTTTAAAAAAGTGAGAACTTTTAAGATTCAAAATTTAATTGGTAAAATCCCAAGTTGATGATAATTAAAAGTATTTTTTTGAAATCCTTTGATTGACGAATGAATTGCATTGGTTATTTAAAAAATGTCTTCAATTCAAAAGTAATTTTTTTTCTTAAAATCATTGGCTTGAAGTTTGTTTCACCTCAAATAGCTCCAATAAAAATTATAATTATATAATGAGCTGTAAAAATAATATAAAATATTCCGTAAATTAAAAACAAAGTATAAACCAAGAAATTAAAAAGAAGACTTGTAATAAAATAACAAAGAAAATTCTTTATATGAGGGAAAAATTAAGTAAATTGTTTTTGGCTATAAATATTTTTGACCAAATTCACACAATTCTCAAAGATCCGTTGTCGGAATAATCTTTGGACCACAAAAAACTCACTTTTACCAGTCTATTCATAAAATTTTATGAAATCAAACGAAAAAATCCATTCATAAATAATTAAATTTTGAATTTTATTCAATTCAGACAGAACAAAAAGTTAATATAATCGATTTTCTTATTTTTTATATGGTTCATTTTACGAAGTCTATTTTTTTTCTTCATCCGAATTCGCCTCGGTGCAGATAAGCGCGATCCCTCATCAGTGCGGATCCCTTTTCTCATTTAATCTTCAAACCCGCAGTGCCCGGCAATCCGCAAGACGTGCGTGTCACTCCGATCAACTCGACGAGCATCAGGGTGGACTGGAAGCCGCCGAGCGACAAGGAGCGCAACGGCCTCATCCGCGGCTACCACGTGCACGTGCAGGAGATCAAGGACGAGGTGAGCTGAGCACCCAAAGTGCCTCTTTTTCCAACGTAATGGCTTATTTTCGCCATCAAATATTCAGAGCAAGAACCTGCTGAACGAGCCGATGAGGTTCGACGTGATTGGCGGAAACATGGAAACTTTCAACGTTACCGGACTCCAGCCCGACACCAAGTATGCTGTGCAGGTACGTGTGTGCGTGGAGGAAAATAAAAGAGAGCGGGCCGCAGATTGGAAAAGCATTCACAGCTACACAACCCCTGACAATTTAGAATTCCGGCTTTATTGTTGAGACAAACTAAAAAGTTTAAATTTTGACTTAAGCTGGAATTCTGAAAAATATTTGGTTCTTTTCATATTATTGGCAAAATATAATTCAATTTAGATAATTTTTTTCCTTAATATTCATTTTTTATAAGAAAAAAGCCGAATTATGTAAAAAAAAATCATTGGTGATTATTTATTTATTAAGTTTTACGTTAAAATGAATTACATTGAATTTTGTATTTTAATTCCACCGAATTTTGTACAAAATTAATTTATTATTTAATTATAATTTTTAATTAGTTCATTTAAAAACTGATTGAAATGTTAAAAATTTCAAGCTTAAGGATTTTATAATTTTTTAAAATTTATATAACTTTGAAAAATAAAATAGTATTGCACTCTCTGTAATTACTTTTTAAGGATTGACTCGCTGCTCTTTGATGTACACTTTGGCCGTTGATCCGATAATAAATGGGGAATGGGAATGACACATATATTCTCTTTGAAAGTGGTGCTAAAATCAAATCTACTTCCTTTTGCAGGTAGCTGCTTTGACTAGAAAAGGCGACGGTGATCGGAGCAACTCCGTAACCGTTCACACTCCCGGCGGGGTTCCCAACCGACCTACTGTGAATTTAAAGTGAGTTTTTGCCCTGTGGCCTCACATGAAGTCGCAATTTATGAGAAATATATGTTAAATAGACGTACAAAGAATATATTATATTAGTTAAAGTCTGGAAAGAATGAAGAGTTTGAATGGAGGCGTCATAAATTTATAAAACTTATGTAAATTAAAATAAAATTGAATAATTTTGATCATTCTATAATATAAAAAAAAAATAGTTGATATTTGAGATAAAATTGCTTGAAATAGAACTTTTAAAAGAAGAAGTTATTTCTAGAAAATTTAATTTTTATAAATAGAGAGAAACAGATTTTCTTATCGTCTACCATTATTATATATTAATTCAGAATCTGATCAAAACCGATCAAAACGTTTTCAACTATTTTCATAAAAATAAATGCCTAAAAATCCATTGCTTTTATACAATTTTATTTTCTTTTTAGTAAAATTGGTATAAATACATTTCCTAAATTTAAATTTTTTTGCCGCAAAAGAGGTTGTGTATATTTCTGGCAGCGCCAAGATTTGGCGTTAGTGCGTGAACCATCCCTTTCCCTTTTCGCTCTCACGCGTGACATTTATCTCTACAACAGGATTCTGGAGAGGGAGCCTTCCGTGACGCTGGAGCTCGAGTGGACTCGTCCGTCGCAGGCGTACGGCGACTTGCTCGGCTACCGACTGAGGTACGGCGTCAAGGACCACGAGAACAGGGTGGAAGTGCAGAAGAACAGCCACACGTTCACGCACCGCATAGAACAGCTCGGTGAGCGTGAAATTTAATATAATTGTGTTTGCACGGCCGGCGAAAATTGCGCCGGCGGAAGGGAAAATTAAAAGCAATTACTTCTTTGTTTAGCTGCGCAACCAGAATTATTTCCTGCGTCACTCTCTGTGTACTTTTCGCGGCTGCGACGAGTTTATAAAAATTAAAAAAGCGAAGGGGAAAGTAAAAATGACACTGAATTTATTTCACACATGAGGGCTGGGGAAAATAAAAATTTTGATATTTGTGCTATTTTTACAGGATTTGATCACAAATATTTAATTAACTTGATCAATCATTTATCATTTCATCCGAAACAATTTTTAAAAATGAGAAGAAACATAAAAGCCTCATTTTTCATTTCTTAGGGTTTTAATTGTTCCTTTCAATTTGGAAAAATAATACTCCACTTGTTGAGGTAAATTCAAGTTAAATCTTTACACAATTGATTCATTCAATTCGTTTATTCTCTCACAACAGGTCAAAATGGTTAAAAATTTCAATTTATTTTTAAAAAATTCCGAAATTTAATTCACATAGTTGTAAAAACTTGATTTGACTCCAGAAAATAAGGAGTCTTAAATTAAAATTTTTATTGCTGATTATTCGTCCTTTTTTACGAACATTGAAAATAATAATCACTTTTTAAATGAGAAAGAAACATTTAATTTTAAGACACCGACACCAACACTAGCAAGAATTTTTCTAAAGCTTCAAAGATCAAGAAGACCCTATCTGGCGCAATTAACTCCTTATTTTTTTCCTTTTTACAAAAAAAAATACTTATCTTATATCTTAGCTTATTTGAACTATACGTAAAAAAAATTACCTTTTAAATTGTTTTTATTTCTTATTACAACATTTTGGAATGAGTGAAATTTTTATGAAATTATGCTTCAACCCGCGCCAAACATTCTGAAATCGATCCCCTTTTACCCTTTGCCAATATCGAGTGCTTATTTGAAGTCCATTCCAAACAACGCTGCTTTTGAACTGACCCGAAGTGGTTGTTTTTTTCCACACAGAGAGAGGAGTCGAGTACGAATTCAGAGTGGCCGGCCAAAACACGATCGGCTACGGACAGGAGACCGTCAAGTACCTGCTAACTCCCGAAGGACCGCCGACGGGGCCGCCTGTCAATGTGACGTTCCACTTCCAAACGCCGGACATCGTGTCTATCCACTGGAAACCGCCGCCCAAGGAGCGCCGAAATGGCCAGTTGACGCGCTACACCATGCTTTTCCACAAAAAGCAAGAGGCGCCCATCGAGAGGAATATCACAATGAACAAGGTTGTTTTTAATTTAATTGTTAAAATTATTAATGTTCTTTTTAGGCCGTATTCACTGACTTGGAAGAGCACTCCGAGTACATCCTCCAAGTCAGGGCGCACACTTTGCAAGGGCCGGGCCCGTACAGTGAAAGGATGACGGTCCGTACGGAGAGGGACATTGTCCGAGCGCCGATGTCCATAAAAGCGGTCGCCACAAGCGAATCGAGTGTTGAAGTGTGGTGGGAAGCTGTTCCCAGTAGAGGAAAAGTCATCGGATATCAGGTTGATTTGAAATTTTCATCAAATTATTTTTGCTTTTTACTGCAAAATTGTTACAAATTTTAGTTTAATTAAATAATTTCAGCTGAACTCCACAAAAAACATGTTTTAACCTAAATTTAATAAAAATGTAACAAAACACTCAGCCTTTTTGTGATTTTAAATGAAAATTATTCAAAATTAATTGTTAATTTGAAAAAATTGTAAACAAAATTATTTAATTGTTTAAAATTAAATCAATAAACTTGTAAAAATAATTTGATTTTAACTTTTTTACTGGCAATCATTAAAAATCGTAAATCATTTATTGTAACATTTATGATTTATTCATTATTTGCTCAAAAATGTTTTTAAAATTTCCACTGCAATTGGAAATCATTATTTTAAATAAATTTAATTTATTTTAAGATTTTCTACACAATGACGGCCGTTGAGGACTTGGACGAGTGGCAGCACAAAGTGGTCGGTATCACCGAGTCAGCAGAATTGACTTCCTTAGAAAAATACGCGCAGTACGCACTTGCAGTGGCGGCCAGAACCAAAACTGTAAGATCTACTTTTAAATTTAAAAATTAAAAGTTATGCAACCTGCACGACACTCATCCATAGGGCTTGGGACGTTTGTCAGAGAAAATCACAGTCAAAGTAAAACCGGAAGACGTGCCTCTCAACCTGCGGGCGCAAGACGTGACCACGCATTCCATGACCCTCACTTGGTCACCACCAATCAGACTGAACCCCATCAATTACAAGGTTGATTTTCTTAAATAAAAAATAGAAACATTTTAATATTAATTATTTTATTTTTTTTTTTTTAGATTTCTTTTGATGCAAGCAAAGAGTTTGTTGACTCACAAGGCATAACTCAGACACAAACAATTCCAAGACGCACAATTTTGCTGGAGGCGACAGCCAGGAGCTACACCATCAATGAATTGTCTCCCTTTACAACTTACAGCGTCAACGTCAGCGCCATTCCCTCGGACAGGCAATATACTCCACCAACCAAAATTGCAGTCACAACGCAAATGGCAGGTTAGTGGATTTAAAAAGAAAGAAAAATTTGTATGGCTTTAAAGAAATTATAATTTTATTTCAAGGGGGTTCTCCTTCTAAAACATAGATAATTTTTATCATAGAATGATTTGTTAATCATTTAAAAATTTTTGGACTGCAATTCTTGCACACTTTCTTTTAAAAGTGGTTATTTTTATTTTCATAAAATTAGCACTGCACTGACGATTACCACAAACACATTCCAGCTCCACAGCCGATGGTCAAGCCTGACTTTTACGGAGTTCTCAACAGCGAGGAAATTCAAGTGATCCTTCCCCAAGCGTCCGAAGAGTACGGCCCTATCAGCCATTACTTTTTGATTGCCGTACCTGACGTCCCCAAAGCTCCAAAACATCCCGACGAACTTTTAACAGAAAAGGTTCAAATGCCACGCAATTTTTAAAATAAATTTATAATCTGATTCTAAAAAATTCAGGTCTCTGCAAATCAGGGAATGAAAACAGAGTACACCCTGGAACCGTACGTGGCTGCCAAATTCCCACAAAGGAACATTCCATACACTTTCCACCTTGGAAATGGGGAAGCCTATGATGGCTACATCAATCGGAAACTGCAACCTGGCAAGAAGTACCGGATTTTTGTTCGGGCAGTGGTTGATACTCCACAGAAGGTGCAGTATATATTTTTATAAAAATGAAGCTCAACTTAAATGAAAAAATATAATTAAATATTACAATTGAAAAAAAAAATTGTTAAATTAATATTAATTAAAAAGAGAAACAAAAATAACTAAAAACCTTTAGTCAATTTCATAAAAAAAAACTTTAAATCATTTGATTGGCTCAAATTTTAATATCAAATATTTTTTTAAATTTTTTAGCATTAAAATTATTGAAATTTTTTTTTTATTTAAAAATAAATAAAAAAATTTAAATAGAACATCCCTTTTTTTGTTGCAAATTTTGACGAATTTTATTGAAATTTCAATAGCATCTCTACACATCGAGCCCATACTCGGAGTTGCTGTCCCTCGACATGCGAGAAGTGCCCCCTGGAGAGCCCCCTAGGCGTCCAAATCCCAATGTTCCGGTTGAGACGTCAGAAGTCTCGGTCAACCGAAACCTGGATGAAGCAGGCGCCCTGTGGATAATCGGCCCTGTCATTGCTGCTATCGTCCTGGCCATGTGTCTTTTGGCCGGACTGGTCGTCCGCAGACAGAGGCAGCCGAGAAAAATGCCTGAACACGGAACGGTCACCCGACCTCTGATGACGGCAGAGCCCTCACCGGTGCCCACAGGCCCTCCGGTGCATCCCCATGACCCGGTTGAAGTGAGAAGAATTCAGTTCAAGACGCCGGCTATGCTGGCACATCCCCCTGTCCTTATTTCTCACCTGGCCACGCACGTGCAAGCCCTGAAGGCCAACGACAACATCAAATTTTCACAGGAATATGAGGTATAAATTTAATTTAATTGAATAAATTATCTTTCCCGAGGAGCGATGGCTCTTTCCCGAAGAGCCATGGCTCTTTCCCGAGGAGCGATGGCTCTTTCCCGAGGAGCCTTATTTGACTCCGTATGCTTGTTCAAATATGACTCTTTCGTGCTCTTTAAACTTAACTTATAAGTTATATTTCCTGTTACAAATTCATGTATACATGTTTAATGTTTTAATTGCAAATTTACTATATCAATGAGCTTAAAGTTTGGTGTGTAAATTAAAATATTTAATTAAATTATTACTTTTTAAATTATATTTAATTAATAATTTATGAAATTCCAACTGGTTGTAGGATTTAGTTTTTAGTTTTAAATCATGTTTATTAATGTATCATTCAAGTCTAGTAAAAGTACTGATTTGGTGAAAAAAATACTTTGACCAAATAACATTGACAATTATTATTATATTTTTATTTTTTAGGAGCGCCGGCTCCTCAGGAGCGCCGGCTCCTCAGGAGCGCCGGCTCCTCAGGAGCGCCGGCTCCTCAGGAGCGCCGGCTCCTCAGGAGCGCCGGCTCCTCAGGAGCGCCGGCTCCTGGGGAAAGAGCCACGGCTCCTCGGGAGCCACGGCTCCTCGGGAGCCACGGCTCCTCGGGAGCGCCGGCTCCTCAGGAGCGCCGGCTCCTCAGGAGCGCCGGCTCCTCAGGAGCGCCGGCTCCTGGGGAAAGAGCCACGGCTCCTGGGGAAAGAGCCACGGCTCCTCGGGAGCCACGGCTCCTCGGGAGCGCCGGCTCCTCAGGAGCGCCGGCTCCTCAGGAGCGCCGGCTCCCGAGAAGCCGTGGCTCCCGAGGAGCCGTGGCTCTTTCCCCAGGAGCCGTGGCTCTTTCCCCAGGAGCCGTGGCTCTTTCCCCAGGAGCCGTGGCTCTTTCCCCAGGAGCCGTGGCTCTTTCCCCAGGAGCCGTGGCTCTTTCCCCAGGAGCCGTGGCTCTTTCCCCAGGAGCCGTGGCTCTTTCCCCAGGAGCCGTGGCTCTTTCCCGAGGAGCAAACCTGAATTTTATTTTATTTAAATTTATTTTCGCTATAATAGAGCATTTTAGTTTATTTAAATTCAATAGGTTAAAAATTTGTTCACCTACTTCTTCCATTTCTCTCCTAAAAAGCCACGGCTGTCCTGAGGAGCCACATGTAAATCTTTTCATAGATTTTTTCATTGGGAAAAGTCTAAAACTTTAAATAAAATGTTAGCTTTAATTGGTTTAAATTTTAAATAAAACTAAGAAACAGCTTTAGCAAATTAGATTTTGAATGCTGTTGTATTTTCCTAAAAAGAAATAAATATCTTTCTTTTTCAGTCAATTGAGCCAGGCCAGCAATTCACATGGGACAACTCTAGTCTGGAGGTGAACAAACCAAAGAACCGTTATGCCAACGTCATCGCCTACGACCACAGTCGCGTCGTCCTGCAGTCCGAGCACGGCGTTCCGGGCTCGGACTACATCAACGCCAACTTTTGCGACGGCTACCGCAAACCAAACGCTTACATTGCGACGCAAGGACCTTTAGCGGATACGTTCGCCGCCTTCTGGAGGATGGTCTGGGAGACAAAGAGCTCCTCCATTGTGATGATGACGAGGCTGGAGGAGAGGGCGAGGATCAAGTGCGACCAGTACTGGCCCACTAGAGGCTCCGAAACCTACGGTCCCATCACAGTTGCGGTCAAGGATACCCAGCATCTGGCCGCCTTCAGCATTAGAAGCTTTACTTTAACCAAGGTCAGTACAAATCTGCAACAACAAATTTGTATTAAATTTTGTAAAATCAAATTATATTTTTATGTTTGTCTATCTGTTATTTACTTAGTTAATATTTTTTTTAAATATTCTTGTTCTTCATTTTAAAATAATTCAGAAACGATAGTTTTGTTTTTTTTTTTTTTTTTTGAAATAAAATAGGTTTTTTTAATATATTTTAAAAGAGTTTTATAAAAATTTTGTGATTAATTTTTTTAATTTATATCTAATTTATATGTTATATTGTATAAATATTATTTAATAATTTTTTTTTATTAATTATTAAAACGATAAGTTAAAACACCAATCAAACTTCCATGTTGCTTTAATTTTCTATAAAATTTTTATTTTTCATTTATTCTTTATTAGATATTTTGAGAACATGTTTAAAATTTCACCAATATTTGTTTTTTTAGAAATTTCTGTTTTTAACTGTAAATAAATTATTAATAAAACACCAATTTAAAGTATTTAAAAATGTTTTCTTCGTCGGAAACAGGTTGGCAGTTCCGAACGGAGAGAAGTGCGCCAGATGCAATTCACAGCATGGCCTGACCACGGAGTACCAGAACATCCGGCGCCTTTCTTGATTTTCCTCAAACGAGTCAAAGCCCTGAATTCGTCCGACGCGGGCCCCATCATCGTCCACTGCAGTGCCGGCGTCGGCAGGACGGGATGCTTCATCGTCATCGACTCCATGATCGAGAGAATGAAACACGAAAAGTCCATTGACATTTACGGGCACGTGACTTGTCTCCGAGCTCAACGGAATTACATGGTCCAGGTTGGTTATGAAAACTGTAAATTTTTATGGAAAAATTTCATAATTTGCTTTTTTCCAGACTGAAGACCAGTATGTTTTTATTCACGACGCTCTGCTTGAGCACTTCATTTGCGGCAACTCCGAAGTTCCCGCCCGAAGTCTGCACTCTCACTTGCAAAGACTGCTCATAGCTCCAATCGCACCTGATCAACCCACAGGAATGGAGCTTGAATTTAAGGTAAAAAATGACTAAATCTTAGTTAATTTAAAGTAAATTAGTAAAATTTAAGGTCTAAAAAATAAATTTTCAATGATGTTGTGTGGAAGTTAAAAAAAGATTACAGATGAGAACTTTGATACATTTATAAGAATGTCTATTATATTCTTAATATTTGTTAAATTGTTATAATGAATTAACTAATAGTCTTGGAAATAAGGGTTAAATTGGATTTTTGGGGAAAATGATGAGGAAAAACAGTTTTAATTATAATATAATTATTCTATTTTTTGTTTTACGTAATTTTTGAGGGGAATCTTAAAAAAATGGAATGATTTAATATAATAGGTTTTTTATTGTGATTTACAACTTATTTGAATGAAAGTGTTTTCATTTTTTATTTTTTTTTTTTTTTATTTTTAGAAATTAAACAACTTGCTGGCGGACGGGACGCGTTTTGTGACTGCGAACATGATGTGCAACAAGCCCAAAAACAGGCTCGTCCACATTCTGCCTTACGAGGCCACCCGAGTGTGTCTGCAGCCGATCAGGGGCATGGAAGGCTCGGACTACATAAACGCCAGTTTCATCGACGGATACAAGTACCGCGCTGCGTACATTGCGACGCAAGGACCTCTGGCCCACACCTCGGAGGACCTTTGGCGCATGCTGTGGGAGCACAACTCGACCATCATCGTCATGCTCACCAAACTCAAGGAAATGGGCCGAGTGAGACGTTCAAAAGTTGGATCATAAATTTTTCTAATTATAAAAAATTTAGGAAAAATGTTTCCAATACTGGCCAAACGAACGGTCCGTGCGCTACGATTGCTTTGTGGTGGACCCAATTGCTGAGTACAACATGCCCCAGTACATTTTGAGAGAATTCAAAGTATTTGCTTTTTCTTATAAAAAAATGTATTCATAAAATTAATTTAATTAGATTACTGATTCGAGAGACGGGCAGTCGCGGACGATTCGTCAGTTCCAGTTTGTGGACTGGCCAGAGCAAGGCGTTCCCAAATCCGGAGAGGGTTTCATAGACTTTATTGGTCAGGTGCACAAAACCAAGGAGCAGTTTGGCCAAGAAGGACCAATTACAGTTCATTGCAGGTAGAAAAATATCAATTTCGGTTCCACTGATACGTTAATAATTATAACTATTTTTCAATTCAGCGGTGGCGTTGGACGAACAGGAGTTTTTATCGCCTTGAGTATAATTTTGGAGAGGATGCAGTACGAAGGGGTGGTTGACGTGTTCCAGACTGTGCGAATTTTGAGGACGCAGAGAACAGCGATGGTCCAAACGGAGGTGAGGAAATTACTAATTTAATGACTTTTAGTATTTTTAAAATAAATTACATTTTATCTTTTTAAATAATACATATAAATACATATATATAAGTCAACAGAATGAAATAATACTTTATAAAAGCATAATAGATTGCAAAAATTTTAACTGGAATGAATTAAAAAATTATTTTTTTATTAACTGTGCTAAATTATATTGATTTTTTTTTTTAAATTTTTAATTTTTTTCCAAGAATTTCTGGAATCTCAAATGAATTATCTTTCTTCAATTTTAGCTCAATTTTAACTGATTGAATTTTAAAAAATTTTATCCTTCTTATTTCAGGAGCAATACCAGTTTTGCTACCGCGCCGCCCTGGAATATTTAGGGTCGTTTGATCATTACACCACCTGAGACATAGACGTTTTAGTCTAAACAAATTGATAGGCAAGACTTTTAACAAATTGGGAGGAGAACCACAGCAGTGCTTCTGGAAAAGTGCGACAAAGTGTTTTGTGCGTCGACTTCGATTTGTGGCAGAAAGACGAGTCGACGCCGAACAAACAGCGAAGGAGAAAACGAGATTACATAAAAAAAAGAACGTCTTTTGCTATAACAAGTGTGTATAAATTGAATCAATTAATTCTGACAATAATCGCAGAGATAGGGTCAAAATTAATTAACGTATCAACACATTATACGCGGAATCAAACGTTACAATTGATGCTTATCAGGCGCAATTTTAATCAAATTCTATTATATAAATAAAAATATCAATTTTGAAGTTTGCTTTTGCGCGAAACGTTTGTGTGTAAATAATTATGAACAATTGCTATGTTATTTTTCTCACGTTTGCTATTAACCCATAGTAGGCCTTCGGATGAGAAAAATGGGCCGCTCGCTGAAAATATTTGCAAGCTGAAGAGACCAAAATTTTTAACATGCTTATGTCGACGTGCGAAAAGTACCTGGGGAGAGAGTTATCATTTTGCTTCAGGTCTGTCAAAAAATTAAGAAATATTTTCATGCGCAGCGAAGAACATTTATCCCAAGCATGGTAGCTCAAGTTCCTCCACAGCAGAGGAATACTTTTCTACAAAATCAGGATAATAAATATACAACAGAAAAAAATAACGCTGTAGAAACATTATCTAGGCTATTGCTGGAGCTTGTTATAACTTTTAGGCGTTCTATCATCTGAGCCACAAAAATTCTTTGTTTGAAAAATTTCAACTATGTAGCCGTCCAAAGTTGATCATGTGTATAAATCAGTGGCGGCATCAAAGGTGTTCAAGGCGGAAATAATAACTGATTGCTGGCATCGGGACGGGTACGGGAATTTCGTTTTAGCCACTCACCGAAACAAACTCCCAAAGTACGAAATCTAATGTGCTTTCAAAAATTTAAGAATTAATGGTTTTTTTTATTAAAAATTTAATTATGGTTGTTTGTAAATATATTAGTTGAAAATCTCAAGAAGCCACGGCTCTCCCGAGGAGCCACGGCTCTCCAGGGGAGCCACGGCTCTCCAGGGGAGCCACGGCTCTCCCGAGGAGCCACGGCTCTCCGAAGGAGCCACGGCTCTCCAGAGGAGCCGGCGCTCCTGGGGAGCCACGGCTCTCCTGGGGAGCCACGGCTCTCCAGGGGAGCCACGGCTCTCCCGAGGAGCCACGGCTCTCCCGAGGAGCCACGGCTCTCCCGAGGAGCCACGGCTCTCCCGAGGAGCCACGGCTCTCCCGAGGAGCCACGGCTCTCCGAAGGAGCCACGGCGCTCCTGGGGAGCCGGCGCTCCTGGGGAGCCACGGCTCTCCTGGGGAGCCACGGCTCTCCAGGGGAGCCACGGCTCTCCCAAGGAGCCCCGGCTCTCCCGAGGAGCCCCGGCTCTCCCGAGGAGCCACGGCTCTCCAGAGGAGCCACGGCTCTCCAGAGGAGCCGGCGCTCCTGGGGAGCCGGCGCTCCTGGGGAGCCACGGCTCTCCCGAGGAGCCACGGCTCTCCAGAGGAGCCGGCGCTCCTGGGGAGCCGGCGCTCCTGGGGAGCCGATGCTCCTGGGGAGCCACGGCTCTCCTGGGGAGCCGATGCTCCTGGGGAGCCACGGCTCTCCCGAGGAGCCACGGCTCTCCAGAGGAGCCGGCGCTCCTGGGGAGCCGGCGCTCCTGGGGAGCCGATGCTCCTGGGGAGCCACGGCTCTCCTGGGGAGCCACGGCTCTCCAGGGGAGCCACGGCTCTCCCGAGGAGCCCCGGCTCTCCCGAGGAGCCCCGGCTCTCCCGAGGAGCCACGGCTCTCCAGAGGAGCCACGGCTCTCCAGAGGAGCCGGCGCTCCTGGGGAGCCGGCGCTCCTGGGGAGCCACGGCTCTCCAGGGGAGCCACGGCTCTCCCGAGGAGCCACGGCTCTCACACATGCGAGCACCGAGAAATCTTAGATGGAACTCCTTCTGGATATGGAAAAGCGTGGTTTCGGGAATGATTTAGAGTTTGCGGACAAAAAAATTGGTCGTGTGCGGAATGTAAGCGCACGTAAACATTATCGGAAGCTCGTACTCAGGGAGTTTGGATTGAATGAGTTCAGTTTGTATGTTACGTCGGCAGAGTCGCTACAAAAACAATTTTTTCTACTAATATATTTACAAATAACCTTAACTAAATTTAAAAAAAAAAACACATGAATTTAAATTCTTGAATACACATTAGAGTTCGTACACCGGGAATTTGTACTCTGGGCTGGCGACCATATAAAAATCTAGGATAGGTCATTCTGATAAGTTCTAGCTAGTTTTTTAAATTTTTTTTCAATTTATAAAAAAAAATATTTTTAATTGAAACTGGGATCTGGGAATACTGGGAATAAATTTTTACTGGAGTGGGGGAGGGGGGCTCCAATAAAATTTCCTCATGGGCCTCGCACGATGAAACGCCGCCACTGGTATAAATTATAAATAAATTATGTGTATGGCAGATTTCTTTAAAGTTTAAGTGTTGAGAAATTATATTATTCAATGGAAATATTTGTTAAATAGTGACAAGTCAAAAAGTATGACCAAAATTTACTTATTTTCTCTTTTTTTTAATTTAAAAAAAAATCCGTTTTATTAAAACCGAGAAAAAAATTGATGTAAAATATAGACGCTGTATTATGTAGTATTTTGCAATTAATTGTTTAAATTGAATGCAATTATTTAAAAAGCCGTTGATTTATTGATTAGTTTTCAGTGTTCATTAGTAGATCTGATTTCTCGCAACACCCGTGTCGCAGCTCTACTGGATAGCCCATACACATATCGAACGAAACTTTCCTCTAAATTTGCGAAAATTATCGATGATCTCATATCATTGTAACGAATAAATATCAGATTACACATAATCAATGCGCGTGTGCCAATTTTAGTCTGCCAGTAGATCTGCACTATTGGTGTGAAAATGCAAAAAAAATTATACCGTTGATATCATGTGTATAGTTTAAAAAAAAATCATCAATAAATTTGGAACAGTTCATTTCTAATATAATATATGCGCTAATTATTGAGTGATATTACTGATGTAAAAAAGAAGCGAGGAAACGCTCGGCGATCTGTGTTAGTTATTTATTTGAAGATTAATATGACATTGCGGTGATTGTGGTTTTACTGTGAATGGCGATCAACCAATTAAAAAGTAATGTATCAATAAATTTGGAATTTTTATTCAATTTTCCTTTATTTTATGCTTGAAATTTTCTTGCTCCAAACAAACTCAGCCAGATCGGAGGCGGTAAAATGTATTTCATTTCATTTATTCTCTCGCAACAAGTCAAACACACTCGGGTGGCCTCGTAAGGCAGGATGTGGACGAGCCTGTTTTTGGGCTTGTTGCACATCATGTTGGCAGTCACAAAACGCGTCCCGTCCGCCAGCAAGTTGTTTAATTTCTAAAAATAAAAAATGAAAACACTTTCATTCAAATAATTTATCACTATAATCACAATAAAAAACTATTATATTAAATCATTCCATATAGCTTGTGTCGTCAAAATTTATTAAATTTTAAATAGAAAGGAATTATGAAGCTTAAATTATATTATAATGTTGTGAGAAAATTTTTGTTCTGAAATATAAAAGCAAGTATGCGAGCGAAGCGTGCAAAATTATTCGCTTAAAACATTACTTGCAAAAAAAAAAATTCAAAGGGTTACATAATATTTTTACTAAACGATGTGTCAATTTTACTACTTCCTTAGATTTAAGACGAAGTTTTAACCATTATTTCCAAGACTATAAGTTAATTCATTATAACACTTTAACAAATATTAAGAAAAAGACATTATTATAAATGTATCAAAGTTATCATCTGTAATCTTTTCGTAACTTCTACACATCATTTAAAATTCATTTTTTTGACATTAAATTATTTTAATTTAATTGAACTAAGATTTGGTCATTTTTTTTTTTACCTTAAATTCAAGCTCCATTCCTGTGGGTTGATCAGGTGCGATTGGAGCTATGAGAAGTCTTTGCAAGTGAGAGTGCAGACTTCGGGCAGGAACTTCGGAGTTGCCGCAAATGAAGTGCTCAAGCAGAGCGTCGTTAATAAAAATATACTGGTCTTCAGTCTGGAAAAAAGCAAATTATGAAATTTTTCCAGAAAAGGAGCCCAAGGAGCAATGGCTCTTTCCCGAGGAGCGATGGAGGAAAAAGGGACAAATTTTTAAAAATTTTAGCAGGAAAAAATGGAGCTAAAATTGAAGAAAGATAATTCCTGAGTTTAAAAAAATAAGAATTTAGTATTAAATTATAACTTAAAATCATTTATTTGATTTATTTATTGAATCCTTTAATAATTTAATTTTGGCAAATAATTCCATTCTATGCTTTATAAATTGAATTAGCTAATTATGTAAAATTACTCAAATTCATTAAATTATGAGTTTCCTTACCTCCGTTTGGACCATCGCTCTTCTCTGCGTCCTCAAAATTCGCGCATGTGGGAAATTTGGGAACGCCTTGCTCTGGCCAGTCCAAAAACTGGAACTGACGAATCGTCCGCGACTGCCCGTCTCTCGAATCAGTTATCTAATTAAATTAATTTTATATTTAAATTTTTTAAGGGAAAGCAAATACTTTGAATTCTCTCAGAATGTACTGGGGCATGTTGTACTCAGCAATTGCGTCCACCACTAAGCAATCGTAGCGCACGGACGGTTCGTTTGGCCAGTATTGGAAACATTTTTCCTAAATTTTTTTGAAAATTAGAAAAATTTATGATGAAACATATGAATTTCTCACTCGGCCCATTTCTTTGAGTTTGGTGAGCATGACGATGATGGTCGAGTTGTGCTCCCACAGCATGCGCCAAAGGTCCTCCGAGGTGTGGGCCAGAGGTCCTTGCGTCGCAATGTACGCAGCGCGGTACTTGTATCCGTCGATGAAACTGGCGTTGATGTAGTCCGAGCCTTCCATGCCCCTGATCGGCTGCAGACACACTCGGGTGGCCTCGTAAGGCAGAATGTGGACGAGCCTGTTTTAGGGCTTGTTGCACATCATGTTGGCAGTCACAAAACGCGTCCCGTCAGCCAGCAAGTTGTTTAATTTCTAAAAATAAAAAACGAATAAGAAATGAAAACACTTTCATTCAAATAAGTTGTAAATCACAATGAAAAACTATTATACTAAAAATCATTTCCCTCAAATATTAGATAAAACAAAAAATTTAATAACCATTGAAACTGTTTTTCCTCATCATTTTTGCCAAAAATCCAATTTAACAATTATTTCCAAGACTATTAGTTAATTCATTATAACAATTTAACATAAACAAATATTAAAGTGGATATCAAAAACGAAAAATTTTTTTTTTAAAATCATCAGTTTTGGATAGGATGCATCAAAACTCATCAATAGGGACTAAAATATTTTAAAAATATCACTAATTTTAAAGTTTACAGTAGCCAGAAAAGGTCTCGATTATCGTAATTCAGTCATTCGAAGACAATTTTTTAATTATCAACATTTCGCCGATGGCTAAACCAAAGTTTTTGAAAAATTAGAGCTGGACGTAAAAAAACATGGCCGGCTCCTCAGGAGCGCCGGCTCCCCAGGAGCGCCGGCTCCCCAGGAGCGCCGGCTCCCCAGGAGCGCCGGCTCCCAAGGAGCGCCGGCTCCCCAGGAGCGCCGGCTCTTGAGGAGCGCCGGCTCTTGAGGAGCGCCGGCTCCCCAGGAGCGCCGGCTCCCCAGGAGCGCCGGCTCCCAAGGAGTTCCGGCTCCCAAGGAGCGCCGGCTCCCAAGGAGCGCCGGCTCCCCAGGAGCGCCGGCTCCCAAGGAGCGCCGGCTCCCAAGGAGCGCCGGCTCCCTAGGAGCGCCGGCTCTTGAGGAGCGCCGGCTCCCAAGGAGCGCCGGCTCTTGAGGAGCGCCGGCTCCCAAGGAGCGCCGGCTCCCCAGGAGCGCCGGCTCCCCAGGAGCGCCGGCTCCCCAGGAGCGCCTGCTCTTGAGGAGCGCCGGCTCTAGAGGAGCGCCGGCTCCCCAGGAGCGCCGGCTCCCAAGGAGTTCCGGCTCCCGAGGAGCGCCGGCTCCCAAGGAGCGCCGGCTCGCCAGGAGCGCCGGCTCCCAAGGAGCGCCGGCTCCCCAGGAGCGCCGGCTCTTGAGGAGCGCCGGCTCTTGAGGAGCGCCGGCTCCCCAGGAGCGCCGGCTCCCCAGGAGCGCCGGCTCCCCAGGAGCGCCGGCTCCCCAGGAGCGCCGGCTCCCCAGGAGCGCCGGCTCCCAAGGAGCGCCGGCTCCCCAGGAGCGCCGGCTCTTGAGGAGCGCCGGCTCCCCAGGAGCGCCGGCTCCCCAGGAGCGCCGGCTCTTGAGGAGCGCCGGCTCCCCAGGAGCGCCGGCTCCCCAGGAGCGCCGGCTCCCCAGGAGCGCCGGCTCCCAAGGAGCGCCGGCTCCCCAGGAGTTTAATTTAGAGAAAATAAAGTGTCACTTGTGTCTCACAAAATAAATTTCTCCTAACAAATACAATTAGGCTCTGTTGCTTATTGTGGATAAGAAACGCAAAATGGATTTTCCCTCTGTAGGGCATATGTGCGCATTTTTCAGCCACAGTTGGCACGCACTCTCCGTTATATCGTCATCGTCGCGTGTAAGGGCTCATTATAAAAGATTCGGCAACAACAAGCAGTTCGCACGATGAGTGCGTCGCTGACGGACGCGTTGGCCACCGACAGGTCAAGTCGCAGAAGCAGGTCAGCCGACTCGGAAAAGGTAAAAAAAAATTCAAAGTTCTTCTTTATTTTGTTGTCTTGGGCGTTCCTTAGCAACATAAGAAATTCTCCGTCTCACCTCAATTTTCTATTGAATAATATTTGATATTTCAAAATATTCTAAAGGGTTTGCTGGAGTTGCATGTGTATGAGGTGCCGGTTGAGAATTGGCAGGAGTCGCGCCAACTGACCAGCAGCCCTATCGACAAGCAGTCCATATCTCTTGGCTTCCTCAGGTTTGTTTCAAACAGAAACCGATCGAAACTTCTTTGTTTGCTGATTCCTATAAATAGCCCCGTGGAATGAAATTTTTGCGCAGTAATACTTTCTGGCACGAAAACTTATGTCACTGACGGATTAAAGGTCGTTTTTTTGGAAGAAAGGGCAAAAATATAATAAATTCATGTACTCCAAGAATTTCATCTTAGATAATGAAAACACGCAGGACAAGGTCTGGTTGATATAATATACAAGTTAAACTATGTGGTTTTTATCTGGGAACAAGATTAACCTTCAGAAATAGTAATTTTGTACAAATCCATAAGTTAATTTCAGGACAATAACGTTTTCCTTGAAATAATTTATCAAAAGTATTATTATTTTGTTTAATTTTTAACTTTTTACTTTTATATAAATTTTGTTAAGTATAAAGTATTTAATTTTGAGGACAATTACAATTAATTTACATGTAATTCAAATCGACGCCACTTCCTGGTGGTCACTCTGCCACTAACTCGCTTGCGTGTGCCCACTCGCGTGTTTGCCACGGCACCCTAGTGACCCCGAAACGAGGGGAATCGATGGCGACCCCGTTTTTCGCGACCAATCGCCACAAAGAGGGCCGCGAGGAATAATTGGGGAAAGTGGAACGGCGGCGATTCATTTTCACCAGCAGGGTCAGTCCGGAGGCGAGCGTCCGACGCCTAAGAACAGAGATCGCCATGCAGCTCGGACCGCAAATCGCTCCCGACGACTTCGTTTTCCTCAGGTCTGTCGGAAGGAACTACACGCAGGTGAAAACAGAGTCAAATTATGGTTTTCTTCACCTTTGATAGATTAAAGAAATAAGAAATCATTTTATATATATATATATTAATTTTCTTTCATTATTTCTCAACATTTTTCTTTCAATGTACAATTGTTTACAGCAGTTTGGACAAATAAACAATAATAATCATTTAATTAATTAAAAAAAGCAAAGCAAAAATAATTTTAAAAAGTATAAATTTTAGATAAATTCCCATTTTGACTGTTGACTTTGATATACATAATTGAAATTTCTGATATTTTGTATTTCCAAAAATACAATGAATATATTAATCTTGTCGCAAGAAAATCCCATCTACCCTATAATCAACATTTATTTATGGATATGACGCAACGAACGCAACCTGCTTATTTCCTATGACGTGCGGGTGGCCTACCCTCGTCACCGACAGGCGTCATACCAAATTTTTGACCTGTTCGTCGAGTAGATTTTTCATAATGTTTCCCTCTGCTTCAGGTAAAGTTGCACCAAGAAGAACAGCTACGAGCAAAGAATTTCGCTCCTCCTTATGCCAACGATCCTGAAGTTTATATGATTAAAATCAAAAGTGAGTCGCGACTTGAAACTACAACGTCATTTCTTACCGACTCAGATAAGGGCAGAGCGATAAAAGGTAAAATTAATTTTTTTACATCAATTTAATTAAAAAAAAAATCTGATAAAATTGTTAAACAAAAAATATTTTAATTTTTAAATTTATTTGTTTTTACTTGTTTGTTAAAGGATTTCCAGACGATCTCTATTCATTGACGTCACCACAGTCGGCTGAATTGAACAATTTGAGCACATTAACATTCCCGGCGTTGTCACTAACGCCACAGCAGGGCTTGCAGACTGTGGTTCCGGCCATCGAGCAGTCACCGGCTGTGCACACCGAGGATTCGGGGGTCATGTCTGAGGAAGAAACGCCCTCGCCAGAACCATATAAAGCCATCGCCTTGCCAGGTCCAAAAGCTATCACTGCTGCAGAAAGTTTTGAAACGGAGAAGGACGAGGAAGCCGAGGAAGAGGAGAAAAATAAAGATGGGTATAAAAAAAATCATTTTTTAAATAAATTAATATTTAGTTTGATAAATATGATTAATATTAAATTAAATAAATTATAAATTTACACTTTTAGCAGCGAGTACAGCGAGTCGGCGCCTGCAATAGTTGAGGCGATTCCAAACCTCAGCAAGCACCACCTGTTCAGCCAGAATGATGATGAGCCTGTTTCACCTGGGCCAATTGTGACCATTCCTATTGCAGATAAGCACGATAAGTTTTTTTCGCCAAATATCGAGCAGAAGGGCGACTTCTCCGTCACTTTCGTCATCCTTGAGGATGATGCAGCACCAAAGACCCCAATCCAAAGAATTATGGACACCCCCATTGAACTAGATGGTGAGCTGGAGGAGGCCGAAGAACCTCAGCAGTTCAGACTTTTCCAGGGAAACAATTCCACTAACGATGATGATGAAAATGAAGATGGTAGAAGTAATAATGAAATTTAAGAAATCTGTATTAATCAGAACTTTTTTCACACAGAACTGGCCCTTATGAGAGAATTGCGGGAGATATCGATTATGAACCGAGAAGAGGAGGCTCGTCGACACCTCTTGGTCGGCCGAGCCACCGATTTGCAGCAAAAACTGCGCGTCAAAAAAGACAAGGTTCCTTTTTTCATTCTGCTTCAAACCTGAAATCCCTAAATTTTTCAATTTGCAGAAGCAGACGGCTTTGAAGTCGCAGCTTGTAGCTGCCAGGCGGACGCAAGTTCCGCTGGAACATGCGTGCGCCCAGCTGCGAATGGAGCTCGACCGACACTTGCTCAGCTCCTTGGACAACAACAAGGACCAGCAGGTCAAGATTTCAGGTCTAAGGGATGGACCTTCACGCAAGTCCAACCTGAAAATGGCTGCCTGCAGACTGCAGCGAGAGGTCAAAGATTTAAACCGAACAATCGGCTCTGTCAAGCTCAGACTAGAAACTGAAATTAAGGTTTGTCTCGAATTAAAAATAACTTATTTTGTTTAAAAATATTTGTCTTGTGCAGTTAAGAGCGCACGTAGAAATGGACATTCGCAACTTCCGATCTGAGTTATCCGAGAAAAAAGCAGCTGTGGCCGCCTTGCGCTCTTCGAGGATAATGCCTTCGACCAGGACGCGCTTGCCCACAATTACAAATAAAGCCTAAGAGTTCTTCAAAATCCAATCCAAATTTTTCACAAGATAAACTGAATCCGTCCGCAATAATTCTAGATGTATCAAAGCAATAAATTAACGAAATTGGTGCTGATTTTACAACTATTAGTATTTTATTTATTAACTTTCAACGTTAACAGGTTATCCTTGGAGAGGACAAAATACAACGAATCTGCCGCTTTGTGGTCACAACAAACATGAGCTGCCGCATGTATCATAAATTTGTGTAAAAATCACTTTTGAATGATAAAAATACTAAAAGCAAAATCATTGCAATAGCCCCATTGAATTAAAAAATCAGTCACGATAAAAGAGACGCAAAAAGTGATATTGCGGGTTTGCATAATTAGTCGGTAGAGGAAGAATGGAACTTGATAAGTAGGTTAATTAATACTGGGTTACTCTTCGGTGATGATCTCGACGTAGTTGGCTGGGAAGAGACCGTAGGTTCCGTCAGGACCGAGACCCTGCCACCATCCCTCGTCAATCAGGTCAATGTGCGTGATGACATCATCAGGGTCAAAAGAGATCTCGGTCGCGTCAGCTAGAATTTTAATTGAAAATTTTGGTGAAATGAAAAATACAATTCAAATGTTTGTCCAAAACGCACCAGCCTGGTAATCATAGAGCGCTCTGGCCCTGATTCCGTAGTCTTCTTTGCTGGGAGGAGTTTCTGGTTGTGATTCTTGCTCAGGCACAGGTTCATTTTGCACTGGCTCAGCTGTTCAAAAAATAAAAACTTTAACTAATAATTAAAAAAAGAAATAAAAAATACCTGGTGTTTCATTGTCGGGAGAAAGTTGCATAGGGGCAGGAACGTCGTCAAAACGGGCCAACGTTCGCTGCGCTTCGGCCAGAGGAGAAAGTTGCTCCTCTGAGTTAGTTGGAATGTTTCCGTGATTTCCATGACCATTGTTTAAATTAAGTTCCTAGTGAAAATAAAATAAATAAATAATACAATTTCTTTTTTAAAAATTTCATTATAAAACCTTGGGCGGATTGACGAAAGACCTAACCACTACTTTCTCCTCTTTTTTCGGCTCAGGGTGCTTCTGCGTCCACTCATCCTCCTTTTTCTGCATTTTTTCAAGGCTCTTTTCCTGAAAAAAAAATATTAAATTCACATTGAAGAAAAAATAAAGATGACTGAAACAACCTCTAATTTGATCCTCTCCTCCTCACTCCGTTTGGTCTCCTCCTCCCTTTTGCGTTTCTCTTCAGCTTGTCGTTTTTTCTCCTCCTGCTCCTCCTTTTCCCAAAACCTGTCCCGCTCGCTCGAATTGATTTCCTTTGCAGGATTCAGCTTCTCGTATTTTGTTCCCTAAAGAATTTTTAAGTAAAGTTTACAACACAATTTATATTTTATCTTACAACTGGTGCCGCTCTTTCAGGCTCCATCCTGTCCTTGAAGCTGTACGCAGAGCTTGTAGCCTTTGAGACTTTTTCAATAACTATTTGTAAATCAACTTCATCTTCATTTCGTGCATTAATGGTCACATGGGCGCCGTGCAGTAGCTTAGACACTTCGTGAATGTGGTTGGCACAAACGCCTTTCCGCACCAGAGGAGCACCATCACCTTGCTGCAAACAAAAATAAATTAGAAAAAATAACAACATTTTAAAAATTTAGAAAAAAACTGTAGGCTTTTTTAAGAGAATGGGAGAGCAAAAATATTCTCTTGATTTTTAAAAATATGTTTTCTTATTAAATGAAAATGAAGTACCATGCAAAATCAACATTTTCTGGAAATCAAAATATTTGAAAGTTTCATAATTTTATTGAAAAAATTAATTCATACCCAGTTGATGAGCACACATTTGGGAAGACTAGTTTTCGGGTCGAGCACCTTCACGAATCCATACATAATTTTGCCGGAGCTCAAATCCTCAACCAGTTCTTCGATTCCCCCATCTGAAATTTTAATTTTCTTCGTCACAAAAACGCTTCTGATTTAAAATAACTGACCTCCTTTTGAAACGACTTTCAGGACGTTGGTCTGTCCTTCATATCCAAAAAGAGCCCTGAAAGTTGAAAACTGTCAAGAAAAATTTGAATTTATTAGTAATTACGAGTACCAATCAATCGGGTTCTTGTCGTCGACAACCTCTGTCCAGGCGGACACAATGCTGCTCCTGTTTTTGGTAAGATCCACCGCCATATCCAGTGAGAAAAGAGAAAGGACCGGCTGATGCTGCCCACGAAAAGATCACCAGATCCGCTGCGAGTGAAGAACAGAAAAAAATGGTAAATCGGAGAAGCGACACCTGTTTACATGCACGACTGGTTTCCTGACTCGTTTATTCGGCCTCTATTATCTATGCGGACCACACGGATGTGCGGACTAAGCCGGTCTTGAACGGTACCCATCACGGAACTTGATTATAATTAATTTTGGAGTCGGTGGACCAAAAAATGTACCACAAAGTTGTAGGGAAGAAATGAAATTTTTTAAAGCGGATTTTATCATTGAATTTTTTAGTAAATTCAGAATAACATAAATCTGAGTTGAAAAAGAACAGCTAAAAAATTTTAATCTCACTCAAATTTAAGACGTTGCAATTTGCAAAGGAAAACCAATAAGTAAACAACGTTTAAGCCAAAAAATACGATAATTTTGAAGGATTTTGAGATGAAAGCTCCCAATTTTGGGCCTCGTCTCGTCGATTCCGAGTCATGGGTTTTAAAAAGACCGTTTCCCGCACCAATGAATGCAAAAATACGATACCGTTCCGCTATTTACAAGCATGGATTCCGTGCCGAGCACCGTGATGGTTTGTTTTCATGCGAAATACAGATGAGCACCAAAATGTGAAAAAAATGTTGAGTATTGAATTGACACAAGGTTGCCAACCAAATATATTTTTCACATTTTACTATATTTTTCTCTCATAGTTCCTTATTTTTTGAACGATTCGGATTCAATTCAATTAACATAATCGTATTTTGAAGAATATGACAATTTTAGAGCAGAAATTTGAAGTTTTATAGCGTGTTTCAGTACTCCAAAGTTATTTAGTTTGGTTGGTATCTTGAGTATGTATTTGGATCAGGTGGCCGCGGCCATCTTTAATTCTTTTATTTTGTGTTGATGAGTTGTTTGAGAGTGAAAGGGTGCGACTTCCACGGGGCTGTTTAGGGCCAATCAGGGTTAAATTTGAGCAGACAAATGTTCAAGCTGCGGTCTCGGAGTCGAAGTAAGGTCGTCGTAGGCAAGGGAGATGCCGACGGCGACGTGGCGCCCGCCGACGACGAGGAGGACGAGGACCTTGGACTTGTCATGAACATCAAAATCGACGTAATTTAAACCACTTAATTAATTAAAGCCCAATTTTACATTAGAAACAATAATAATTATCATCACACTAATTTTTATTTGAAAAGTTTAATTCAGATCATTTTAAATGGCGTTATTCTTGATGCATAATTTTATGAACCTGAGTGTTACCTTTCCATGCTCATTTATGTATGTTAAATTAAATCCACACATTATCAAATTATTATTCGGAAGTCTCACAAGTGTCTTCAATTTCCAGCAAGTGGAGGATGAGTCATCATCATTGGTATTCAAAAAGACACACCGTCGCCAGAATTCAAGAAGTTTGCCGAAAATAGACGTGACGGAACTTCTTGCCTCCGAGGGCCGTCCTAAGTCTACTGAAGAGTCTGGCAAGGAAGAGTGGTTTCACACGTGGCCTGAGAACAAAAAGGAACCTCTTGGCCAAGGAGTCACTACGAACGGAGGACACCGAACCGCTATTCCATTGGAGCAACTTTTACAGGCCATGCCACTTGCTTACAGCCCTGTCACGAGGCAGCTGCATGTCATCCCCAAGGTAAATATTTATCAATAAAATGAAAAGATTTTAAAATCAAATATTTGAAGGTTGAGCCTAAAGTTGAGGAACCACCTCCGGTGGAAGACGAACTTCCAAAATCAGACTGTCCAAGCAAATCTGGCTCTCCGTTTTCCTCACTCTCCAACATCAGTCGAGTAACCCTTGATTCTTTGGTCATCAATCCGTCCTGCCCATCTCTTGACGATGACGCCTCAAGCACAGCTTCTCTCCGAGATGCTTTTCTGACGGGCCAACAGCGCCGAAGCAGTGTTGGAAGTACAGATCCGTCAAAAAACAAGCAAAACGGGGCCTTTTCCAATTTATTTTCTAAGTAATTCTGCAAATTAAAAATATGTCTGAATTAATAAATATTTTCCACCAGGAGCATTTTTGGCTGGAAATCTAGCAGTAAAGACTCCGGAAACTGGCGACTGTTTGGCCGTAAAAGTCATAGTGGAGGATCGGAAGCGCAAACGCTAGACGAAGTAATTTTTAGTTCATCATTTTCTCAATTTTTATATAATTTTTTTTAATTTGTAGGCTTGCTCTTCAAGTGGTAGTGCCAGCAGTTTGGTCTTCACTGGTCGAGAGGCGAGCAGTGGCTCTTTAATTCTTGAGGCTCGTCCTTCTCATTTGCCAGCCAAGAGTCCTGAAGAAGAGGAGAGACATCGTCTGCAATACCAACAAATACTCGAGGCTGCAAAGAAAAAAGGTTTGCATATGGTAATTGTTGATTGAAACAGCTATTGAATAAATTCCTGCAGAGATGAAAGAGGAGAAATTGAAGAAAAAACAAATGCAGCAGCAGTTGAAGGCCGAAGACCACATGGCCAACGCTGTGAGAATGTGGGGCTCTGAAGTATTACCAAAATGGGATTCTATGTAAATAAATCTAGATACAATTGGATAAAATTTTTAAAAATCTCTTTTCAGGAAAAATTTAAAAAAAGTAAGGGATTTGTGGTGGTTAGGAATCCCACCCTGCACAAGAGGGAAAGTGTGGAGACTGGCTGTCGGCAATGAGCTCAACCTGACACCTGACCTGTACGAGATCTGTGTTTCAAGGTTTGCAATTTTTTAAGAAATTATTTTTTTATAAAAATTGGAATTTTAGAGCCCAAGAAAGACTTGAAAAAGTGAAGTCGTGCAGCAATTTGAGCCAAGACGGCAGCTTGGACTCGACTTCTTCGGATAAAGAGGCCAGTGTGCAGCTGATCCAACTCGACATTGCCAGAACTTTTCCATCACTCTGCATTTTCCAAAGGGTAAATTCATTCAAACGTCCGTATTTAAATCCTTCAGAGTTAACAAGTTTATTCCTAAAAAAAGGGAGGACCCTATTACGACGTCCTGCACAGTTTGCTAGGTGCTTATGTTTGCTACCGACCCGATGTGGGGTACGTGCAGGGCATGTCCTTCATCGCCGCTGTCCTAATCCTGAACCTCGAACCGGCCGATGCCTTCGTCTGTTTTGCCAACATGCTCAACAGGTCTTTTATTTTTAATTTCATATTTTAAAAATATAACCAAATCTTATGTATCAATGACAGGCCGTGCCAACGCGCCTTCTTTTGCCTGGACGAGGCAGCCATTGCTGCCTACTTTGCAACTTACAACGATCTGCTGGCTGAGAATCTGCCTCATCTGAGTCGTCATTTCACTCAGCAGGCCCTGACTCCTGATCTGTACCTTTTGGACTGGATGTATACCATGTTTTCTCGATCGATGCCTTTGGACCTGACTTGCCGTGTCTGGGACCTTTACCTCCGAGACGGCGAAGAGTTTCTTTTTAGAGCTGCACTTGGTAGGCCTTTACTGTGCTGAATTTATTCTTAATTTAATTTGATCTTGCTGTAGGTGTGCTCCATTTGTATCAAGACACACTGAAGGAAATGGATTTTGTTCGCGGCTCCCAGTTTCTCAACAAACTCCCTGACGACATCAATGGTGAGGCACTTTTTCGCTCGATAGAGGTGATTCGCACATCGGTGGGCAAACTCAAATTTGACTGCGTGCTGGCCAACCATATCGGCACAAACTGAGATAAATTATTGATATAATGTGCGGGCGAATGGCTTTTATGTTTTAGACGAGACTAGTGCGACTTCGTTTAGTAACTAGTCAAGCTTTTATGATTTTTTTTTTTTTTTAATATACAATACGTGTTTTCGAATGAGGCGTGAAATTATTATCTGTAAGTAAGACTTTGTGATATTAAACAATATGAATTTTTATACTCAAGAATGACCGTCGCAGATCTGAGAAAATTTTACGAGTTGATTGAAAATTTGTTTGGTATACATTTTATTACATTTATATTTTTGGTATTTAAAAAAACTACCTGTTATTGATGGACCTGCAGAAATTTTGAATCTCCTTGTTGATCTATGAAAAAAAAATATTACACATCATTTTACGTCTGGTGCCAAGCAAGCAATGGCTCTCTTCGTTTAAATGTGCGAGCGTTTGAAAATATATTCAAATTTTACCTATGCATGTCTTTTTACAAATTGATGTTCGATTTGTATAAGAATCCTCCCTACATGATATTAAAAAATAAAATATATTTTAAACTTAAACTCAGTTTTAATCATTCAAATACAGCTAAGTTCCTCTTGATCTCATTGAATTGGCCTCTTTTCTTTTCTCAAGTCTCTTAAGTGGAATTTTCTGTAGCTGAAAAGCGCCAGGTGCAACAGACTAAAATTTGGACACGCCTAATTTGGCAGAGATAAACGCCGCTGCTTATCTCTAAACAACTCTATATTTTTCTGATAACGCGTCAGTCACGGGCCTTTTAGTACAGTATTTGCCTGTCGTTGCAGCTGTGACAATCAATAATTTTTGGGGGCTTCTTTGCCCAGAAGTGAGGAGAGATGTGGGGCTACCAGCCCGAGCCGGGCATTTTGTCCCCCGACGACAATCGCAGGTGGGTGCGATTTTGATCATTTATTTTGCCTTACAAGAAGTCTGGAAGTGGTTTATTGTTCAAGATAATCCGGATTTCTCAAGTCATTCATATCAAATATTTTTTTTCCATTTTTTTTTTCTTTTTTATTAAAATGTGTAGAAAAACCCTAATGCTGACGCTGACTACAAAGTAAATCTATTTTTTTTTTAAATTAGAGAAGATTAAAATAGAAGCATATTATAAAATAAATAATTAAATGTTTTTATATATTTTATGACTGTCTTTTTTCCCATTTACTGCACGGTTAATCATGAATCATGGTGTCATTGTACTTAGTTGATTCATCTAGCATCTAGGATTTGCCATTATTATTTTATATACAATTATACATGGTTTTTTTCTGTAATAATTTATGAATTTAAAATGATTATTAAAAGACGATTTCTCCGGAAAGATTTCACAAATTTCCACAAGTTCGCGAAGATTGGCGCTTCACCCTGTCAGGTTGGCACGACGTGAGCCGGTGACGTCACGCTCGTCGGCCATATTCGTCCACCGACACCTGCCTGATTTTTGATTTTCCAAATTTGCGGTCGCTTTTCGAGCCCGAAAGCCGCACCCCAGCCAGCGCGGACGCCGCACCTTTTGTTGTACATATTCGAGTGATGCCTGTTTCGCTGTGATCAACTGTCCGATTGACCGCTGAGCAGGATGAATCCGTCGGAGCACGGGTAATAATTATTGCAAAGAGCAGAGGCCGACACCCCCTTCGGATGAGTTGGAACTCGGAGCCCACCACCACTAGGCTACTGTCTGGGGATGGAGTTTTAGCGCTTCGTTGTGTCACACTTTTCTCTTGGGAACACCGGGACTAATGAATCGAGCCAACTCGCTTTATTATTCATAAGCTAAATTATCTCTGAAAAATTGTAAAAATTCAATTTTTTTAACAAGATTTTCCTCCAACAAGATCAGAAAAATTATATTTTCGATAAAATGAAAATAAGTAAATATTTTTAAAAATTAATATTTTTTCAGGTTCAACGCGCCTTTTAATATGGCCACGATCAAGCAGGTGATCAACGAGGCTGTCGAGCGGGTGCGAATGCCCACCCCGATGCGGCTGAGGGACCTCATCCGTCAAATCAGGGCTGCGAGGACGGCCGCTGAGGAGAGGGCCGTCGTCAACAAGGAGTGCGCGTTGATCAGGGCCTGTTTTCGGGAGGACGACTCCCTTTGGCGGTGTCGAAATCTGGCCAAGTTGCTCTACATCCACATGCTCGGCTATCCGGCACACTTTGGGCAACTCGAGTGCCTCAAACTGATCGCCTCGCCCAGGTTCACTGACAAGCGGATAGGCTACCTGGGGGCCATGCTGCTGCTCGATGAAAGACAGGACGTCCACCTGCTCATCACAAACAGTCTCAAAAAGTAAACCTATAATTTGCAGTTGCTAAATTTTGCATACAAATTTGTATTTAAATTAAAAATTAAACTTACTCTTCAACCTTTTAAATTTTATTTTTGAATTTTTAGTGACCTCAATTCTTCAACCCAGTTTGTGGTCGGACTGGCCCTTTGTACATTGGGTGCTATTGCTTCGCCTGAAATGGCCCGAGATCTTGCCTCAGAAATCGACAGACTGGCGCGCAGTCCCAACGCTTATATTAGGAAAAAGGCAGCCCTGTGTGCATTCAGGGTGGTGCGAAAAGTGCCTGAGAGCATCGAAATTTTCCTTCCAGCCACCAGATCACTTCTTACTGAGAAAAACCACGGTTTGTTTTCAACGTTGGCGTTTTTAATCATTTTTTTAATAAATAATTTTTGCTTCAGGTGTTCTAATTACGGGCGTGACTTTGATCACGGAAATGTGTGAGAAAAGCCCAGACACGCTTGCCCACTTCAAAAAGCTGGTGCCAAATTTGGTCAGGATCCTGAAGAACCTAATTCTGGCTGGCTACAGTCCTGAGCACGACGTCTCTGGTGTCAGCGACCCGTTCCTGCAGGTCAAAATTCTGCGCTTATTAAGAATCTTAGGCAAGGGTGATGTCGAGACCAGTGAAGCCATGAATGACGTCTTAGCACAGGTTTGTATTTAATTTTTTTCAAGTTGGTAAATATTTATCTCATTTACTTGCAGGTGGCAACAAACACGGAAACATCTAAAAACGTTGGCAACACAATCCTATACGAAACCGTTTTATCCATCATGGACATTCAATCCGAGAGCGGACTGCGCGTTTTAGCCATCAACATATTAGGCCGATTCCTACTTAATAATGACAAAAATATCAGGTAATAAATTGTTACCCATTTTATAATTGAAATAATAACTTTTAACTTCCAACTATTTTGAAATATTATTTTGTTGATGCTCTATTTTTTGTCCACAGATATGTGGCATTGAACACGTTGCTCAAGACCTCAGCCAAAGACTTATCAGCCGTGCAGCGCCACCGATCAACTATTCTTGAGTGCCTCAAAGATCCGGACGTTTCAATTCGTCGACGAGCGATGGAACTGTGTGTGGCCCTTGTCAATCACAGCAACGTCCGTTCCATGGTTGCCGAGCTTCTTCTCTTTGTCGAGCGCTCTCCTGAGCCCGAATTTAAATCGGTCTGCTCCTCACACATCATGCACTGCGCTGACAAGTATAGCCCTGAAAACCGGTGGCGACTTGATACTTTACTGAAAGTTATTGTTGCTGTAAGTTGATGAAATTTGCCTTTTTTGATAGGAAACAATAATAATTTTAAATGTTTTTTTCCAGGCTGGAAACAATGTTAGAGATGACGTTGTCAGCTCCACCATTCAACTCATCTCTGATTCATCTCGAGACATCCAAGCAAGCATCACTGCAGATTTTTGGCATGAGTTGTGTGATGACAAGATGGATAGGCAGCCTCTGGTACAGGTTGCCATGTGGTCGTTAGGAGAGTACGCTGATATTTTGTTATATGACTCGGAATATGCAGGAAAGGTGTGTGAAATCCTAACATATTTTTATTATTAACCAAATTATTTAATTCAGCTTAACGAGGATGAAATTTTGGATGTGTATCAACGCATTTTATGGGCGCCACAAAATACGATAGTCACCAAACAATACACCCTCCTGTCACTTGTAAAACTCAGCACCAGATTCCGAAGTGCCACTGAAAGGGTAACAGAAAAGACCTTTTATTCTAGACCTAAATCCTAAACAAGTATAAAACTTTCAGCTTATGCAAATGGTTAAAATTTTTGGTTCGCATCTGAACATTGAAATGCAGCAAAGAGGTGTCGAGTTCACTGCCCTCTTCAGCCATCCTGATCACCTGCGAGCAAGTCTGCTCGAACGGATGCCGCCCATTCCATCGTCCAAACCCAAGATGGACGAAATGGGAGGTGGAACTCCGGAGAACGAGAGTCTGGTGATTGATCAGGTTGAGGAGCCGCAGGACTCTGGTAGTGCCCTGCTTTTACTGCTTGGAGGCTCGACCGGTGACTCGTTTGTTGCGCCTGAGACGAATGTGAACTCGATTGAGAACAACCAAGACTTGCTAGATCTGCTGGGAGGCCTCGACGGCCCCTCGCTCAACAACTGCGACATTCCCAAGGCTCCAGTCAATAGTATGAATTATAATTATTCAAGTCCACGACAATTTATTTTACTTTTTTTTTTCAATCCGCAGAGCCAATTCTAACTGTATTTGAAAAAGACAACTTGAAAATTAACTTTGAAGTGGAGCTTTTGAACGACGGAGGTTACGAGATCCTCATGACTGCATACAACTTTAGCAACAACCAAACCTTGGACAACTTTATTCTTCAAGCGGCAGTCCCCAAGGTAATATTATGGAATGCATTACTTGCAAATTCATGTTGAACAAAAATTTAAACTTCTTTAAAGCAAATTTTTTATAATTTATTTTATTCAATTATATTTAAATTTTTTTATGAGTAATTTTTGTTCATAATTAGAACTTAGTAAATACCAATTTGTGTTGCTTTCCTGATTTTTTTAATTATTATTCTAATTTAATTATCTCTACAGACATTTGTGCTTAAAATGCATCCAGCATCCTCGACGCAGCTGCCACCCACAGGCGAGATCAACCAAGTCATCAGTATTAAAAATCCTTCAAATGTGAGTATTGAAAATTTTTAACATTGATTTTTTCACAGCTTTGTCCTCTTTCAATTGATAGGGCGTTCTTCGAATGAGACTGAGAATTTGTTATTCTGCGAATGGACAGACCGTCACAGAACAAACTGAAGTCAATCAGTTTTCTCCGACCTCTTGAATTCCTCAATGTGATTAATTTGTATTTATTATCACCGCTGGGACTTGTATGTTATTAGCTGTTGGGTTTAGAGCGCGTCAATACTAATATTAATAAAACGGCATTATTTTTAAATTCATCTTCAACTCTTCTTGTTCAATACATTTTATTCAGCAAAAAATTAAAATAGTATAATTACGGAAGTAATGCGCCTAAGCAGGAAACTTGAGAAGCTTGAACACCCATCAGTCTTGCTGGCAAACTTTTCAAAACCCCTGAGGACCCTGCCCAAAAAAATATTCTTTTTTTTTGTAATAAAACTTGCAAAATTAGGCAGAGACGCGGTAGTGAACCCACTCCTTTGGGACGTTATCGGCGAGTTTCTGGCCGGCACCGGTGGCGATTTTCAACCCATTTTGGAAGGTTTTTTCCATCTCGTCGATACCATTGTTGTTGTCCTTCAAACCATTTTTCTCGCCTTTGAAGTGACCGTTGTTTTCTTCGATGATGGATGACTTTTTCAGCGCCGTGGCCGGAATCAGATTGGGCTGGTCTGAGAGTCGGAAGACGACGCGGTCGCCAATGGTAAAATCGGTGGCCATGTAGAAGTCCATCATCTCGGGCTTCACTTTGTACATGACGCTGAGAAATCAACTTGAATTAATACGATATTGAACATCATTCACTCTCTTACTAATGTTCAGGGGGGTAGTTGAGAAAATCGGGAGGACCGTGCTCAACACATTCCTTGTAAATGCGGTCGTGCTTCTCTTTGTGCTCCGACCACTCGACAATCTCTCCTTGACGGCAAATGTTTGAACGGATCTGAAATTAAAATTAAATCATTCTTTAGAACAGAAATAATTAAAAATAATCAATTTGTTTTAATGTTCATAAAGTAAATTTACTATATTTTAATAATTTTTTTAAACAATATATTTTTTTTTCATTTTTATGGAGAAGAATAATTTGTAACATCAATATTTGTACTTTGCAATATAGAGGTTCAGTAGTGTAAAGGTCCATATGCTCATCGAAGGGAATTTCTGAAATCAGTCCCTCGACACGCACTTGCTGAGCGTAAATGCCCTTGGGCTGCCGCGGGTACATCCACAGGAAAGTGAGCGCCACACGTGGACATTTGGCCTGAAATCAAGAGTTTTTTTAGTTAAATCACTTGACTTGCGTACAAGTGGGATAATCACAATATCAAACGACTTTTTGCTCCTCTTGTCCGTCATAATGATGAAGCCGTCGTCGACTAGTCTTCTCATCAGGAGGGTGCGAGCGCTCACGCGACCGCATCTGGTAAAAATTGAATGATGTGGTTTGAAGAATTTTTTCTATATTTCTATGAGATTTTTATCGTTGGAAAATTGTGGTCAACTCAAGTCTCTCTCATGTCAATTCAATTAATATCCGAGATGACCACGTGCTCAATTCGATAGGCGTCACACACGTGATGCGTAACTTGGATGCTGGAAAAAAAAAGTTTCTCCGCAAACCCTTTAAACGAAAGGAGAGATTCGAAGTCACATGATATTTCATTTGCGACTCACATGACTAGGTATCTAATTGACAATCGCGGTGCATGGAATTCAGACAAAATAATATATTATGTTGAAACCAGTTTGCAATCTGTACACCTGAAACGTAGCAACGAGTATTAAATTTACGCCATGATAGCGGGAAATCAAGTATGGATATTTGAAATGTGGATACCAGGTCGGGGCTTAGCGCAACCGCGATATTTGATATTGCTTGATTGAGATTCTCAGATTTTACATAAAAATAAAATATTAAGTTAATTAATGCAATGAGGCTAATCAATTTTGTGAATAAATGTAGCTCATTCCAAGTGAAAAATTATAAAATTATATTTCAAAATTTGAGGAAAACCGGCATTTAAAAGATTTAATCAAATTTTTTCAGTTTATACAATAATAATTAAAAATGATAAAACTACTTGTTGGGATTTTGAAAAATTATTTTGGCGTGGACTTATTCGACTAAACTCTCTTTAAATTCAGACTTTAACGTGCGATTTAGATTAAAAATCACAGAAATTTCTCATCGCATCTTCAGAATAAAGAGATTAAAAAAAAACTACTGCGAGTCTGAAAAAAACAATCTTAAAAAAATGTAGTATTTTTATTACTTCTATTGACTTCTTTTATCTCTTTTTACCATTTCAGCTCGTCATAAATAAGAATCATTAAAAATTGCCACGTGTGTAGCGATTTTAATATATTCGTAAGCCAAGAATTATGCAAATTAGGTAAACAAATATGGGAGATTCTTTGCTGACGCAACTCTTTTGTGTGCAACAGGCCGCACCCATCTAATCGTATTTTTGACATTCCGCTGAGTCGATAGGTAATAAAAATAACCATTATAGAAACAAATTTTGAAATCCTATCGCCGAGCTTCACCGCGAAATGGATCTACAAAACTGGTTTATCAACCACACCTCTCTGACGAACCATGTGACTAATTAAAAAAATTAATGAAGCACACACGAGAGAAGAAAAACTATAATAATCACCCATCTGAAGTGGCGAGGTTGAGAGATTGCGGCAGGATGACCCCCGCGTCCTCGGCCATTTGGTACCACTCGCGGAAAAACTCAATGGGGTCATCGGAAGTGACCTCGATCTTGAAGAGGTCAGATTCCTCCACTTCATGCTGGTGGCCGTTCGGGTGGCCGTTCTGGAACATCCCGTTGATGGGTGGTTAGTGTCTTTTGTGGCGTACGTGCGATGAAATTAATACAAAAGTGCCGATGCACCCAACAATTTGCTTGCTCGGCTTGAAATGCAAACACAGATAGGCTGTGAAAGCTGCAATAAATTATTTTGCTCTATTTTTGATTGCGATGCATCTTATTGTCAGCGCTCGCTGACGATAATTTGCCTAGCTTGCATTTATAAGTAGCAATTCAAGAGCTTTTACAAAAATCAAAGTTTATTTCCAATCACGCTGCTTTTTCTAAAAAATTAAAACAGTTTAAAAGATGCATTTGTTTGTGCAATCTGCTTCCCCTGCTTCCAACAATAAAAAGAAAAAAATAAAATTTTATTGGGAAATTAATAAATTATAATAATATTTTTCAGAATATTAAGAATAATTTTTGCTCTCTCTTATCAAAAATTAAATAGTAATAATTTGTATATGAATGAGGGCATTTTCCCCATAAATTACAATTAAATTTTGAAATTGCTGTTAGGATTGCCGGTTTACTTGTTTTTTATTGTATCAATGGACTTTAATTTGGAGAATTTACGTGTCTGCCTTTAACGAGTCCATACATTATTCAACACCTTGGCAATCAAGTAAAGCAGGTACATTTTAGCGTGTCTTGTTTTTCCTGTTTCAGTATCTTCTGCATCACTTAAAAAAACGAATTTTTGGATTCAAGCTGTTCTTAACACAAAATATTTCATTTCTGGCTTTTACTTGTTCCATGAAGCCACAATAATAATTGCATTGAGAATAAATATTGCATACACAATTTTAGAATTCCTTTGTTCCCTTGATTAAATAATTAAAAAATTGAGAAGAATTTTTTATAAAAACTGCAGAATCATTTATGATTGACATTCTAATTCTCATCAAAAGAAACGCGAGGAGAAGCATCCAGGTCAAAATTCCATAGACCGGAATGATTTATAAGAAGGCGCGTCGTGTTTATTTTTTTAGTTATCACGTGACTGAATTCAATAGTAATTTATGCAGGAAAAATTCCGCTCCATGAAAACAAAAATTTTTTGCACTCCACACTGCGCTCTCGCTGGTTCGGCAGCAGCAAAAACTGGTTTTTCTTATGTCATCTCGTGAATACAATGTCAAGGTTGTCCGGCCGCGGAAAGGCAAAAAAGTATTAGAAAAAATAAATCGTAGTGGCGGCACGTTTCTCGGCTAAATGGTCCACGGCACAAGGACCTTTGATTCAATCTCGATTCAGTACATTAGCACTCTAGCAGTGCTAACGCCCCTAAATTGCCCACCTGAGGGAAGATAGAACACAAATTATTTATTGCCCACTCCTGAAACACACAAGGAGAGGGAAAGATTGATCTTTTTTATTTAAAATCTCATTCTTCAATAGTTGGTTTTCCAGTCCTATATTAAAATTTTTTGCCTTTTGAGGTCTCGAAATTTTTTAACGGTCAAATAAATCAGAAGAACAGGCATGTTAATTATTTGGTTGGTTGGCTACTTTTATATTTTAATTTTTCATAGCTCAATTAATGTACAATAAAATTTGATGAAGTCAACTGAGACATTGATGTGTTAAAATGTAGCATAAAATATTTCAATTTTAATGTTTTTTTGTTTTGCAATCGTAACTGTATTTTTAATTGAACAATTTTGAATTCTCACAAAATAATTCAGCTGAACAATTTTTTTACAAAAAAATAAACCAGTAGAATTATATATTGTTTTTGAATTCCAATCTTAATTAATATTTCAAAAAGGAATATATTAAAAAATATATTCAAAATTTTATAGTTATCATTTTCAGAAGATACCAAAATGGGAATAGTGAGAATAGTCGAGTGGCAAAAAAATTGTATGTAGATTCGATCCCTGCCTAAACGAATAATAGTGTCCTTACTTTACACTAGGCGGATTAACACCACATGACCGCCGCCCTTGAAAGAGGATATCGCCCGAATGAGAGTTGAATGAGATTTCCACCTTTTACTTACATAGTAAATAATAGCACTTTGACCGAACCAGCGTAACCGGTTCATAGGAAGAAGCGATACATATGTAATTAGTCGGCAATAGTTCCAGAAAGTGCGATGATCATTTAATTAAATTATGCAACACGCGCAGCACGCAAGTTGCACTGGTTGCGGAGCAATTAAAATCTACCGTTAATGCATGGCACGATCGAGAAAAATAACCAAAATTATTATTTGTGGTCTTTTTTTCGCTGCGAGTTTTCCGAAACGCATAAACGTTTGGCAGATTTGAGAAATATTTTAAATGAGAATTAAATCAATTATTTTGAATTTGTGAAAGATTTCAGAGAGTTTAAAAAAAATATATCAAGATGTTGCTAAAATTCAAAAATTAATGAAGAAGAAAAATCTCTAATATTAGTTCTATTTTATTAATTGCTTTTATCTGCTAAATGCAAATCGTGAGGGGATTAATAATTTATTTCATACATATTAAGCTGTACATAAATAATCATGATTTATCTTCATATGATCATTAAAATATTTAAGACCAGGATGGCAAACGTTCACAGACAGAAATTTATTCACCAGTGGATTTTAGAAAGCAGTTGATACAGTGACAAAATTTTTTCAGCTGGGAGACAAGTTGTAAGCTCTATGTGCATATTATTAGAGGATCACGTGAGGACCCAACCGTCAAAATCACCGCTCTTAAAATTTAAAGAAAAATTAAATTAAATATTGAATTAAATTTTTTTTCGAAACTGAAATTGATTTCAAATTTTCAAATTTCAAGCTTTCCAATAATTACAATAATTTTTTCAACTGATAGAAAAATAGAAAAATCTAAATTAAAAGAATTAAATTATATGAATGTTTTATTTTTTCTACTTACCATTTTAAGAAGATTAGCCATATCAAAGCTGCTTCAATGTAGCAGAACTGAAAATCTCTTCCGAGCTCACTACGAAAAGCCTCCACGAAGCACTGTTCGGAGCTTTTATACCAGGAGCTGAGCGTGTGGCTCCGCTGGTCTCCAGAGTCGGTCTCATACCCTCACCACCTCCGATGGCAAAAAGAGTGCGACTCGCGTCTTTGGGTTCGGGCGCACAAAAGTCACGCACCTCACGAGGGAGAATACGTCCAGATTTTTGTTTTATTTCGCAGAATTAAAAAAAAGACGCGTCTTAATCATGTGATGAACCTTTTATGGAATGCAAGAAAATTTGGAGGAACTAATTTACCAGAATTCCATCACGTATTTTTACTTATTTTTAATGAAGTAGTAATTTTGTTTAAATATTTTCTGAAAATAATTAAAAATATAAAGAAAACACTTTTTATGGAAAGATGGAAAGGAATGGAACATATTTCTGCTTCTAAAATTAAATTTTTTTGCTAAAAAAATCAGCATTACATACAATAAATTTCTTGTACTTTTCTTACTTAAATGGAATATTCTATTATATTTAAGTTCAAGTTTTTATTTTCAAGAAAGGGGATTTTGAATGTAAATTTAAATTTTTGAATTCCTTCAGTTGCAACTGGAAACATGAAATTTGGCACGGGTGACGCCGAAAATGTAAGTGAAAAAATTCGAACAAGGTATTTTCTAGACTTAGTTTTTTTTTTAAATTTTGTATTCTACTGGTTTGCGAAAGGTTTTTCAAATGCCGAATTATTTTAATTTTTTCAGTGAAAATGTTAAAACATTATTTATCTATAAAAAATGCTTTATGGAGTTCAATGGACTCAAAATGTGCATGAGTGCGGATCTGTTTTATGGCTCACAATTAGAGAGGAGTAGAGTTTTTACTACTTTTCAACACTTTTCTGGAGAATATTTTTATTTCTATCTATTTACGTAGCTAGCCGCACAGTAGCAAGCTAATAAATAAAAAACAAATAATAAAATCCAGTCTGCCGCATCATTGGGTGCAAAAAAACTCATGCTTGGGTGTCTGGTGTGTGAACGTTGAAATGTACCAGAGATTCCGGAGAAAGTGGTTTGCATGTGATTTTCACCTTACGTCGAATTCTATTTTTAGCTGACGTTAAGAGTAATAGCCGGTTAAAAATAGCCATTTAATATTATATACACTCCATCAGTTAGATATTAATTTCTGATACACGTTTTTACGCAACAACTATATAACCAATTTCCTATTTCATTTTTGTATCAAATGTCTCTTTTTCGCCCCTGGGCGAATCTGCGATTAGAAGTTAAAAATAAAATAAAAAATGGTTCTGCCAACTTTCCCTACACTTTGTTACCACTTTCTGTGCTTTCCTCACGTGATGCAGCGCGGCGAACATTCTGAGAGGTAATTTTCCTCCTCAACATCAAAACCCGCCGAGCATCACTTTGCAAGCTTACGGCAAAAGTTGTGCTGCTAAAATTTTAGAATGCAGATCCAAATTTGAAAATATTTTACCATTCAAAAAGATTGTAATTTCTCCGAATTTTCAATTGTTAATTCTTGCTCAGCATTATTCATTCATTTAATAAAAAAAAATGATAATAAATAATTATTATTGTCTCATTCAAGACCTCTGTCATTTTAACTCAAAGAAGGTTATAAATTGATAAAAGTGCCGAGAGGTCTATTTATATTTAAAATTTTTTTTAATTCTTATGTGACTGTGTTGTTCATAAATAGCCATAAAATTATTGAACTGATACAAAATGTTTAATTGAAGCCTTTTTTATTCTTTCTATAATGACGTGGAACCTGGAAATTGCATAATATAATTGATTAATTCAATAATGTATTTCATATTTTTTTTTTAATTTTTTTTTTCAGAAAATAATTTAGAATTTAGCAGAACAGAATTTTTTATTATTTTTTAAGTTCCTTTGAATTTTTTTTCGTCATTTATTTGCAAATTTAGGATAGTTAAGACATTAGCTTGAGGTTGAATTTCAGCCGGTGTAATCGGTTTAATCGCAACATTTAAACTACAAGTACTCTCATTTCCATGCTTGACCGACTCTGCGAATTCCCAAAGATGATCGCTCTTGTGGCGTCAACAAGGTAACACGTTTTTCTGCTCACGCGCGGCGAATATTCGTCAAGTGTGTGCACAGTTTATAAATTACAATAAATTTCAATAATGTTATGTGAGACGCTGTAAAAATTAACGGCAGGAACGTTTTGGCATGCGACGTGTGAATTTATTTACTCACACCGGCACACGCATCGACGATGAAATAAAAATATTTAAAATCGACAAAATCGACTTTTTGAAGGCATTTTGCAATTTCACCCAATTTTGTTTCTGGAGTTCCGTTTTTAAAAGTAATTTGATAAGCACTGGAAGTGCAAATTAAATGTAACTGTTGATTTGGAATGAATTTGATTGAATTGGCGTTTTATGAAAAATCAGGGCGAGCAGGACTGAAAAAAAGCAAATCAATTTTTTTATTATACAAATTAAAATTTCTCAATATTTATAATTGTTTATTCTCTAAAGTTAAAATCAAAATGGAGAAAAAAAGATTTTGAATAAAAATGTTGGCCAAATACATAAGAATCAAGTTTTCAATATAATCGGCTTTTTTGAACACAAAATTGTAAATGTAATCCATTATTTTTGTTGGCCCACTAAAATGCTGGGAAGTGTAATCGAATTGAGAATCGCGGTTTACATCAATGTCACGTTCTAAGTGTTTATTAAAATTATGCGAACGTCCGCAATTCATTAGAATTCCTCTTAAATGCGGTGTGGCACTAAACACGAAACGAGAATCAATAAGTCGAGACATTGCGGATATGCGGATAAAACTGTGTTGTGTTAAAACACCTTCACTTGTATGTAAAATGCGAAATGTGTTTTCTTATCTGCAAAAAATAAACGCGTCAAATAATTTTGCAAGTGCTCTCTCGGGAATAAAAAACACTTAGGGTCCACACAATATAATATATATTTTTTTTAGCTGTTTCATCTTTGTCTCATGACTCTGGCGCGTCTCCCCGCTGAATTATTAAGAGGCAAAACTGGTTGTTTCTTTTTGACTCATTTCTATTCATCACCCTGAACGAGAGGAAACGTGTACCTCTGACGGAGAGAAACCTGCAAAAAACGTGTCGGAAAGAAAAAAGAGAAGGAGAAGGGTCGGTAAGGCAGGCTCGTCCACTTTGTGCCCAATGCCTACGTGACCATTATATACATTTTTTTAACCGCACCATTGGGCTTGGGTTGACGCACGTGAACGGACGATGACGTAAAATTCTGCTTCTTTGATGCCAAATGATACACTTTAAACTATAAAATCTTGAAACATGATTTTGGCCGGTGAAAATTCATTATTAAATTAAAAGTGTCAAAATTTCTTTACCAAAAAAGTAATCTTAAATTTGTTTGATTTGATTCATAAATTAAATAAGTGAGAATAAAAACAACTTTTCCGGATCTAACGAAAAATAAAGCTTTTTAGATTTTTTGCTACTTTTGAAACATTTTTTAACTGTTCTGAACGATTATAATTTTGCAACATTCAGAAAAAATTTCAATACAAACTTAAAGGAAGTACTGTTATTTTTTAAGAAGAAGAATTCACTTCAAGATCAGCACAATCATATAAATTAAAAAATTTTACAAACAAATTTTTTCGCATAGGTATTGAAAAAAAATGAATTTTAAAAATATTGTTTTGAGACTGTTTCTGCTTGAAAGTAATTTCACCTGAAAAGTTTGAATTTTTCAGTTTGTATTTAGGGCGGGGGAAATGCTTGTTGATCCAGTCTTACGAGTGTAAAAATTATTAATATAATTTATATTTTTTTTTTATAAATCTCAAAAAATTATAAACTAAATGTTTCTGCGAATAGAAAAAATTATCATTTTTCTATCAAACAATATTAATTTAAATTCTCTTGTCTGAATGCAGAAAAATATCCATTTATCGTCTCCATTCTATAATTAGAGCCTATTTTTGTCCAATCTGCGTTTTTTTCTGCAAAAGAAAGCTATGTAAGAAAGTTATAGTTTTTCGTTGGTGTGTGTCGCAGCCTGTTATTGCTGGTGTGGTGACTTGAACGCCAGAACTTTTTATTCCACCTGCTTGGATATTCGAGTCGCACACTGCGGCAAAGACGATGAAAAAACTGGTTCCAGCAAAAAGTTGCTGGGACAATTGCACTTTAATTTTTTTGCTCCTGCCGAGCGCAAAAACATATTGGCAAAAAAAGCTGTCTGCGCATATAAAAGTCATTTTGATATATGGCTTAATTTTTTTTTTAAACTTAACATTAGGGGCGTTTCACTTCCCGAATTGCTATGATAATTTCACATTTACAATAATAATGAATTAATTAACGAAGAAAAAAAATTTCCTTTAAAATCAGAAAGAAATAATAAATATTATCAAAATAGTATTTATCTTAGCCGAACCAAGTGGAAATTTTTTTTAATAATGCGTTAATTAAATTTAATTGTGATAATATAATTATTAATGATAATTTAATGGGATCGACATTTTTGGAGCAGCTAGTGACTCAAAGTAATTTTTTAAAGGAAATAATTTTCACGATTTTTTTAAGCTGAAAATTTTATAAAATTAAATTGAATGGATATTTTAAAAATTATTCAAAAATATGCTTCAGAAAATTAAATGATAGTAAAAAAATATTTATTAAATTGCGTTGTAAATTTTTATACTGAATAAATTAATTTCATTTGGAATTTTTGGAGTGACCTTCTGCTCACCGATCAGAGGAGATAAAATTCATCACAAAGACTGCTTTGGGAGAGTATTTTTTATTTTCTAAATAATAAAAGGAGATAAACAATAAAACTGCATAAAACTAGTTTGTCAACCTTGGTGATTTGGAAATAAACATAAACCTAGATGGGAATCTATGAAAGTTTTTAATGAAAGAGGCCGGTTTGGTACTTTGCTAGTGGCAGTGTTTTCCACAATTTTATTTCGTCAAAGAGACTGCATCAAGTTTTCACATTTCCGTTGTTAGCGTTTCTTCTTCCTGCTTATTACAAATAAGAATATAATTACTTTTTAACCTTTCTTGTTTTTCGTCTCCGCCAACAGATCAATTATCCTTATACATGAGAGAAATGAAAACAGAGATTTTCGCTTGTGTCTGACGTGAGACTGTCTGTGTATCAACTACAAAACTTCTTCTTTTCTTTTTTTACATCCTCCTCTCCTCCTTACATAATTTTCTTATTTTTTTTTTTGTGAGATTTTCTTTTACTTGTTTTTAAATTTCTTTTCGTCATCTATATCCATGAACATCACATGCACTATTACAAAATGACCTGCGTGTGTCTGCGTTTTTAATAATTGTTATTCAAGATTGATTACCATTCGTCGCTTAAATACAAGAATCGATTCGTAAGCGGGTACTTAGAGAAGAAAAAACAAACCAATAAATCTTACTCATCATAACAAGTTTGCAGCCTTTCCTATGCTCGAACGCGAAAACTTCACTGTGAGAAAGAACACGCGGACCCAAATTTTCATTTTTAGATTTGCCGTTATTTGCTCCAGGTCTTAAAATAACTCTTTTCAAACATATTATGGTGTCATGGTTCTCTCTGTGGAAGGGTTTTCAGGTTTCATATTAAACAAATGAGCGCCAATAACACAATTAATGGTGAATAGATTTTTTGTTTCAGTGAGTTTTCGAAAGGCTGACATGGATTTTATTGCTATGACTAGTAACTAAGGCAGAACATAGTTTCAGAAACTTTCGACTGCGTTTTTACATTTTTAAAATTTTCAAAAAGACTTGGAATTTTTAACTAAATATATCTCGTTTTTCGGGGGGCATGAGAGTAAAAATGGCGTGGGATGAGTTTTGATGCGGCTTTTTTGCTTTCCCAAACACATTTTTTGGCGCTTACACTTAAGAATGAATTTTCATTTTTTTACTTCTTCTATAATTTTCTCCGTCATCACCATCTGCTCGTTTACCGTTAAAGATTTATTTACAAATTAAATACCTCGCGTAAAAACTAATAACCCTTCCTTAAATAGCGTGGAGTAACTTAATAAGCCTATTGTTGTTTTTCTTCTTTTACATTCTCTCTTTCTTGCCTTTTTTTATTTAAAAAAACAATGCTTAATTAATAATTACACGAATTATTCTCCTTAGAAAATTTACTCGCTTGCTTATGCAATATCCTTTTTTCTCTTTTTGTCACCACTTAATTAAACAGTTCATTCGTCTACTTGCGCTGTGGACTGGAAATTAATTGATTAACCCTTTCCGTGCAACACACTTCTTGACAGACGTTATTTGTAAATAATTGGATAATATTGATCTGGCTTTTAAATAATTACTTTTGGAAATTTATTCTCTCTCAATTCCTCCCGCTGTCAGCTATTTCCACACAAAACTTTTGTCCAGCAAAGTAAAAAAAAAATTAATAAACAATTGTTTGGCAAGAGATCATCACTCTGCCCAGCTTGCTTTCTTTCCATCCTTCCTTACAACAATTTACCGAGTGTATGTACCAGACATTTATGTAAAATTTCTTTTCGCACAAACTAGAATTGCGTCGGGGGTTGGCTCCTCTCTTACCTCTAGGTCAATACAATACAAAAATGCGTCAATTTGACTGATCACGCCAATCGCCCTCTTTCGCCCGGCATTTCGGACGTTGGTCCCACTAGCAAGAATTTTGAGCCACCAATTAGTAAAACACTCCTAATCACAAATAAATGTGAACCAGCACACATTGCAAGCCAACCCCACAAAATTTTGAGTAAATAAATATGGTTAAATTTTCAAATCATGGTCCCCCTCATTCAATCAATTTTCCAGCAATTGAATTCAGAGCAGTTGAACCAATCGGTCGATTTTGTCCAAAAATCTTTCAAAAGGTGTCAAATTTTAAAAATATTGCTGGGAAGTGTCCTAAATTTTTGAGTTCTGTGACAACCAGTGTCAATTAAATATCATTCATCCTAATAGAGGTCAATGTTGGGCTTTGAACAACCAGTGTTTTCAAAGTGGACACTTCCCAAGTTACAAGCAATCGATCAGCACAGCTGATTTTTCAAATTACAGAAGACTATTTTGCATAAGATCAATTTTGATTGGGTACCAATAAATTGGTACTTGTATATAAATGAAGGTTTCACGCAAGTTACACATTCCTCGTCGATTCCAGCGAGGGACCGAAGACTTACAAATTCCATTCTTCTTAATTTGTAGGAAATTACACAGCTATTAACAAATCATCAATCAAGTACTATTGCGATTTTTTTCCATCCAAGTTCGAAATGAGAGTAATAGTATTGTTATCGATTCACAGCTGCTCAGAAAGCATTCTTCTTCTATTAGCCACACCACTGGACGCTTTCATTCGACTTCAAACCAAAGTAACGCAAAATTAATTAACGTGATAATTATCCATCTGGGTCGATGGAGTTTGTGACGGAAAGATCAAAAACTAACAAGAGAATTATATCCACTGTGAAGGAACATTGAAGCGCTTTTCGCAGCCGAGGAAACTTTCATCAACTGTTGCAAATCCCAACTTAAGTTTCCACAAACAAATTTGGGGGAAACAGAAATTCTTTGAGCAATCGGTAGTCATTTGCCTGCAGAGAAACTCAAATTTTTATAGCACACCACTGGATTGAAAAATCAGGCTAGAGAGAAAACCGCTAGGGCAAGTTCATAAAATTTATACTCTTAAAAAAAAAGAGTTTGGAAATTTCAAATTCCCAAAAATAGGTTTAAGAACCAAAATCACATGTTTGTTAATTTCATAGGTGAGCAGTGGGTGCTAAAAAACAAACCAAATTTCCAATAATAAGCTGACAATGAGAATTCTCTGCGGGTCTTTAGACTCAGATTGCTAAGAGAAGATCTTGCTTGGTCACTGGCAGTCGTTGAAACTTGTGGCAGCTGACAAAAATCACCTCTTCTTACCTATTTAGATACGTAGTTCTCTTTTTTTCTCTCTATGTTTTAAACGCTAATAAAACTCCCTCACTCAGTCACTCGTCGGTAGCTCACATTTTAACACTTTTTCTTGAAACTCTCTTTCTCGGCTTTTCATAATAAATCGCATAGATTCATCTTCTCGAGTAGCATTACGAACTACGGTTGTAGAGTCTCTTATCTCTTCTGTAATTAAATATTTTCTGTATTTTCCATTTGAATTGGCCAACCTCTCGTTCAGTCGCATTCTCTCGGCTCCATTCATTTTCTCAACATTATTTTTTCTTTGTTCATCATCTACAAACTCAACACGTGTACGTTTACGGACAAAGGAATTTTCTCCGATATGTGGTTGGCAAATACTGTCGCGTCTCACCACAACAACAATTAAAATTGTATCGTAATAACACTAGGGCTCGCTCGCGCCTCCCTTAGTATAAGAGGGGCGGGGCAACTGCATTCTCATCATCATCAGCATGTGTCGTGTTGTGTGTTTATGTGTGTAAGTGTGTGTTTATGTATGTATGTGTGTGTGAGAGAGTTTGGGTGGCGAGTGAGTTGGAGCGAGAATGAGCGGCACACACTCACTCGTCCTCATTTGTCTCATCATTCATTTGTTGTGGATGGTGCATTGTGAGTTGGTAGGGGGTGATCAACAGCCGTTGTTGCGGAGCGTCCCGACGCAGCCGGGCGCCCTCTCACTTGCTGGACGAACTGCCGGACGCGTCGCCGCCCGTCGTCCCGCCACCTCCGCCAGCACTGCTCTTGTCACCGGCGTCGCGCATTTTGTCCACGTAGTCGGTGAAGATGTCTCGGAATCGCACCCAAGACTTCTCAGGGATTGTGATGGCAGTTCGGAAGTTTGTTTTCACCTGGAAATATTTCAACAGTACAGTTTTCAGAAAAAGAAAAACTGAAATCTATATGAAAATAATTCCAAAGAGGCCAAATTTAAAAAAAAAATCCTTGAATTAAAAAGCTTATTGGCATGAATATCAATAAAATTGACTTGCAATTTCTTTTTATCAGTTTATAATTATTAATGAAACTTTGTTTTCCTTTCTAAATAATTTGTATTTTACTCACCTCTGAGATGCGCATGTAGATTCCACGATTGTTTTGCCCAATGTCAAAGTAAAAGTTTTTGTTCTCAACACGCATGTGTCTGCCTTCGGGCAGCTCTCCTTTGAAGCCACCGTCATCTGTTCCGAACTCTTCGAGCAAATCTGTGAGTGCGTCTCTGAACTCGATCATTCCTTGTGCTGGAATCGCGATTTGCGACCTTGGCCCTCCTCTTGTAATTGTCTGTGATACCTAATTAAAATAGGTTTAATTATTTTCATTATAAAGAGAATTTTGTTGTGATTTCAAACCCTGAGAAATCGTCCACGAGAGTTCTCCTTCAAATCCAAATAGTATCTACGATTATCCTTAATCATCATTTCAGACTTGAGTTTGCCATCTTCTGGAACGTTTTCCGGGTTTGGTGGGCCCAGTGACGAGTAGAAGTCACTGAATGTGGAAAGGTGGTCCCGAAATTCGGCAGCTGTGGACAGGGCGAGGAAGATTTGGCTTCGGCGGCCATCGGCCCAATCTGAACAAAAAAGAAAATACTTCAGTTAAGGCAATGGAATTACGGAATTTTTATTTCACCTCTGCTACTTTGATGAATCGACCTCTTCTGTTTTGTTTGACATCCAGGTAGAACCTTTTGGATTGTATCTGCAGCATTTTGGTGGCCAACTCCTGCTCCCCCTGCTGCTGTCCACCTTCAACAATTCCCAGGCAAATCCAATTAACATAAACAAAATTTTGGTTATGTATTTGAATCAGAATAATTTTCTTTAATAAAAGTCAAGACTGGTAAGAAAGTTGAAAATTGCGTCAGGCTGCAAAAATGTCGAGTCCAGACGGGTGAAAATCAATACGCGCGCAGCTGCCACTGCTCTGAAGAGGCTGGACCAAAAGTTAAATTGTAAAAAAAATCCAATTAAAATTTACAATAGCCCATGAACAAGCTCAACTGTTTGCAAAATGAGAAACCCCCAAACGCCAAGGTAGAGGTTTAACAATCAAGGCAGTTTGTAATAGTTTTCCTAAAAAAATTTATAATTTATTTCTACTTTCAAATTATTTTTTGCCAAATTAATACCGTCATTTAAAAGCTATTTAAAAAATATCTGATTATGTAAAACAAATTTATACTTAAATTTGATGTGTTAATTATTATTAATTTCAAAACATTTATCCTGTAACCATCTCAAAAAATTGTTTTTCTGGAATAACTTATCAAGCTTCCTGCTTCTGAATAACCTTCTAATTTTTTTTTATTTCTTTAATAAAACTGAATTTCAACAGGTTAAGGTAAATATGAAATGGAATAAAGTAATGATAAACAACAAAATAATAAGATATATTGACATAAAATGCCCATTTTCATTTTGTCGTTACGATTAGGTAAGGAATTTTGTGATTGTTTCAATAATGAAAAACTGTTTAACGCTCTACTTTTATCAACTAAAAAGGAAAATATCTTGACATTGCGCCAAATTACAAAGAGAAAAAAATCAATAATAAATAACAAGTTTCACGTTCAGAGTGAGCATTGGAAACCGTTTCTTTTTTATCTTCAAAGTATAAGCAAAATTCTTGCCAATGATGATGAATTTTTGTCTAAATATACACAATTCCCTCCCAATTTTTCTTTTACTTGTTTTGTTAAACGGAACGATGCAAGTTAAATTACAATAGAAAATTTTTATTGAAAAAAATTTCCTTGCGATGGAGGAATATATCATAATTTTTCCGAATTCGCACTCGGATCGAGGTGGGGAAGCGGCGAGCTTTGATTCTTGCGGAGGGGGAAGAAAATCGTCGATATCATTTCGCCTAATGTAATCCGGGGTAAATTAAAAAAAAAAGAAAGAAAGAGGCGAGAACCGCATCCACCGAGAGAGAGAAAGGGTTGCGCGCCAGGCTGGCGTTGCGAGGGTGGCCCGCCGGCGGATTCGGGAGGGGGAGGCACACGCACAAATAATAAATCCGCCCGCCCTGCTCTCTCGGTACTCGCAGCCGCCGCCGCCGCTGCTCTATGTAATGCGAAATTGCGAGTGTGCGAACGCTAGTGGTGGGGGAGACTAGACGGTGAATGACCTCGGTGCAACTCGCACTCGCGCACGGCGCTTGCGTGCCCGAAAAGTGGCATCTTTCTCGTCTTGGTCGAGATGATTGTGTATCACTGGGTCCTTCCCTGGCTGCCGAGTCTGTTCACCTCAGGCACGTGCCCGCACTTCTCGGCTCCGCTGGACAAACGAGGGCCACCCTTTTGTCCCCAGCGCGTTTCGACCTCGCTGAACGCTTTGTTTCCGATTAACGTGCAAATAATGAACCCTGGGGTCGACAATGACCAAAATTGGCTTTCTTTTCAAAAAATGACACGCGAGGACAAAGGATTCGTTCGGATGAATTCGAGCTGCGGTTTTGTTCGAAAAGGCACAAAACGGAGGGTTTTGGCGAAAATGCAAATTGAATCGTTCAATAAACTCGTAGAGTATGAAAATATCACGGAAAATTTGATTTACAAAAGTAAAAATAAAAAAATATGTTCAGACGTTGAAATGGAATATCCAAAAACTAATGAAAAAAAAAAATGCAAATAACTAAGTTACATTTAAAAATGGATTCAAAATACATTTTATATTTTATCTATCAGAGACGATTATAAAATTGTAATCAGCAAGAAATTTAATACACCAATTATATGATTCAATGTCAAAAATGAAAAAAAAAATATGCATGAAATTTAATGAAGGATTTAATTTGGTTTATTTTTGATAAAGCCGAAATAAATTTAATTATTGGTTTAAATTTTGACTAATCGCCCTTACGTGGAGTTACGTTACGAGTCACGAGATATTTGGGACAAAAACCTTAATTCCACGTAAAAGCAATTAATCAAAATTTAATAATTTAATTATTTTCCGTTTCGAGTGGTTTCTTTGGGTTTTAAACTCTCAAAATAAATTCTTTACAACAATGATGGTTTAAGTTCCAATTTTGAAATGTACTTTCCATTAATTGCCAAATATGGCTCCTATTGATTTTTCTATAAAGAGTCATTAATGTGAACTTCCGAGCCTATATTTTTGATATTATACCAAAGAAGGAAAATGTGGTAGATTTTTGGTACATTAATTTGGGTACAACTTTTCTTGTATTCAATCGAGAGTCAAAGAACAAAATCAAATAATATATATATATTATTTGATTTTTCTGAACCAAGCTAAATAATAGCTCTTCGGATTACTTTGATCGCCTGCAATGTTTTGAAGCAAAATAAAATTTAATTATATCACATCATCGCAGTAAGAAAAAAAATTGACTCCCGACATTAGTTTAGTAATAACTTTTTTGGCACTAGCAAAATCTTATCTTTCCTAGGTGTGGCAGAAACACTTTCGCCACCAAGATAATCCCCCGAAAGTTCTGTCTCGCAGAGCAAATAATTGTTCCAAGCAAGGCTCACCGCGGAGACCCCGTCTCAGTTAAATTATGCAACCGGCGCGACAGGCGTGACGAGATTTCGCCTGGGTTGCCTATTTCGGGCAGAAATTCCTTTAGCTCAACTGGAAAGGGTGGCGGATGTGCGCGCCATTCCTTTTCGAGCGCATCTATTCGTTCGGATAGCTTCTTTGGCACACACAAAAGCGCTTATCTCGAGGAGCTTGCGTCGAAAAAGGCCAAGCTAACGAGCGCTTAGATCTCTGTTTTGTTTTGGACACTATTTCGGGCCGTGTCAACGCACTTTTTCAACCTTGAGCCCTATTAATAGAGCGTTTGCAAAACCGCCACGTGGGAACAGAGGCCGCCACCCGGAGCAAAATCAGAGCCAGGGGCGAGCCGAGAAGAAGAAAAACAAACAGCCAAAGCCGGCTAATTATTGCACATCAAAGCAAATTGTAAATATTTGAGTTAAAAATGGTTGAATAACAGCATCTCAGCAACACTGATTGTAATTAAATAAATAAATTATCAGTAAAATTTTGACGAACTGCAAACACACACTTAATTAAAGGGACTTTTTGCAATCAATTCCAACATTTTTTTGAAATCATATTAAATCTACAGCACGAAATTTAATAAATAAGAATGTTTTTCTCATGAACACAAAAATGAAATGGATTACACGCAGTCTGACTCATTATTAAAGAGCTGAAATAAGGCTGCAAAAACTTATAAAAAAAATTTAATCAAACGAAACTTTCTCAAATTTAGAGCCAATTTCTTAAAAATATATGTTCCTGATTTCAAATGAAAAATTTCCTTTAAATTTTCTTTCACACTCTTTACTACAGAACTAGCAAAACGGTGGTTTGTTGTGCCGTGGTAATTTCAGTAAACACAGCAAATTTAGCGTCATGTGAATTCAAATTCCAAAGCTTGTACAGAAATTAGGAAAATTGGCCCGGTTAATCTTGCATCAAAAATTTACAAATCAATATTCAAATTTGCAGTAAAAGAAAAAAATTTTGAAATTTTACCAATTTGAAATTAGAAATTAGAATTAGAAGCTAAATTTTATGGGAAACCAATTAAAACCATGTTACCAATTTACTACGACTAAATAAATAAGTAATTAATTAATAATTAGTAAACCAGAATAATTTTTAATTGAATGTCATTTTAAAAAGATAAGGCTTTTCATAATTGAAAAATTGTTTTTATTCTAAAACGGCTCAATTAGGGTCGCAGACCGTTACCAAAACTGGTATTTTGTTTTTGAATAAAAACAATTTTTAAAACGAGGAAAAAGCCCCATCTCTTTACTTCTATGATCATCTCCTAAAATGTCAATTTCTTCGAACAAATTTATTTTATTCTTCATTTTAATTTTGAACTAAATAAAAAAAAAATATTAGAATCTAAATCGTCTCCAGCTGACTCTAACTTAACAAAGAGTGTGGAATTTAAGTTGTAAACAAATTTATTTTTGTTGATGTTTATTGTTTTTGACTCGGCAGGAGGTCATGTGAGGTCAAGCACGGGGGCAACCGGGCCGTCGACCCTGAAGTGCAGCTGGGCCGCAGTGAGAAGTGCATCGCGCTAGGCCCGCGTCTCTCTATCGATTGCTCTCTCTCGCCATTCTGCACACACCGGGCGAGTGCCGAGTGAGCTTCGGACTGACCTACTAAACTGCCAGCAGCACACACGTGCGGGCGCTCGTTCGCCAGGCCGCGGTTCCCACAAGCCTGGCCCATTTGGCCGCCGGAGCGGACACCGGCCCCGAAGGGGTCTCGCGCCTGCCATTTGGGGCAGGTCACACTTGAAAGAGAGAGCGGAATCGAGGTCAATGTCAAGGCGGCCAGAGGCATAGACAAGACGAGAAGAGGCCCTGCTTCCTCTTCCGCGCCACTTGGCAATTTTTCGGTCCTTCTCTCTCGAAAATGCAAACGAGATAATAAATTAAGAGGTTACTTTATTAAAAATTTTTTTCGCATGAATTTTCTTTTCTTTTAAATTAATAAAATTCCGAGGTAGTTGAAATTTTGTAACCAAATTTTGAGTAGCTTTAAATATTAATTGCAAAATTAAATTAACAATAATGATAATTATGGACGATTTTTCAGAAGGATATTAAAATTTGCTTAGAGAAAAATAAATAGATTGTATTGCAATCCAACGAAATTTGTTAAAAATGTATTAGTTTATTATAAGTAATTATTATAAAATGTTTGCATATAAAATATCGTTAAATAAGCCAAACCCAAAATTCTGTTTCTAGAACTTTATTTTAATAAAACTGGTTGAGATTTTTTAGATATACGGCTTAATTATTCTCTCGATACTTTGGTTTTCGTTGCGCCTTCCTTCCGAATATTGAACAGTTTTATTTTCATAATGAAGCGATGTAAAATTTCTGCTTTGTAGGCAATTAATTAAAACATGCCGAGATAAATTTTCTCAAATTTCTTGCTAATAGGAATTTCCTTTACATGCTAATATAATTTTCTGAAATATTTGCCTCCTTCAGCAGGAAATTCATGACTTCCTCGTTGGTTCTCTGATAATCACGAGTCTAAAAAACGAAAGTTGATAAAAAAAAGTTCCTTGTTATTCTGATAAAAATTTCAAAATTTCAAGAGTGCAAACAAACAAAGCGTTACATGAAAAAATGTATAAATTAGATTCTTTTCTACTTTTTTTTTTTTGAATAAACGATAAAACGAAGTAAATTTAATTTCAGTAAATTTAAATTGTCACTCTTATCTAAAATTAATATAAATGAAATACATATTCTTTAAAAAAAATTTTATGTTTCAAAGATTAATTTCTTTTATTTCTACAATTTTATATAATAAAGGCACGCAGAATTTCATGAATGTTTTAAAATATTTACGATGAAAAAAAAATCAGTTATGTATGCTTAGCTATATTTTTTTTTTAAACTGCAGCTAATTTTTTATTGCCAAAAATATTACTATTTAGCTTCTTTTCTTTACTTATTCAATTGCAAAATCGGTCCAGAAACTTTTATGAGAATGTGGCAGGAATAAAGAAAATTTATTTTATCTGTGCGAAAGTTTGCCAATCTGTCGAGAGGTTTTTCTCTAGCTCGCATGAGATTAGCCTAATTATGCTGAACACGGATCGGTCATCTGTGCGGCGGCACCGCGCGCTATCGATTTAGGACACTTACCAGACTCGAACTCTGAACTTCCGGCCCCATCGATCCCGCTGTTCCGGTCGTATTCTGAAATTGCAAAAAGGAGTTTGTTTAGAAGAAAAAAAGTATAATTTAAAAAATAAAATGATAAACAATTCAACGTATGGATTAAAAACTGTTAAAAATATGCCATTGGAAAAGCTCGGTCGAGTACGCGAAGAGACTTTTTATGTGAACCGGCAATGCAGTATATGTGAGTGGAATTGCAGCTGCCAGCTGATCAACGAGAACCGGCAAACTCGGCATGAAGAGATCGAGTAAAGAGTAAAAAGGGAGAACAACCAAAGCAGATCAAAGCAAAATAACATCGACGTTTCTGGTTAATCATTCAGTCGATTGATGCACTAAATAAACAAATGATTTGAACATTTAAAGTAAATATAATCTAGAAAAATTCAAAATTATTGCACGTAATTAAAAAAAAAAAACAGTTTGAAATTAAACAAAACTTTTTAACAGAAATTTTGGCGATTGAATAAAAAAATATAAAAAATATCAGAAATAAATTTATTTAATTTCATTTTACTCAAAATTTCACAACGTGCAAAATAAGAACATTAAAATAAATAATTTATTAGAATTAAAAAAAAAAACAATACTTTCAATTTTCCAAATTGATTTTTTTTTAAATTGATCGATGTAAATGGGAGGACAATGGCAAGAACGCCCTCCAGACCCCTAACGTATGCAAACCGCGTCTAGTTTCGAGAAATCGATTTTTACTGAAAGTGTGTCAAACACGTGTGTTTTGAGTTGCTGCCCGACGGACGTCTGCAATTTTCAAAATGCTAATTACACGGCGCGCACCAATTTGATCAACCGGAACGCGAAAATTCCACTTGGTTGTGCACGACGAGTCGACGAAAACTTTGTGAGAAAAAAAAATCATTAAAATAAATCAACAATAGATTTTTTTAAATTAAGCAGGGTAATTAATAATTAAATAATTAATTGTCACAAACAATGTATTAAAATTTCCAAATGTTTTTGTACGAATATTAGAAAGTACATTTTTGAGGAAAATCGCGCCACTTTCAACTTTGCAAATCTTGGTGAATGCAAAAGAAGAGAAACTCGCATCGACTCGGATTTGGGGCCCCTAATCAAGCTGCAAGACGACGGCCTCCGCCGCCTCCAGCACGGCCTCCAGTGTGCATCCCGGGCACTGTGGAGGCGGCTGGAGGGCGCCGAACGACTGTCAGTGGCCGCCAGGGGCCCGAGAGGCCGCAGAGGCGGCCAGCGAGGTGGCCTCTGTCTATGGATTTATCGGCGGCAGAAAGCGCGGACGGAGGCGGCCAAGGGCGGCCTTCGGAGGCCCGAGGTGGGCGTGTGGAGAACCGGCGCGGTCATCGACCGCAGAGGCGGCCAGCGGCCGAAACGCGGCCGCTCAGCGGCGGCTCGGCCATCTTGTCGCAGACAAAACAGAGATTAATGCGGGTCGGGGGCCGGTGTCGGGGGCGGCTCGCACGGAGGCGGCCCGGACGACACACTCACCGTTCATGCTTTGGCCCTGCAGCTGCTCGTCGCCACTCTCTCGGTCCGACATTATTTGTTTCGAACCCTTCTTCTCGTTGCCACTTTGCTGCTCTTGCCACCGAACCCCGATCAAAAAGCCGCAGAACAGGTCCGGTGTCTGCAGCGGAAGTTGTTGCGCTGGCGGCTGCTCGTCTGCACGTCTCGGCGGCTTGCCCGGCTCGCGGCAGACTCCATGTTAAGTAGATCCCTCGCGGAGGGAATCATCGCGGCGCGCGCCAAACTACGAGCCGATCCTCGATTGTCCCTATACATTGTACTTTTTTTTAACAAATTCGCACATTCTCTATTAATTAATTTAATTAAGAGCCCGTGTTGCAACGCAAACCATTATTAAATGCAAATAAATGTTGATGATCAACCGTTAGTGGAATGCTTCCTTTTTTTCGATTGTCAGTAAGATTGCTTTTTTCCCCTTATTATTTTCTTTTTGAAATAAAATAACTAGATGCACAAATGAAATGAAATTTTCATTTTTAACCAATAGGAAGCGTTAACGTTGTTAGGACAAGTTAATCAAAATGTAAAACACTCGTCATAACTTAATGCATAAATATTTTGTATTTCCTCGTCAACTGTAATTAATTAAACTGTCAAGCTTTAAGTAAAGTCCAATTACAGAGCACATATATTCACTATAAATATAATTATTTACCACACAGAAAAATCAAAATTGCACAATTTAACAGTAGATATACTTACAAACATATATACTGACAATAACTGCAATGCTAAAAATATGTGTAAAATTTGGTCCTCTAAAATGGAAAGAATATTATTTATTCCAACTAAATATTTGCACGCAATGGAAGACAATCTATAATACTTTGAACACTTGGATAACGAGAGGAACATTTTGAGCCTAAAACATTTTTCTTCACATTTAAAAATTCATTGCCGATTGTGGACAAAAGTTTGAAAATTGTTAAATCAATTGATGACAGGTTTGGCAGGAGAAATTTTTTGTCTATGGAGTGGCACCAAGATAAAAATGAGAATATTTATATATTATATCCTTGCGAATCACAGTTGCTCAAAAACACGCTGAAAATATACTGTATGTTGGCACCCTTTTAGCACTATACATGAACTTGCTTCCCAATGCGACTAGTGACTGACTAAGGTTAAAAAGGTTACAAATGGTCTGTCGGAAATTTTGTGACTGGCTTTTTAGGAGGTGGCGTTGGTGGTCGTTCATCATCTTCGGGTTCTGGAGGAGGAAGCTAGACAATTTCAAATCACATTACCAATCAAATTAACATATTAAATTTCAATATTCACCTTCTTTCTGACCACTTTTGAGAAATTGTTTGGAAGAGGAGGCTTTCTGAGCACATCCTCATCATCTGGCAAATTGCAGTAGTCTGGTTCTGCAGCCTCAACTCGTTGTTTTGCAGGCAACGGAGGTGGAATGTTGAAATCTTCTTCGCTGGCCGTAGAATCGGTTGTGACTATAAATACAGCCAAAAATAATTATCCTCTTTTAAAAATTCCCAGACTTTGATCTTACCTATAGAATCACGATTGGATCCATTTTTGCTTGGTGTAAGGCTGAGAGTCGAGAATCGCATTGTAAAAGAGCCACTGTTTGGTCTGCTCAGCCTTTTTTCCTTTTCCACCTCCGATCTACATCAGATTATATTAATTAAATTCAACGGTAACAAAAATTGACGATTTATTTTACCGGAGAGGCCGTTTCGGAGTCAATTCCTGCCTCAGCTCAAATACTGGCGGGGTTGTGCTGCTGCTGATGGGTGTTGAGCCTTGCTGAGGAGATGAACCTTCATTTTCTGTGTACCACTGAGTTCCAGGGGATGGAGGTATGGAGAGCGTCGAGGCTGAAGTTTTTCTTCTACTTTTGTCCTTATCTCTCTTCTTCTCTCGTTTGCTGGGAGAAGCAGAATTTGGCAAATTACGCGGGAAGAGTTTTTGTACTGGTGTGGATGATGATGATGCTTTCAAACCAGAGTTCCTTTACAAATACAGCCTGATTAGGAGAAATAAAAAACAAAACTTTTCAAACAAAAAAATCATGCGTGTAAGATCCAGAAAACATATCATGTTAATTTTAACCAAAGAACAAAGAATCGCGTAGGAAAAGCAAACTCTTAAAATTGTAATAAAAATGGGAAACTATATTTTTTTAATTTTTTATACTTCAAAATTAATAAAAATAAATAATAACTACTACATGCAAAAAAAAATATTCCATGCAGCACAACAAAATATTTAAGAATTTCATCAAAATTTACCCAATTTTAATAAAGAGTTCTGAAGAATATTTGCATCAAAATGCTCAGAATTATGGAAACATGGCGTGAATTATTAGTTGTTGCTGCTAAGATGGTTATTTAGGAAAGAAAATAGATTGTAGGAACTGAGTTTAGTTGTTGAGACAGAAGCCGACGAAGAAGTGGCAGCGATGTTTGTTAGTAACCCAGCTGGAGTTGTCTGAGAGGTGCTTCCACTGTGAACACAGCATGACCACCCTCAATTTCACCTTTCAAGTAATATAGTGTGCAAATATAATTTGGTGTTGACTCCTCATGCTGAAATCTATCAACTATAGTCAAAATCCTCTATTGCCCATATCTAGTGTGTATTTCATAACCTTTTGTAAAAATATCAAAAGATAGGCGTGCCAAAAGCAGAGGTTTTAACATTTTCAACGAATTCGCAGAAGCAGCTATAACATGCGACGTACCTGCCGAGAGTGCCCGTGTGGAGGTTGGTAAAGCTCTTCGTAAAATCAAAGTTGGTTAGATTTTTTAGATTTGACCTGGTGAGACTGGACACTCTGGACCTTTGCGTGGTGGCCGCTTGGGCGCCACCACTTGTGCTGCCTCCACCCTGGGCGTTAGTGACACTGATTGAAACGCCAGCACCAGCCCTGCGCGTGTCACAGCCACAAAAATGATAATAAAAATGAGACATGCATATGGAAGGCCACCAAGCTAACATATAAAAAGCACCAGACCAAGCTCCACATATTTAAATTAACAACAAGCATGCCTGCTGCTGGAATGGAAATTTGAACCAAATTCACTTACTCAGCCAAGAGGCTCACTTCAGACATTCTGCTAGGCAGTTCACAGATGGTCGAGGTACGTGAAAACTGCCGACGAACCACTGGCGCTGAAGAAATCAGCTGTTCCAGCTGCTGATCACATTTCTAAAAACACACCCAAATTGAAAAAATAACCACAATGTATTTGCTTAGAAAATACCCTCTTTCCGTATTTCGACTCAACCTCGTCCTTCAGTAACACAAACTGTTCCTCAATTTTCTGGTGAAAAGGCACCATGTCTTCTGGAACGAGTCTGCGATGCAGATCCAGCCCAATTTCAATTACTGGAATCTGACAGGCCATCAAATTCTTCAGCATGGCGATGCCAGTTTCTTGATCGGGGTTGGCCTCCAGATAGTCTCCAGTGAAGAATGCTTTTTCGTACTTTTTGATTCCACCGTTCACTGCAGGCTCAACTACTCCGTTCAGTTTCATACTCAAATTTGAGCAAAGTTGAGTCGGGTTGTTAGCATGATACACAATCAAGTCTCTTAAACTCTGAAGAAAAATTATTGACGCCAATGGTGACAAATAATTAATAGAAATTACCTTGATACTGGCCTCCATGTCCTCTATGGCATTTACAATAGGACTAAGGTGGTGCGTTTCACAGCTATCAACAGGGAACCAGTGCAGAATTCCTGGAAATGACTCCTCTGTGGTGAGGACTGTACGAGCCAACCACAAGCTGGCAAACTCGTTGTCCGGGTCCCGCGGCTCTTTGTGGAATGGACGAGAGTATCGGAACTTTCTGACTTCATTCACACGGTAGAACTTGACAATCGATTCATTCACATTCTTGCCTGAGAAGTTGTACTCGTTTTCATTCATTACAGGGTCAACTTTGTTGATTTGCAGATCTGCACAAAAACTTTTAAATTTAAGGCCACAAGTTTATAAAAACAACTTACATTGCTTATCTGACTCTGTGATATCCTCTCCAGGTGGTACCAACTTTTTCATCAGTTCTGCATTTGGAAACTGAAGTTGAGTGCGACTTGAGAAGTCACTAAGCCGTTCGTATTCTTTCCCTCGGTACACATACACCTGATATTGAAAGATACTAAGATAAAATTTATAGCAAAGTAAGCGTGCCTACCTTGTTCTGGAGAAAACTTGGAAAGCCACGACCGTAGAATGCAACCCTGAAATATTCAGGTTCTGGCCGAATTTGCTCAATGATTTTTTGGTAGAAAACAGCCATCCTTTTGTGCAACTCGCTGAGCTTGACATACTCATAGGTTTCCTGCTCATATTGCACAATAAGCTCCTTGCAAATTTCCAGAGCACACTCCCACATCTATAGAAAAAGTTAATTTAAATTTTTGTACAAAAACATAAATGGTTTATAAACCTTTCCGCGGTCAAAATTGTCAATCATATCGTTGTAAATTTTTTCCTTCAACTCGCGATGAGTTCTGTGCTCTGGAGAGCGACTACTCCGTAAGAGGAGGGAGGTTTTGCTATTTGACCACAACAGCAGCTTGCTGTGCAGTTTTAGTGTGTAGGCTGCTTCGGTGAAGTTTTCACACTCCAAATGCAGTTCATATAGTTTGTTGACGTAACGAATATACATTTCTTTGCGGTTGATTTGATTATAGAAATTCTAGAGATTTAAAATTTAGATTTTTGAAATTATTTTATAACAATTACTTTTACCAGAACATTGACAGTGCAACTCATTCTGTTCTCTTTGTTTTCTTCTGTGACTACGTTTCTATACTCCAGCAGACACTCCATTAGCTTTGTCATAGTCTCAACAAAGTGCTGACCCTATATTTACCAAAAATGAGGACTTGGTAAAAGCATACGCTATATTTCTTATACCTGGATACTCATAGTAGAGTGACTCTTGCTCAATTCCAAAAGAATACTATTGAACAAATCTTTGTACTGGTGATCGCCTTTGCCCCCTTCCACAAGAGAGTCTAGTTTTGCAATCATTTCATCCTCAAACTGAAAATTACAAATTGCATTAAAAAAACCCACATACACAATTTAGTTTTTAAATAATCACCTTGCAAAAATTTGCTTTGATTTGAGAGGAATCCTTCTTAGTATCCATCCTCATAATGTTATCCTCCTCAGACTTTGAAGAGTAAAACTCGCACTGCATCATGTCAAAGAAAATAGGAATGGTCGCTTTTCGCAGTTCGACTTCTGGAATCATGGTCATCTCTAGGAACGGCCCAACCAACTCAGGAATGAACTGAATTTTGTGCGATCCTGGAAAATTAAATATAGTACTTTTATGATCAAGGTCCATAAAACAAACCTAAGTTGAACCACATGACTCGTATTTCAAATGCCGTCTCTCGTCTCATGTCTTTGTAACGACTGATTATCCGTGCTCTTTTGTTGGCAGAAAAGCTGTCCAACTGCAGTGCTGGCTGCGTCAAAAATGCTATAGCACAGTGGAAAAAGTTGTTCCAGACTTGTTTCTCAAATTGGTTTGTGAAGTAGTCGCGAATGTTGTGAGAAAAGTATCTCAGGGATTTTAGGATGACACTGGAAGTTATTTAAAAAAAATTAATTTTCTAAAAAGCACTTTACAACAATCAAACCTGTTTTGTAGCATTATCATATCACACCAGTCGTTGGGGTAGACCGGAACAGAGACCAAGTCCCTAAATGCAGAAAGTATTTCCATCAAGAAATCCAAAAGGTCAATTCTGGTGCTGAAGTGCTCAAAGTACTGCTCAAAATGATTTGGCGTCATTTGCCGAAAGACGGCAATCATGATTGACACAAGGGATTTCTGTAAAATTTAAAAAAAAAAAAATCAGTTTTTGCATAGAAGACGAAGATTAAAAACATACATTCAGCTCATTTTTCCTAGGCAGTCTAATTGTAGTTTGAATCACAGTCCTCAATATTGTTTGCATGATCAGAGTTATGTCATCCATTGTCTGACCAGCTTTCTTTTGGAACAGCAGTTCCATAAGATCACTCAGAATTTGGACACACATCGACATCTGAATTTAAAAACCTGTTATAAGTGCCTAGTCGACTGAGAAAATATATTAAAGAGCCCTACACCTAACACAAGGTGAATTATGTGGTTAACAAAAGTACAAATGACTGTGAAAAGAAGTGCAAAATTTTTTGACAAGAGTTGTTTTGGTCAAATTAATTTGGTACACAATTAAAAGTGCACAATTAGTAGCACAAGGAAAGCAAATTATTGGATTTGACAGTTAATTGAAGGAGAGGAGAGGCTTCTTTTTCCGAGCACAACATACCTCATCCAAAATTAAATCACCGTCACCGAGTATATTTTCTTCAAAAGCGCCAAGCACTTTGGCAATCTTGGCTTTTGATCTGTTTCTCGACTCTAATCCAAAACGAGCCTGTGTTTGTTAATCATAGAGATGTGAAATGTGATATCAGGTTGGTGGTGTGGTTAGTTTAAAAAAAAAGACTCAAAACACAACTTCAAATTATAAGTGTGCAGTTCGTGCTAGTTAGGAGGTAGGCATGCTCAAATCAAAATGCTCATCAGGATAGGTTTACGCAAGGCAAAAGCACTACAAAAATGAAGCAATTTATACCATTGACTTCAAATTATAATCAGCATAAAAAATCTGAAGAAAAAATTAATGAAGCTGTTAAATAGCCCAAAAATGCATTTCTTGTCAACACCCTACCTCATTACTGTTGTCCAGCATTTCTCGGACTTGTTTCAAAATGCTCGGAAGCAAAATTGATCGACACTCTGGGTCGAGAAACAACTCGCTGAGGACAATGTCCTTCAGAGTATACATTTTCTGTGTAGCAAGGTGAGTGCCTTGGAGGCTGAAGATCATGGAGAGAAGCATTTGGCTAACAAACGGGTAAAATAAGATTTTTGAAATTCAACAATATAAAATGACAAAACCTCAAATCCGTAGGGCTGAAAACTTCAAGAATGTCTGGAATAGTCGTCGGTAGGTATTTGAGGCATGACGCTTGGTGAACCACAATGTGCTTGTTGGTGTAGCTCATCAAGTTGATCATGCTTTGGAGAAGACCCCGCAGAGAGTAAGAAAAGTCCTCCTCCCCTTGTCCTTCATTGAGCCTGAAAAACCTAGTGTAAACACTTATATCAAGTATATATCTTTTTAAATTACTCAGCATGAAGAATTCTTGAGCGAACGATGAATTTGATAATGTACTGAAGAGATTTCATGGCCCTGTGCAGAATGTCAGAGTCCAAGTTTGCTATCTCTTGATCTGCTTCGTCAATGTACTGCTTCAATACGTGCATCAATTTACTAGAAATAAAATATGTAAATTTTAGAGGAAAAGAGAATATTTCAGTATAGTTACTGATAGGCCAAAGTGGCGCTGAAGCTCTCCTTGATGTAGAGATCAAGGACCGGCTGAAAGTGCTGGTATTTACCACTAGACACAAGGTTGATGATGTGTAGCTGCCAAAAGAGAGGCAATGCATTAGAAATTCTTTTTCCCAATTTTGAACTTACAAGGCACTCAAAAACCATCTTGTCATACATGTCAGAGTCTGAGTTTTGCATCAAAATGTTGAATAAAGCGTCTAGAACATCTTGCAAGAATTTGACTATTTCCTCTCCATCCACTTTCATCAGTGCTTTGAGGCTGTCTTGCAATTTTTCAGGTTGACCTGCCCATTTTAACAGGCCAAGAAGATCAACTGCATAAAAAAAAATTATTATTTCACACATATTCCGATAAAAATATTAATAAAAGATTTGAAACTAAAAAATACCATTTTGTGTGAGTTTGGTTGAGCAAACATTTGTCTGAATAGTCAGGTTGTCTTTGGTGCTGATGGAGAGTCCGCTGATCTGTGGCTTTTGTCCTTCAGCAAGGTCACTTTTTGTAGAAGGCAATTTCAAGTAGCCAAGATCAGATTCGTCAAACTTCTTGTGGTCTACCTTGTAAACCAGAAGGTCGTGGACTGTGTCAGGAAGAGTTGTGCCATTGTCTTGCATTAGTTTGACATACGAGATGGCATAAATCTTCTCCGACTTATCTTTGGCTTCATTTGAAGATCTACCAGGAATATTTGTTTTAGCTAATACAAATTTTAGTTTAAATATAAACCTGTGTTTGAAGTAAAATTTAATGTGACAAGATTTGAACTCATCAATCGGGACAGCAATTTTCAACGTTTCAAACCATTTTGGCTTGTCTTCGTGGTAGTAAACTACGGACCTGTACTCATCTTGAGGACTAACCCCAGCTCCAAGCATAATTACACCCTGTTTGTGAGAGGGTCAGATGAATTGTGAACAGCAAAATTTTATGAAAAATTACCGGGATTGACTGTCCCTTCTCGTTGCAGACTCTGACTGTAACTTCAACATTTTTGTCTGTGGATTTGCTCCCTCTGGAAAATTCACCACAGACCAAGGTGAGGTACAAATCATTCCTCACGTCTCCAGGCAAAATTATTTCCGGGAATCCCATTTTCCGAGCAATGGCAACAGATCCCAAAACAAGGTGCGGATTTTCTTCCCGAACCTGCATATGTGAAATTCAGTGGCGCAAAAGATAAGTAAATCAAAAATCAAACCTGTTTTAAGTCTCCATGCAGCAGTTTCAGACTAGTCCAGAGGCCTTGACCCTTTGGTTCTTTTTGATTCATGTCTTTTCCAGCTAAAATTTTCTTCAGCGTTCCATCTAAATTGTCTTTGTCCCCACACCTAATGAGGAAATATTAAAGAATTTTCTGGTCATTTAATTTTTTTTAACTCACGGGGTGAAAGGCACAGGTATGTGCGTATCCTCATTTGTCTCGATACCTCCTTTCAGATACAGAGTAACGTCAAGAGCGGCCACTCCGCAAGGCCTTCTAATGCAATCAGTCAAGGCGGGCGTTTTTCGTGGCATTTGGGACGCCCGCTTTATGTCCAGTTCTTTGGCCTCCATGGCACCAATTCGGACTACGAAGCAAACTAAGTAGACCTTATCGCGCCGAAGATCCCTCTGGCCTAAATCCTATGTAAATCAAAATTTGAATGAAATAAAATTGTACTTCAACAAAATTTACTGTAAAAAGGACTCGGAGATTGTTGATCTGGTCGACGTCCTGAGCCAAGCCTTCCCGGCTCCACCTCACAACATAACTCTCAGTGATTGGTTTGCCCTCTTTGGCGTCGTACAGCATCATGAGCAAGTCGGCGTCCTCAGTCATTTTGCAGACAAAATTACGTATTGACACAAAAAATATGTGCGAATGGTGTGTGACTACTTTGTTGGTTTTTGTGTGCGAACCCTACAGCAATTTAAATAATAATTAATTTTCAAAACGTAAAGGTTAGTAAAATTATTTCACCTTGATTCTCTTTGTGGCACAGTCATGATACATGTACAGTTGGATTGCAGAAGTAAGCATTGGATTCAGAATGTTTCCCTGCTCGTCTCTAACAACCATGTCCAGACCAAGGGTGCTTTAAAAAGATAATCAAAAATTGTTAAATATTTTTTTTTAAACTTATTATTTACTTGTTTCCCAGGTCAATTTTTGAGGTTACCAGTTGCTTTATGTCTTTTATTTCATCCACTGGCAGGTTACCAGAGAGTATCTTTGTGCGGCATCTCATTAATTCCAGCATCATCTTCTGGATTTTCTCATACTCTGAGTGTCGAGTCTGATAAAATTTAATTAGCTACATTCTAAGTTTTTTGATTGCAATACTCACAACATAGAGTTGCTTCCACAGAACACCCCATTCTCTGAGGACAGCAGTGATCTCCAAAACAATTGGAGAGTGATTTGGCACTATCATCTCAACGGGTCTATAAATTTAAGATACAAAAAATTAATTATGGTAGAAGTTCATGATCAGTACAATTGGCATTTCCTTGAAAGAATTTTGATTTTGGGTTGTTTGCTGCGGTTTGATTTTATCATAAATCGGGATATATTGTTTTTCTTTAAAAATCTCAAAAAACCATCAAAGATAGACGGGCTTTTCATTCAAATTTAATTATTCAACAAAATTGAATTCTGTCTAAGTGGAAATTTACCCTGACTTGTCGACGACAGATTCGCGAATCTGTATAAATGACTTAGGAAATATTCCATGGCAGTCTCTGTTATTGGCGGTGCAGCCGAAATACCACTCGCCACTCTCCTTGATAATGTACACAGCCTCTCCGACTTGAAGTTCGAGGCAAAATTTGCCTTTCTCTTTAAAGTTGAAGATTGCTGAAAAGAAAATAAAAATGTCACATCAGTTATCAAAGACAAAGATAGAGTGAAAAGGGCGTGATTTCGTTTCGAAACAATTCAGAAGCCTGATTGTTGTTTATGTGTTGCAAACTATCATTTGGCTTTTAATAAACGAGAGCACAGACCAAGGGGACACAGGAAGATTAATAATTATTTTCGATATGCGCGTAACACGAGGGGAGTTCCCTAGGCACATCCTGGTCGCAAAATAACATCCATCTTACTCGATACGCAAGAGTCAATCAAAGTGAACTGCACGAGTGATAGATGGTTGGGCTAAAAAATTGCACAGCACTGCGTTCGGAAACTTCGGAGGAGAGTCAATTTGCGATAATTACCGATTCCGTATTTGTCTCGTTCGGAGACAACCTTCCATTTCGTCATTTTCAGCGAGTTTAGAGATGCATTGGAGGAAATAAAATGAAAAAGTCACCACTTCCTCTGAAATGATAAAAACACTGCTCTTGTCCTGCTGCTGCTATTTATTTGTTATCATCAGCCCACCATGGAAGACCAAGAGCCCCACCATGAGATCACTCCTAGTGCCAGGAGCGCCGGCGCAAATCTGAACGTTTGAAATCAAAGCGGGAAAGCGGCATGTTTGCAAAAGAAATTAGCACTTTTTTATGTGAACTCTCGTTTGATTAAAAATAATAAATATTTTTTTAAATAAAAAAATCAAATCAATTTAAGCTTAACAATTTCATTAATAATTTTGCAAAAAATTAATTAACACGATAAAAATTGCGATGTAGATAAAAGCGGATTGGAAATTGCAACGTTGCTTTCAGGATAAGCTCTCGTGGGGAGCGATCCCATTGGTGGATATCCTTGAATCCACTTGTGATTGGTCATTTGAGTTAGACGACAATGACACTGGACTGCTCACTTCCAGGAAAAAGAAGCGATTGCGGCAGAAAGATGTAAACAAGAACGAATTTGTCTTGAAGATAAAGTTTTGTCGTCGGAATTGTAAGTATTGGGCTCATCAATCAACGAAATACCACCCGTTTAAATTCTCTGCTCTAAGCTCTAATTATTTTTACATTTATTAAGCGTTTAATCCCATTTTAAGTGAGGTTTACTATCACGTTACTTGCAGTTTTGTTACGACTGTGTAAATAAAATAACGTAAATAATATGTTTGTTTTTCAACAGGGCTGCTTCTTCAGGAACTATGGAGCCACGCGAGGCAAGCCAGCAGCCCATAGAGGAAGAAAATGACCTCAATGAAATGATACAATGTGACAACCAGAGCAAATTTCAACGTCTCAGTGTCGATGGGCCCTCTGATGCCATTCGTCGTTCAACAGATCATAAGCTTTCCGAGGACGAAAAGTTGGAAAGAATAATCAAATCTAAGCTGGCTTATTACGGTAAAGAACACTGGGTTTCTTTCAAGTTCCTCCTGGGAAAGGAGAAAAATACAGACTGCATGAAGGAAGCACTGGCTGTTTCAAAAAATTTTAAAATTCTCAATGAAGAATTCGGCATCAAGAAGTCGGTCGCTTTAAACGACTTCCAGCCAGACAACTTAGAATTTGCAGTCAAGATTAGTCAGTTTAAGAAGAAACTCTTCTACATTGCTGGGCAACTGGACAGAGAGGAAACTCGTGAGCTGATAACAAAATTCCAAGGAGACGGAGACGATCTTCAGTTGGAACTTTATTTTGAAAAATGGATGGAGAACAAAATCTTGCAGGAGAACAAGATTGACAAGCTGAGGACAATTTTGCTTGGCATGAAAAAAATGTCATTGGCTAAGATCCTGGGTATATGCTTAAAATAATATGTTACTAACTCTTTTAATTCATTTTGCGATTTAGATGACGATTTTCATAGAGGTTTGTGCATAATCATAAATCAAAAGCTGTACACAAAACAGCACGATCCAAGGGTTGGAACAGATCAAGACAGGGAGAGACTGCGAGAGACGTTTACAAGAATTGGCTTTGACATTGAGGTTTTGAACAATGTGACTCACTCAAAACTGAAACAGTCACTTGAGAATTTGATATGCAAAATTAAGGATTCTGACAAGTGCCTTGTTGTGTGTATTTTGGCTCATGGTCGGCAAGGTGTGATGTTAAAAAAATTCCTTTATGAAAGAATTTATATATTTATGGTAATTTTCAGATGAAATTTTCTGCGTCGATGACGGTGCTGATCGAGGATACCCATTGGACAGCATCAAAAACATATTCAATGCAGATGCTTGCCGACAGCTGGCAAAGAAGCCAAAGATTTTCATTGTCCAAGCATGCCAAGGAGACGTTACCCTTTTTGGTATTTAATATTTAATCTTATCCCATTGTTAATTTGAATTTAATTTATTTTTAAATTCAGAAAGTGAGCCTCCAGAAGTGGTTCAGGATGAAGGATTAGCTGATGATGGGGCAAGAGCTGCTCCGTCAAAATCAGCTGAAAACCACAAGAATGTGTGCACATTTCTGTCTTCTGTGCCAGGAACAACTTCCCTTCGTGATGTTCAAAATGGTGATTCAAGCAATTAAATTTTCATTATTATGTTTTTTAACAAATTGGTTGCGTTTTAGGAACATTTTTCATTCGTGCAGTGTGCTCGGCCATTGACGGGAAACCCTCGTGCAACTTGAATGTTCTGCCAACTGAAGTTATCAGCACCGTGGGGCAGATGCTCGAAGGTAAGAAGACTAGACGGTCCATGGTGCCTCAATACACTACAACTGTTGAGAAACCAGTGCGTTTTCAAGTTGTTCCTGAAAAGGAAGAGGAGGCTGTTAAGATGAGGTTGAAACGCGTTTTGATTCATATGTGTGCCAAAGAAATTGCAAAGAGAATGATCATGGCTCAAAGCAATCGTTCCGTCAATGTTGAGGCGCGTACTTAAATTATTTATGCGTTACTGCTGTGATTTTCTAGTAAATTTTATGCTGTAGAACAGCTTTGAAATTTTCGGATGTAAAATTTATCTTTCATAAATGATAATTAATTTTGCATAAAATTATCTGATGTTCAGGTAGACAAGGAAACGGGCTATTTTAGAGCATACATACGAGAGTTTATTTCCACTATTCGTATTTACGAAAGTACAAAAAATTCTAGCTTGGAACAAGTATCACATTACAAAAGTTAAACAACACTGAGACCTGTAAAAATCTGTCACGCTCAATTGCTATTCTACAAATTACGTAATTTTAGTAATCTCAAAATGCAAAATTTGTACATTGATTATGGCTGTTTTCTGGCAGTGAGAAATATCAGCATATTTTTAAATGCTTTGATAGATGTTTCGAACAAATAAATATGACAATTATCTCAGTATAAAATCAATATCTATAATATAAAACAAAAAACAATCATTACATGAAACTTTGACAACCACAATAAAAATCATTAACAATCCATATTCATATATAATCAAAAATAACTTCATGAATCAAATAATAATTTACAAGTTGAACGTATTTCTTAATTTGTGCATTTCGCCAATTATTGTCCATGACCAGATATTAACCGTTTCTTTCCTAAACTTTCTCAATTTAAACAAATCGTACATTTAGCTGGTGTCGACAATTCCATTTTTCAGCTGTTGTATCTTTGCACAAATCTTGAGTGCCGGTCCTAATTTCATGCCCATGGCACTCATTAGATGATCAGCTCGCAATAGCAGCAGGGCCTGTCCGTCAATCTCTTGCATGGAAAAGTCTTCCACGTACTCGGCACACCCAGGAAGGACCTGGATGAAGTCACAAACTTCCTTGACCTGGAGAGAAAATGAATTTAGTACTGGATTTTGCACCAATTTATTTATTCTTACTGTCCATTCTTGAGGGTTAACATTTGGTGCAGCTGGAGGCGAAGGTGTGCTACCAGGGTTTGCCGAGGAGGTCGTTGTTTCGTCAATGACCAACTCCTCACCTGAAGATTCGGAAGCTGCTGATCGAGCTTTTTTCCCTCCAACTTTATCCTCCTTTTGCCTCTTGTGACTAAAATCGTTTTGATTATTGTATAGAACATGAATATTAAAATTTGTCTACCTTTTGGCGCAGGATGAGCTGCAGAATCTTTTGGACTTCTTGAATTTAGAGCGGACGTCCGTCTTTTTGCAATACTCGCAAGTGGCCATTTCCTCTGGAGTAGTGGTTGTCGGGAATGGCTCTCCAGCTTTCAAATCCCACATTATTAAAATTACTCAGTTTTCAATTTATATAGAATTCACCTTCTTGGATGACAAATCCTTCGATGACATGAGTAAGGACCTGAGGCTTTACAAGCGCTTTCAGTTTTTCCTTGCTCTTGTCGTCCGTGGCCAAGTCCTCCTCATCCTCATCCATCGTTTCAGGAGTGGTCGCCGTCTCCAAGTCATCCTTGCCAGAGTCTTCAGCTGCAGTTTGGTTGCTCTGCTCCTTGGCAGTTTGCTCCCCTTGCTGGAGAACAGGGGTCTGCACCACGGGTGGCATGGGCACGACCGGCGCCATCATCGGTGGCAGCACCGCCTTCTCCTTCTGCGGCTGGGACATGGTGATGGTCTGTGGAAGGAACTGGATTGGTTGTGGCACCGACAGCAGTTTCGACATCAAGGGCGCCGTCTGATTGGTGGCCACTCTGGGCGCCTCGGTGCTCACAATCTGCATTGGCTGGCTGTTATTCGGCAAGAGGACCCTGTCGATTTAATTTTAATTTTCTGCCAAAAAAGAAAATAATCCTCTTTACTTGTTCACCATGAGCTGCTGCCCAGTTTGGGTCATTTGCTGCTGCAGTTGTGGTTGAGGGGAGATTTGCTTTGTTTGGCTGTCGGCAATTTTATTTCCAATCGGACGACCTGGCCGAACTTTGACTTTTGGTTGCTGAAAGGAAAACTAAATTATATATAGTTTGCTAATTTTTGTCAAATTTCAAAGATTATAATTTGAAGAATTAAAAATAACTACCACTGGTTTGGCTGTTGCAAGCGAAACTGATGTTTGAGTTGCAGCCGAACTTGCCGGTTGGATGGGCTGCTGTACAGTAGAGGGTCTGATTGTGAGAGTTTTCTGTGTGGTGACCTTTGGCTGGATGTTCGGCTGAGTGGTCACAGTCTCGGGTGGCTTCACGGCAACCGGCTTCATTTGCTGTTGCTGCTGAGGAATTTGCGCCTGTGTGGTCATTTCTGAAAATTTCAAATTTAATTAAAATTCAAAATATATTTTCTTGGCATACGTTGCTGCTGCATTTGCTGCTGCACAGCGTTGCTCTGGATGAAGACGTGCGTCCCGTCTGGCTGGGTGCTCCGTATAAAAATTGGACTCGAGGTTGTGCTGATGCCCGTGTTCATCGGCATGCTTCCGGCCGGTTGCGCCCAAACCGTTCCCTGACTCGGAAAGGTCGGCCACTGTTTTCAAATATAATCAAATTTTTGTTTTAAAATATATTTGGAAATTTCCACCTGCATTGGATTGATAATGTGCTGATTCGGAATTCCTTGGGTGACAATCTGCTGGGGCTGCTGCTGGACGATCATGTTTTGCTGCTGCTGCATGGGCTTTGCCTGGGCCTGGATGACCTTCCCCTAATTTCTCTCTTTAATTTATGGATTTATTTTTTCTGAATTTTTTACCTTCTGTTGGTCCTGTTGTTTGGCTGTTGGCGAGGGTTGCGGCATTACGGCCGTGCCTTGCTGGTTTGCGGGCATGTGACTTATGAGCAGGGTCTGGTTGGGGTTGCCAGAAGCTTGTTGTGCTGGAATGTAGCACTGGGTCGCTCCACCTTGGGTCGTGGCTTGGACCATCGTTGCCTTGCCCTGTGGCGTTATCAACTGGGGAGTCATAGGCCCTGGCTGGAACGTCGGTTTTCCAGTTGTAATCACCTTCAGATAAAAATAATTAATTTCGAAGTGAACAACACAATTAATTTACTTCTTCACTTATAAGTGAGAAGAATTTTTTTAACTGTATATTTAAAATTTTAACAACAAAAACCTGATTGAATAAAAATATAATCAATTGAAAAGTTCACGTAAAAAACCAATTAAATTGATTTAGTACAATTTTTTAAATCATTTTTAGCTTACATTGAACTTTTTTATATTAACAAACTTATTAATTTTAAATTTTTGTATTGATTATGATTATTTAAAAAATTTCATACTTGGAGGGGTTGTCCTGGGTGATGAATCATGTTGTTTGCCGGAATCAAATACTGCTGTCCATTCTGCGCGTTGTAAACCTGCTGCACATACATAGGCCCTTGCTGCTGCGGGACCAACTGGATCTAAAATTTGCATTAAAAATTATTTTTCGTCTGATATATTTTTGAAATTCATCTAACCCTCTGCCCCTGCCACTCGGCAGTTGCAAACTGCTGCATCTGCGGTTGCTGGGGTGGCATCATTTGCATGGCCACGGGCGACGGACTTGGCATTGGGGTGGATGAAGGGGGTGGCTGGTGCTGAATCTATACGGGAAAAAATTAATTTTTTTATTCATCAGGCCTATTTTAATGAAAATACCTGAAGGGTTTGGAAGGATTGCATTTGAGGTTGGTTTACGACGCACCCTGTGGTTGTGACAACCGACTGCTGTTGTTGCTGCTGCTGCTGCATCGCCATCATCTCCGCCTGCTGTTGACCCTCAGATTTCTGCATTTCTGCACAGTTCATCTCAATTTCTGGCTTCTCTATCTCTTCTGAATTAAGGGCTGTTGTCTTAAAATTAATCTAAAAATCGATTTAAAACAAAATTAATTATATTATAAATTACTTTTAAAGACGAATTAATTTCTTTGTATTTTTATGAAAAGCAAATTATTTATATCTAAGAAATTTGAAAATTTCCTCGTTAAATCTGGGTTTTTTATGTCAAATCTCAATTTTAATTCTTCCCTTCTGATTGATTCTGAACCCAAAGAGATTTATTAAACCTTTCCATCTTAAATTAAACAATAATTATTTTTTCTATATTCTTTTATAGATTAAATTTTGGCTGCACTTCCAGAGTATATTTCTTTAATTTTTTTGCAAGCAATTGATTATTTATTCAAAATTTTTCTTTGCGTGTAAAATTAACAATATATCCGGCGCAGTCGCGAGCAATTCATTAGAATAAATTACTATTCCAGGGGTGGTTCAATCGGCCGCGAAAGTCGCCCCTCGCACCAGCCGGCGCTTTTCTCCGAGCCGAACAATATGCCGCGCGCACCCAAATATTTATACGGACCGTGTAACATGCTTGGATATTTATTTGCTCAGTATGTACCACCCCCTGAGAGTGCGGAGAAAGCACAAAAGAGCGCGAGGGTCGGCCGGCCGACAAGTGCACGAGTATACAAAATGTATTGGATGGTCGGGGTTGACGGCACCGCGGAGAGGCGCGGAATGGAAAGGAATGAGTCGGAGGATCAGCCCCCACAACACACATTACGTCATTATCGATCCCTGCGTAGCAACCATTGATGCAGGAGGATGTTCTAGTGTTGTGCACCGTTATTATATCATTCCACCTTCTCAGACCAGTGACTTTCAACTTTTCACGGCCGTTCTTTTCTAAAGACGGATTAACCGGGGGCTCGGAAAAATTATTTAGAAACTTCAGATTGCTCTTTAATCTCTTATTTCTCTAATTCTGGCAGCCAAAATTTTATTAACTTTGAATTTCAAAATTTTGTTACAAAATTTAAATTTAAAAAGAGAAAAAATGTGCTTATTTTGGAATTTATAAATGAATTATTATTTTTTGAATAATCATTCTCAATTTCTTCATTTCTCAAATAGCCAATTAAAATAAATTAATTTTCAGACATATCATTTATTTTTCACTAGAAAAATTAGCGGAAAATAATCACTACTTTGTCTTCATATATGTATTAATAATTTTTATTTAAAGGGTTGTACTTGAGAGCCGCTTCTTCTTTTTTCTCGCATAATGAGGGTTAAAAACTGAACATCAAAGGCGCTCGTCCCGCTCATTAAAAACGCCGGGTAAAAAATCGCTCACCTCTGCCAAAGACGCGGCGGCCGATTGTCAAACGCTGCAGGTTTCCAACGATCAGTTGTCCATTCCCGTCCACCTACACAATCGAGGCGACCTAGGCGCGGCGGGCTCGTCTTTGCGGCAGAGACGCCGCCGACTGATATCCCATTAGAGTCTGCTTTCTCGCTCACCCCCGCACAAGGGGGCGGATGTGCCGCCGAGGGGGATGCTGGAGCGGCCGCCGCACTTGCTGCACTGAATGCCGCTGTAGGCGAGGGGTGGCGGAAAGCAAAGCACTGCGGCCGTCGCTCCAACCCCGTGACGTCACTCCGAACCTCCACCACCCCCCAGTTTACACCGAAACCGCGCAACCAAAATTCAGCTCAATTGATTTTCCTATTTAATTAATGTCCAATTTTTAATTTATACATAAAAGTCAATTTATAGATTAAATAAGAATTTTCCTCAATTTATTATTTTTAGGGGAGATTTTTTAAATTATCTTTTTACATAAATGAAAGCGTTATATTTGAAACTAAAAATTTGTTTATTCGTTTCAAAAAATAGTTATTCCAAGACATCGTAGAAAATATTTTTGTAGCTTATACAAATTAGTTTCAGATATGGTTCTTGGCAGTTTTCGAACACCTAATAATATTAAAATACATCTAAAGAAGTAGGTGGAATAAATTATTACAAAAATTAATGTGTTGTTAATATGTTAAGTGTGTTCATGTGTTCAACAATGCACAGCATCATTGATAGTAAAAATAGGAAAAATTAAAAGAAAAATATAGTATGGACTATGTTACACTCGATCTGTCATCATCTGGATGTTTGCAGCGCGAAAGGCACCAATACTGCTTGATTGTGTGTTTTATGTTTGTGTGGAGGCATGAATTGTGTGTTTCAGTGAAATTTAATGTTTGGTCTTGTCAGTGGTCAACTTTCGGAGGAGGAAACGGGGCGTTCTCCTCGTAAATCATCACCAAGCTGCTGTACTCCAAACGTTTGTGTTTCCTTGCTCCCTTTAGAAATGATTAATTTTAAATAAGGATTTTGAAATTGTAATTTTTTATTACCTTTGAGGGTCTGTTGATTTTGCCCAAATTATCGGTTTGTGCTGTCAGATCTTGGTCCTGGCCGCTCTGGTTATTATTAGGTCCTTGCATTTCTTCACCGCTGCTGCTATCACAGCTGCTGCTACTGCTGCTGATGCTGCTGCCGCAAATCAATTCAAAATTCAAATTTGCTGGCAGATTTTCCAACTCCATATCCAGGTATAGCTGTGAGAGCTGCTCATTCACTAAGTTTGGTTGCTGGAATTGAATTTTGTTAATAAATTTAAACTCAAAAATTTTGTTTGCTTTTTTTACGTTCCTTGTTTTGAAAATAATTTTTAAATTGAAATTTAATAACTAATGTAGAAAATATTTTAATATCTTCAATTTAATTGTATAATTTTCCTTTAATCAATCAATATTTATTTTTCATATAAAAAGATAATTGAACGGTAAAATTTGAATTTTTTTTACAAAAATAAATACCATTTCTCTATTTAAAATAATTTAAAACTTATTATTATCATTATAATTATTACCTGTTGCATGAAGTTTAGCGCTTTAAGGTCAGCAGCTAGCACTTCTTCCAAAACTCTGTCCTTGATTTGGTACCTGTAAATAAGTTCAGGCGTCACCTGCACTTCTTCTAGCCAAGGTGGTTCCTTTTCAATTAAAAAAATTAATTTTCGTCATTTTTTTTAGATGTAAAATTTCTAACCTTTTTCAGTAAAGGTCTGACAGTCTTCTCTTGTTCATTAACTTTGTTACTCTCCCACTGCATATCCTCACAACTGCGCTCCACCTCGGCACTAGGTGAACTTTTCATGCTGGAATCACAGATGAAGTAGCTATCGTTTGAAAATAGTTTAATGATTAAAAACAAATAATATTATTTCCAGGATTAAATTTTGGAAAGAAAATAACTCATTGGTCTATTCACCTGCTGTCATCTCCATTTCCTTCGCCGTCGCCAGTTAGACTAGAGCGTTGGTCGGACCCACTCATGTTTCCTTCCTTCTTGTCATCTTCATCAGTCGAGTTCAAACCAATCGAATGTTTAGAAATGCCCTAAAAATAATTAAAAATTAAAATTTTGAAATTAAAATTAATTTTTTTATTTTTACTTGGCGCAGAGATCCTGGTTCAACTTTCATGGACGTTTGCGAGGCAGGGGTGCCGATTTTGAAATTAGGGGGTGTTGCACGCATCTGCAAAAAATAATTATAATTTAAAAAGCAAAGGATTTTCACAACTTGATGGGTACCTCTGCGTTTTTGTAAATCTTGTTTGGACTTCTGTTGAGGTTGTTGTTCTTCATATTGTTGGAGGCGATGGGCATATTAACTGCATTGTGAGAGGTCATCGAAGATAGGGTTGAAGGCAAAAGGGTTGGTTGGAGGACCGCAAGGGATGGGCAGAGAACAGGCGACGGACTGCCATATAAGGATGGTCCCAATGGCTGATAGAGCATGTTTGAAAGGGCTGCTGTGTTGACGTATTGAACTGAACAAAATAATTATTTATTAAATATCAAATTTAAAATAATCTCGTTTAAGTATAATTTTAAATATTTACGAATGTGTGCTTAAAAAATTTATTTACATTGTGGAGCTGGGAACGGCTGATGTGGTGAAGGCATCACTCTGGGCAGAGCTGTTGAGGTTTCCTGTGGAGCCAGACCTGCTGGCTGATGGGGTGCCGTAGGGATGTAGTACATAGGAATCATATTGGCCACAGGTGAGGGAATCAATCCCGGGACAGTCACGGCTCTGTTTGTTGGAGTTTGATTCAAACTGGCAATCAAAGTTTTTAATTAATATGTTTATTTCGATCCAAACGCATTTGCATAAAAAAGGGGAAAGAATAAAATACCTGAACGAGTTGTAGGGCTGAGTGTTGTGCATTGGCGTGAGGGTGACTGAAAAGGGAGGCCAAAGGTTGACATTGGTAGAATTGACGTTGTGTCCTTGCCACCGCTTGTCTCCTTAAAGTAAATTTAAAAGAAATTGAATTTTTTATTTTATATAAATGCTGCTTTTTCAGATAAAAACATATTTTAATATCTCAAATTATCTTTTTCCGATTTTCTCAATTTGGCTTTCTCTTATATATCTTAAATCGGCTTATTTTTTTACAACTAAATTTAGCTTTATCAGATATATTTCAAATTTGCTTTTTCTGACATAAGTTATATTGAATTTTTCTGATTTATCTCAAATTATTTATTTCCGATTTAACATTAATTTGCTTTTTCAAATTTATCTCAATAAAGCTTTTATTATTTATCTCAATTTAGCTTTTCCTTATTTATCTTGAGTTTTGGATGAAATAAACATTAAAATATAAATGTTATAATCTAGTCAATTTTTATTATTTTTATAAAAAAAAAATGTGAAAAAAAATTTCTGAAAACAATTCTCAATTAAAAATAATTATATTTCTTTTTTAATTACAATCTTTCGAACCCTGGAAAGGATTAAAACAATGCATACCTGTATCTTTGTTAGGGGGCCCGACAGGAGCGGCCCAACTGTTGCCGGTGTTGACCTCGGGGTGAGTGTGCTTGGACGCCTTGTGCGTTTCGCCCTCCCACGAGTGTGAGACACTCCGTTTGACGCCGTGACACGGGTCAAGCAGTTTCATCTCCTGGTGTCCCAAACCCAAAATTCCTCCTCCGTCTCCCTCGGTGGCCCCCACGCTGCAACCGGCCATTGCAATCTTCCGGCCGTCCTTGTTCTTCATCTCCATGTTGCTGCTGCTCTTGCACCTCTGCTCACGGTGCCTCTGCACCATGATTTTCTCCATGTCTTCATTATGCCTGAACAAATTTTAAATTAAATATTGAAGCAAATGAAATTCAAAGTGAAAATAAATTAAATGAAAATTCCAAAATCAAAATAATTTGATTCGTTTTGGAATTATCAAAAATATAATATTAGCTCCAATTTTTTGGAATTTTAAATTTGAATTAATTTACAAACAATAAATTACTTTCAAAATAATAATTGTTGACAGTTAAAATTATTGTTAAGAATTTAATATAAGTGTTTTGAGTTTCATTTAAAATTATTTTAAAACAGGAAATTAAGTTAGGCAATTTGTTGCACTTTCAAGACGTGCCGGTTGCATAACCTGAATTTCACAGGAGTTTACTTTAAATTTTATATAAAAATGTTTTTTTTTTAAGTATTTGCAAATTATATTTCAAACCGATATTTTTAAAACTATTAATAACTAACTCCAAGATATTACATTTTTTATAAATTTGAACGAATCCTACCTGTAAAGAAGTTCCATGGTGAGGTGTGGTGTTTTGTACCCGTTGTTGCCCATCATGGTGGCGCAGTTTGGTACGGAGACGGCGGCCCCTCCACCACCTCCTCCGCCTCCACCTCCGCCGCCGTCGTCCGGTTTTTTGACGCCACCTGCATTAACCACGTGATGTGGTTGTCCACCACCTGCAGCAGCAGCAGAGTTAACCCCCCTGAAAGCAATTGCGCGGTCTGCACTACTACCTGCGCCGCTACCGCTAAAATCATAGATCGAGTTCAGTACCATAAAATTCACAGATTAGTCATCTGCCACACATAAAGTTGTTCAGTAATGTAAAATTTAGTACAAATGTTAGTGTTGTGGTGTGCATTATTTTTAATTTAAAAAAAATGAAATTAGAGAGGTAAATGAATTAAATTGCTACCAACCGCGCAAGAAATCGGTCCAATAAGCAAGAATTTACAAGAAAAAGTCTAGAAAAGAGAAGTTTCAATTAAATAAATACTGAAAAAAGAGAAAAAATTTTAATATTTAAAAATAATTATATTATATTTTTTTTAAAAAAATCAGCAATCCCCTGAAATTTATTAGCGAGTCCCGTTACTCTGCTGTTGAAAGAATTGATTTGTGCTGAAATGACGGGACGTGCGATTCCAAAATTTAGGCGAGGCCATAAAATTCCACCTGGAACTGCTGTCCGCGCCGAGCATCATATTATCCTTCCCTTCCTCATCGGTGCTCACTCCTGAACGTTGCACGTCCAGTTTCATTTCGCCCGATTCATCGGAAAGGGTGGTTTTTGGCTTGCTTTCAAAAAACCTGAGAAGAGAAACATTCGTTTATTTATTTTCAACCAATATTTATATTTGCATGCAGAAAAACGTGATATTTTATATAACTGGGATAATAATCGATCCGAAAATTCGCATCTACTGTGAGAAGCCTTAAAGTTAGAAATAAACCAACTTAGCGACTAGCGTGTGTAAACATGTGTTTGGTGAGGCTTTTAAGGGATCCGAACAATTATTATGTTGCGAATTTTTCAATCGATTATTTTTCAAACTTTTCTAGAATAAATTAATGCAAAAATAAAAATTTAAAATTGTGTCTCGTACCTTTGTATGTTCTCATTGTAGTTCAGTTGGTTGTAGCTCGGAGGGGTTTCCGTCGACGATTTGCTGTCGTAGTAGTCATGGTGCGGGGAAATCTCTCCGCACCAGATTACGGAGTCCCGTTCCTGGAAAACGTCAGTGAGACGGCGGATATGCTTCTCATTTCGAAATTCTACCGAGAAGCTTTGCTCCTCCTGCGGCAGCTCAACTTTGAGATCGGGTTTTGAGATTTTCTCGTCCATCAGACTTTCCATGAAGGTGGCCAAGTCCTTGCACCGCTTGGAAACTTGCTGCTTCGCCGTTTCCGACGGCCGAGTCACCGGCTGAAAATTTCGATTAGCAAAAATAGTTGTACAAAATTTTTGAAAATTCGTACCTGATTCAGCATAAACAAAATCTCTTCTTGTGTGATTTTGCTTTCTTTGACGATTTCCTCCAGTAAAAGAGGCACTTCGTTATCATTTGGCATTTGGAAAACGTCCGGGTTTGGTGGACCCTTTAAAATTATAAAAATAATTAAACTTCCAAATTTTTATATCAAATCTGCTAACCTGCAAAACTCTATGCTGACCAATGACAAACTCAAGCTTTCTAGACCACGGATTGATGAAGCTCGACCACTCAGTCTTTAATAAAACGTATCCGCCGTTTTGGGTCCGGAATCGGTACGGCCGACTTTCGTAGCAATTCTGCTGCTCTTTCATGACTGCAAATTTTAAATTTAAATTCCATATAGAAAAATGTATTCTTGATTATTTTGTGAAAACAATAGAACGTTTAAAAATTCATTCAAACGTTCCACCAGAAATAAAGTAGCTGTAAAACGCAGATTTTTAAATTTTGAGAGACCTGAATGTGTTTTTTTGAATAAATTTTGACAAGCCAATCGCAGTTAAAAATCCCAGCCGACCAGCATTTTAAATCTTTTATGAATTTTGTTTTTGGCTAGAGTTCCATACTCGTCATGTAGACTTCTTTCAAATAGTACATGTCTTCTGGGTGGAAGAAGTCGAAGACGGACACGCCGATCATGTCTTGGGGCAGGTAGCCAAAATGTGGCACCGCCTCCTTGTCCACGTGGATCAGCTCGCCGGTGGCCGAGTGGCGCATCAGAAACTTGGGTGAGATGCGAGGCTCATCAGGAGCTGATTAATTAAAAAAAAATTAAATTTGGATAATTATAAGACAATTAGAATTTTAAATTTGGTAAATACCAAGTTATAATTAAATATATAAAAAAGAAATAAAAATTAATAATTAAATTTCAACAACAACTCACTTTTGTAGACGGATTGGACAGGCACGGCTGTGATGAGAAGAAAGGTGCCGAGCGGACGAGAGTTGTCCTTGTTGGCGCCCACATTCATGTTTTCAGGCGTGAGCTCTTTGAAGGACATACTTAACCTGAAAGGTCTGTAGGTGACCTTTTTCTCAGTCACGCTGTAGCCACTGGTCTTGAGGCCCCTGTACTGTCGGAGACTGCAGAAGAACGAATTCTTGTTCAAATTTCCTCCTAAATTAAAAATAAATTTATTTATTAAAAATCAGAAACAAGAAAAAAACTTGTGTAAAACCTCCGATTTGAGGGGCAGCAACTCCCGAAGTAATGTGGCTGGCGAAGGAGATTCTGTCCTTTGGATGAACGAAGTCGATGAAACTCCTACCCAGCCACATGTCCTTCGGAAAACCAAGAACCTCAGTCAGACTGGATGTTGTGTACATGACCACTCCGTCGTGCATTGACACCACAGTGCAAAATTCACCCTGGAAATTGTTAAAAAAAAAATTAAATTATTTGTTAAAAATGATTATTTTACTAGATCAAAAGTTTAAACTGGAGGAGGATATTGTGAAAAATCAATTCTGTGCTTATCTTTCTTTAAAAGTTACAAAATGTAATCTTTTTTACTCAAGGATCACTTCAAATTCGCTTTCCACAATGATTTATGATATTTTACTAACCTCATTCTGAGTGTACTGCTCTTCCTGCAGGCAGTGCAAAATCTGCTCCTCTTTTTCCCTCACTACTGGAGTTTTTATAGAGCCTTTGACTTGATTTTCGCACTCTTCCGGAATAACTAGAACATTTATCAAAAAAACACACAAATATATCAGTTTTGGTTTTTTAATTTTTGACTTGTTGCGAGAGAATAAATGAATTGAATGGTCATTTTTATAGCAATTTTAATTATTTTTTATGGTATATTCAAATTAAAAATATCGATGAGGGTTTTTTCACCTCCAGGCTGCTCTTTGTTTTTCTTCTTTTTGTTGTTGAGCGACTTCGAAAGAGCAGCCGCAGCCATTTCCATCGACTTCTTCTCCAGAGTTCCAGTGGTCACTGTAGGTTGTCCACCGGAACTTGTTTGCGTACCTGATTTGAATTGATGTGGTGATTTTAAAATTTGCAACACAATAACTGATTTTTTTTTAATTATAATAACAATAATCTTACCAATTAAACTATCGCCGCAAGAGCTGTTGCAGTTTCCGGCTGAACCGGAGCTGCTGTTTTCGGCATTAGGGCTGTTGCCGTTGTTTCCATTTAGGAACTCGGATTTCAGCAGTTTCTTTTTCTTCTCTTTCCGCTTGGTAGCTTGTTGTGGCTGCGTAAACGGCTGCTCATTGCTTTTGAAATAAGTTAAATTGCAAATTATTTCAAATGCAATCATCAAAAAATATTTGAATAAAGTCAAATAATTAATCGATTTCTATAAATTGAAAGCAAAATTTCTGCGTATTAAAATCTTTGAATATTATTTTACAAAATATTTATGCAAAGATTTTAAAAAAGTTCAAATTGTTCGCAAAAATTAGATTATTCTAGAAATCAAATTTAGGTAAAATACGCCTATCATATTTGATTAGATAGAAAAATAAAATTCAATTTATTAAAAATGCTACTTAATTGTAAAATTTAAAATTAATTGATAATTTTTATGGTCATCAAAGCATCAGAAACGATCGGTCTTTATATATTTATAATATTTTGACTAATTTAATCAAGTTTATTTTTGCATGCAGGGTGTGTTCTAATTTTGCTTTTTCGATCTAAATCGACAAGAAGACCGTCGATGCGTTGGGAACAAAAGGTTGGATGAAATTTAATGGCGGACAGAAAGCACGGGGCTTGGTCGTGGATGCACGTGCTTGTAACACGTGTTTTGCCTTACATACGAGACTGACAAGCAAGCGCGGTTTAGAAAAATGGCACGAGTTTGATATCAGTGAATTTCCTCATTTTTCATACCCCGGAGAAAACGGAAAGTTGAGGGTCAATATCCATTGCCAATAACTAAAATAAACTTCCCTGAATATCAAACCGATGAAAGGAAATAATAATGACGCATTTTGTTACGCAATAATCTGTGATGAAACACGGATCGACAGAGCTAACCAAAATAACAAATTATTTTCGCCAATTGAAAAGATGACCCTGTACAAAATCTGGACACACATAATCGCTCCCCGTCACAACTCGCAACCAAAACATGCAAATTACGTTGCGCAACCCACTCAATTTATTTCCACCGAGCAAATTATTAATACAAATAAAAAACAGAGGTACTCACTTGCTGCCTGTTCTGGACGGGTGACCACAATAGCCACTGGAGCCGCTCGAGGTGCTGTGACGCGACTTGCTACTGCCGCTGCTATGAAAAAAAAAATATATAATTCATTATTATTCTGTTACAACATAATCTTTTGTTCATATTTGCTAATTCCACCTCATTATTTTATTAAATTGACAAAGGAATATTTTTGTAATCCCTTTTTTTCAGCAGTTTGAGAAATAATTTTCGGACGGTGTCATTTGAATTTGAAAGTCCGTGGAGAAGGTAATCAGCATATTTTTTTATGAATCAACGGATGCTCTCGTTCATCCCTCATTGATAAAAATCTCCCGTTTTTAACGAGACATGAATTTTAAAACCAATTGGCGGCTACAAAATTAATTCAAGCTCTAAAAACTGCACACATTTAAATTAGAAATTTGATTTGATTTACATTTCACCAAGCAAATCGGATTGAATTTAAAAGCTGAATTTTTTAATGTCTAATCAGTATAATAAAAACTCCGCTTAATTTTGTATGTGCGCCAACCGACTCTTATATAATAATATTCATTTTCACCAATCACATCAAACATAAATAAAGACAACTTTCAATTATAGTTTCAAATGAAAGAAGAGAATTGCATAGCTGTTCTAGCTATTTATAGAATTTTGTAACTTACCTTCTTTGTGATCTGCTGTTGCAACTGTTCGAGTAAGCTGAATCGGAAACTTTTGTTTTCTCGTCGTTTTCCTCCATTGTGCCTGTAACAGTTCCATTACAGGGTTAAACAGGTAACAACAGAGGGTAAATGCTATTTTTAAATTTGCTGTAGGTCAGAATTTGAATAAAAAATCATTTTTATAAATAAACTTTTTTCCTCCATTCTAATTATTAGAGTATTTTTTTTATCATTATTTATATTTTGTATCCAAATCAAGGTAGATCTTTGTGATTCTAAATTAAGATGGTATTTTCGGATGACTAACAAGGTGACGTCAGAAATTTGAGGATTATATTAAGATAATTGGACCGAATCCGTTCCAAAGAATGCAAGAGACTAATAATTTTAAAAGTCTTTGATTAACGAAAAACTTTCTTAAAACATGCTGTTTTTAAAAAAAAGATTCACCTGTTAAGAACCGATCTTCTATAAATGGAGCAAAAACCTATTTTGTACTGTATTTTATGCAATCGCGCAAGTCATCATTGATCTGTGAGCTATATTTAGACGATTATACATATTACTTAAGCTGTTATGAGATTGAAGGTGGATACAGTCGTTTTAAAAATAAGTTTATCCAAATGAGGGTTATGTTTTTCAATTTTTTTATTTACCCGTATTTACCGATAATGAAAAATTGCTCATTATGGAAATAATCTTTATAGCTGATAGAAAAACGACTTTGAACGCATTAAAGAGTTTTGACCTTTCAAAGGTCAGAATCCCAAGCTAAACCAGTGCTAAATTTTGAATTAAAATTTTAAATATTACCAAACTGTATTGTGAAGGGAGTGGAGTAAATTATGTGTTTTTTCTAGTCAAGTTATTGAGGTAGGCAACCCGCAGGTCATCTGCGTCAATAAGTTGCATAACCTGAATTTTTTGCAAGCTAAAAATTTTATCTTTTGGTCTCTAGTTTTTATTCTTAAATATTTATAAATGTGGTCAGGAATTCTGCCCCGTTTAAAAGAAGTGGTTTATGTGTATAAAGCTAAAATAATCATAAATAAATCTAATTACAGCGAGCAAATCGACTGTTTTTGTTATTGAACGGGATGGTTGTCATATGTGGGCTGAACAATAGAACGAATTAGTTGACCAAGCCACACTGAATAACTGAAATAAACAGTTGCAGGTGTATTTTCACAATGAAACTGCACGTGGCAAGTACACAAATCAATTAAATTGCACAAATGTAATTTTAGTACACATTAGTTTAGAAATAGGGTCGCGAAATTCTAATTTTCATTGATAAATGAAGGGATGAATCACGTTTAATTCATTTTGAATCGAGAACCACTAATTTTAAGATGGAATATCCAAAATAGAAAAATGCAAAATAAATTTTAAATATTCCACTTTTTAATTAAAATGCAAGCTAGTTGTTACCATCAGAAAAACAAAAAATATAAAGCAAAGGAACAAAAAAATTAGCAAAATAATTATTGAAATCATAGTGTGTACATTAATTTTCATCTAATTTATTAGGTCAAAAGGTTAAACAAAGTTATAATATATAAGATTAATATTATATCATTTATTTATTAAAAACATCATCTTTCTTTAGGCATTTTTTTTTATCAGTTACGGCGCGCGGTTTGTACTTTGATAAGATGAATATTTTAATATTCTACGACGCAGTAAACGAAATATTGGCCGACGGTCTGGGGGGCGAACCTTGCTCTCCCACTCGCTCAATTTGCACGTTCGTTTCGTCACACCAAAACAACACACACCGCTATGTTTTCAATTGGGTCTCTCCCTACTTTTTTATTGTAGCAAAATAAAATAAAATGAGCGGATCTGATTTAAAATGAGGGGTGACTGCTGGTCGATTTATAATCGAAGAAATAATTCGATTTTAATTTATAGAAACTTGCAATTTTCAGCTCAAAAATATGGACAGAAATAAAATTCTAAAATTACTTTGGAACGGAGAAAGTAATTTTGACGTTCAAAACTGTTTTAACTGTTTCTGGCGTAACTTTTTATTTTATGAATAACTTTGCTGTTGACTTACAAAAGTCTCAGGTCAAGGTCACTTTCAGATGACCCCTGACCAAAATGTCAAATATTGACAGCTGGTTTTGTTTTCTATTTGCATTAAGGGAAAATATGGTCCATGAAATTTTCCATCTTGCGGGACGATGTAATTTTTTCTTTCTCTTATTGGAGTTATGAATCTGTAGGTAGGAATAAATAAGAATAAAACGCGCCCGACGAGGGTAAAATTTTATGCTGTTACATGAAAAAAATGTAGCAAAATAACAAAATCCTTTATAAATCTTGCAGTATTTTAATAGGATAAAAATTAATTAAATTACACCAGGAAATAAAAAAGAAATTGTTGCAAACTCACCTTGATTGCAGTGTTGGGTGCGGACTTTTTGATAGCTGCGGAAAATTGAATTCACACGTTTGTCTTTGCAACTCGACCGTCCGTTCGGATCCACGAGAGTACGAATGCCGACTGGTGCCTCTGGTGCGCTCGTTCACTGGTCTTAAGTCACGTAGCGCGACACGTGAGGCGGCCGCGGCGCAGCAGCCTAGCCCGCAGGCGGCGTCCGCGAGTTACGAGGGGCTCGTCGCGGCGCGTGCGCTTTTTTCGCCAAACATTTCAGCACGAGGCCGGAAAAGTAAAAATATGCCTTCCTCAGAGAACATAATTTAAATTGACTTTCATTTCACTTAACTTTAAAAGAAATTCTTTTTCAACTGCTAAAAATTCATTAACTAGAGTAGGCTAATTTAGGCATCAAAAGTAAAGCGAATTTGGTTTTTATTTCAAAAGCTTTCCTTAATAAAAATTGTGGTCTCTTACTTTACATTGTGCGCTTTCTAAAAGTGTTTAGAAAGTTTTGCGAATTTGAAAATCCCAATCATATCGCTACTTTTAAATTTTGCTTCTTATATAAAACAAATTTTCTTTCATTTTATTGACTTTATCTAATGTTTTGATAAAGCAGCTAATATACTTTCAAATAAAAAAACAGCAGAAAATTGTATTTAATTACCTCTCATGTTTTTATTGACTACAAATGATTCAAATATTTACAACATGGACTTCTCATATCTATTGTTCCTTTCCTCGATGACAATAATATTGTAATATTTATATTATATATATTACTCCCTAGCTATTTAAAGAAAAAAGAAGGCTCCACTCTTCAAAAATAGCATTTTAATTCATTCATTCAATTCTCGCCGATTTTGTAACATTTTTCGTACATAATTATTTTTGCGGTCCGAAAAAAATGCATTTGAGAAAAACCTCTTTTTGCTCGCAAGTATAGCCGATCAGTTTGGGCCCCTCGATAGACCATATTACTTCCTTAAAAGTGAATATGAGCTAGCTATAGTTAATGATACAGCAGTTCACAGCCTGAGCCAGTCCACTGAGGAGCCTTTTGTTTGCAGATAAACATTATTTTAACCGTTTTTTTTTCTCTCCGAGCACAACCGGAGGATTTTATTTTGTAAACATATATTATTTACTCTCCTAACTATTTTGTAACAACGCTTGCCCACAAACTGACCAATTTAATTATTTAAAAATTATCAACATAAAAAAAACATTTAAGGCAGAAAACTATAAACTAGTTCTTTTTTGAAAATGACCAGTTTGCGGCAAATTTCGATTAACCACTATTCAACAGCTACAAAAGTTTTGTTGTTGTTTGAAGGTGAGAAAACAATAGTGTCGTGATGGGGTACGAGTTCAGATGGCATGTTTTTTTCCCACAAAGGGAGGAGCAAGCGGGTCAAAGTGTTTAAAAGTGAGAGCTTCTGAATGATCAAAATTGACTTTGATGCACTCTCGAGTGAAAATGTATGAGTCAGGTGCAATCAACGTGCTCCTGGATAACAATAATTATTTGAGTTTGAAAACTTGTGAGTTCAAGTGCCACACTTCTTGTCGTAGATGAATGACATTATTCTGTAGTTTGACTACGACAACAATTCATTCAGGATCTAAAAAAGCATAATTGTTATTTATTTGATTTCTTCTTTTTCTTAATAAACTACCAGGTACCAATTTAATGTGAAATCCTCCCACGTGGCACCTAAAGGGAAAAAATAGAGTAAATTTTGCGGGCGAAAATTTAGACAGCTCTCATCGTAGAAGATTAAAATAGAACTTTCAATGAAATGGCACTAATAAATTGTTGAATGATTTCTAATTTCGATTTTCCAGCCGTTATAAAATTAGAATTCAAATCCTCCACAATTTAAATGAATTGAATTTAAATTTCCTGAATGCTTTTTGCAATCCTCTGCCAGTGCGTCTCTTACGAAAGTAAATATAATAATCGTGTTTCTCTTATTCAAAGCAGGCACTATTCCATTATGCAGGAGTGACGTTGGAATACTCGATTTGTCAGGTGGACCGACTGGACCGAGTCATCGGGCAGGTGTCAAATCCGTCGGGAAACGTGATTTTCTGTTTAAAAACGGGGCATGCCAATTGCAATGGGTTTTCTTTAATAATTTTCCGGAGAGCCAAGTGGGTGGAGAGAAATGAGCTTCTGCACCACCAAGCACCCTTGCCCGCTCAGTGGTTTGCTGAAAAACGGCTGCTGCAACTTTCCACACATTCTGAAACACGGAAAGGAATTTATTAGGCATTTTGCATTAAAATATACCAAAGTCATGTTTTATAAGCAGAGAAACTGATAAAGACATGGATAACTTTCTTCCTGAATGTCTTATATTGATCAAGTGAAATTAAAAAATTGTGCTTTTTATAAGAATTTTCTTAGGAAAAAATTTATTAAAAATAAAGAATTACATTTTAAATTTATAACAAATCAAACAATGACCAGGAATTTAACTTTAAATCTAAAATTTGATTGACTGAATTTTCCCCAAGCTTTGCTGATTAGCTTTGTTTAATACTTTTGCATCAATAATTCAATTTCCTATTAGTTTTTTCCATGAGCAGAAATTCCTTTGATTTAAGTTTGAAATTATTTCTTACCATGAAACTACGTGGCAATCGAACAGGGCAGCTACGAGCGCGGCATCTTGGTGGTCATGCCCTCAAGCAGGGCCGTGTTGTGCATGTCCCGGTGCGAGGAATGGTGGACAGCGTTGAACGCAAGCGCCGGCAGCGACGAGAGCGGCGCCACTGGCTGTGCTGCAGGGTGCGTCGGGATGATTCTCGGAGGCAAATCTCGCACCAGAGGAGGTGTTGGGGCCGCACCGTCCTCCTTGGTCGGACTGGTGGTGCTGACGACGTCTATGGACGGCAGCAGCGCCGTCGCCTCAACCCGCATGTTGCTGTTCATGCAGTACTTGAAGAATTCGTAGGTCGACCAACAGATCGCTGTCGACGGCATCTGGTACAACACACGCGCACGCAGACCCTTGAAGAATCCTCCAAGGCCGTTCAGTCGGTATATCTGCAAAAATATTTTTTTTTTAGCACAGTTGAAGTTAAAATTGAAATAAACATCCTAATCAGAAACTAAAGCTATTTAAATCTTATTAAAATCATTAAAATATTTGTAATTTTTTTTATTTAGTTTGCTCACTAATTAGTTTTTTAAAATGTAATGCCAGTATAAGAATTGCAAACTCACTAAAAAGCAAGCAAAATTATTTAAGTTAAATTAAAATATTTCTGCATGAATTCATATTGATTTCTTCGATTACTATTATTTCATTGCTTATTCCTCTTTGAAATGGTACCAGGGCTAATCTCTAATCTGTTTTTAGGTAGGAAAGTAATTGACTAAGAAGACAATTGTGCTTGTGTTTATTTGCCAAACTGCTGTTTAAACAAAGTAAACAAAAATCAACACTGGAGAAGACATAATAAATAATAATGACAATTGACAAATGACCTAATTTGATATGAATCGAGTCATCAAATAAAAAAGAAATTGAAAAACTGATAATAAGAGAAATCACAAATTAAAATTTGATAATTATTTGTGAATTTTGTTCTGTTTGCTTTATAAATTAATAAACAAATTAAAAAAAAAAGGAAATTTGAATTAATTTTTTAAAAATAATAAAGAGAAAAGGCAAAAATGGAAAACAACTAAAAAGGAAACGCTTTCATTAAAATTATAATTTTACCGTTCTGGCAGCAGCAACCAGGCCAGTGACGGCTGATTCCTGTGTGTTGAGCAGCGTCTTGCAGACGTCGAGGGGCGTGGTGGCTGCGGCGGCAATGGCGCCTGCCATGGCGCCGCTGACCATGTGAGCCTTTGGGTTGTAGTTGCCAGTCTTGTTGGTGTATTTCTGCATCAGCTCGTAGGTCATGAAGTGGATGCTCTGGAAGGGAACGTTCATCGTCAGCTGGGTCGTGTACGAACGGTAGAAAGCGCCCATGCCCTCTGCACGGTACACCCGCCGCACGCACTCCAAGGACGTCTTGTACGGACTACCGTACATCTGAAGCCGCTGCTTCACCACTGCAAACATTCATCAAGACATTTGTATAAATTTAAATTTCAAATTTATATAAGCAATTCTTTGCTTCTTATGAACTTTTTAACATTTTCAACAGTAAATTTTTTTAATTATTAGATAAAATAATTATAATTTAATTAAAATCTCATACAAAAAAATTCATAAAAATAAATTATTATTTAATTACTAATAATTAGAGTAATAAATTTAAATTTAGCATAAGAATCCAAGTTACTTTTGCAACGCTTCCAATTAAGTTGAAAATTATTTTCCCGTTGCTAGTCACTTTCTTTGTTTCTTTCTCTATGGCAATGATAGCTCATTGTGCGCCCTTCGCTTTGATAGATCTTGACATCACGTGCTTAGCACCCAATTGCCAGAGCATTTCAAATGGGCATTATTTATGAGTGAATCTAATTGGCATCAAATTTTCTCAGCTTTCTGACCGACGGAGAGACAGATCATGACAGAAGATATTGATTTCTGAAGTGACGTGCTTGTTTTCCACACACTGTACGTGAATAAGATTAATGCAAGTGAGATAAATAGCGCGTCATTTCGCGTGTGTGTGGGGGACCTTCCGAGATCGCCTTGAATCGACATTCAGCGAAATTCCTCTGACGAAGCCACTTCGTAACTTCTATTATTCCCAATAAGATACAGAATCAACAGTGACCTACTAATTAATACTTCAGCTTTATCAACTAATAATAAACTTTGTGAAATAATTATTAATTAAGTGAAATAATTAATTCAAATTATGTTAAAGATAAATAATAATAGAAAATTTAAATATGTAAACTAAAAAACTAAATTTTAATAGATTCTTTACAAATTATGCAAAAAAATCACCTAATTTAGCAAAAAAAAAATTTAAAAAATATAAATGATAAATTTAAATAATTTAAATTAATTAAGTATATCTTTTGGCAATCTAGTGTCATTCTCAAGAGGGGGAAATAATAATTAAAAATTAATTCAGAATTTTAAGGAGATATTCATGGAGAAATTTAAGTTAATTTCTTTAAAAATTTACAAATAAGTGGTAAATGACAAATATAATTGCTCATTTCATTGATTCAAATTATCTTTCATTTTTTAAGATAAGAAATCGTTCGTACCTTCCGCTGGATTCATGACGCCATCGTGCAAAAGAGCCGCTAAAGCACCAGCAACGCCTGCAAATGTCGTAATTGATTGTTATTATTAATGATCACATTTTTAGCCTGCAATTCTTATCTCACCTGGGGCAAAGTCGGACGCGCTAGGAACTAACCGGCACAGTTTGTCTTTTGAGTATTCATAGCACGAGAAATAGAGTGCGTGTGCGGGGCCAGCCCCGACAACGAGCGCGCTCATCCCTCTGCATGGCCTCAAGATGCCCTCCTGGCGCACCATTTGCGACAAAGTGTCGTAGATGCCTCGATTCGCGGGACTTCCAAAATTGTTTAAACTCTGCATCCTCGTCTGCAAAATAAAAATTTTATTTATTTTTTTAAATAAAACCAAATAGAAAAATAGATCAAATACGGGAAGTTCTAAAATTTCAGAAAAAAAAATTGAAACAGAATCATATTCTAATAATTTTTCTTAAAAAAATGCCTATTTCTTGAAAAAGAGTTGATTTTACGATTTTTTTTTTTTAACATTTGCAACAAAATTTTCAATTAAAAAATCCCTAGATCATTCTAATTGCGTTCTTATCAGGTTAGATTACGCTAGTCAAAGTAAACGTCCTTACTTTGCAACAACATTGTAACCCGGTACACGCACTTGTTTATCAACTCCGTGATGATAAAATGAAAAAGAGACGAAAGTTCTCTGATAACAAATACAGCTTCGAGAGCAGAAATTTTTACCGAGTCATGACGAACTTGCTGAAATTAATCTTGCGAGATGTGTCAAAATCTGCTACATGCAAAAATAATCATTTCTCAAGAGATTTGAACATAACTAATATTTTATCACGTAAAATAAATTAAAAAAATTATTTTTGAGGTCGTTGTATAAAATTAGAGAACTTTGGAAAAATTAAAAAAAAAAAAATAATAATTGAGTATTAACAAAGATATTAAATTTCAATGTTGTTTTACCTATAAAATGTATAATAATTATAGAATAACAAGCATTTAACTCGCTGAAGGTTATATAATAGGGTTAATCGATTAAAAACTGAGAGAAAACAGGCAAATAATAAATAACAATAAAATTCCAAAGATTTTGGCACAAAATATTTTGAAACTTCTACTTGACTGCCGCATGTTTACGGGTCTTCAACTTTAAAACCGCCCATTTGTGCCCTTGAAACCTGGTCCGGTTTTCCAGAAAATTACCCTCGACAGCTGTCTGAAAGTGACCGGAAGTAAAATTCCTTTTGCCTGCTTCGGCAAAGGGTAGAATGTCCGAAGACACGCACCTTGACCGAGTCGAGAGGGTACATGACGCAGTGCTCCATGATTCCAGCGATCGCTCCTGCACTCATGTTGGACACCACATTGTTCGTTGGCAGTTTTTCATAATCGTCGGGATTCATGTCGACGTCGGCCCGTCGGCCAGCGACAACTGCACCCTCGGACCGTGCGCTTGCGGCGGCAATTTTTGACGCCGATTTGGCGGCCGAAGGCGGCTCCTGTGTCTGCAAATTAACTAGGACAAGAGAGCAAGTGAAACTCCTGTCCCTCTGATCACCATGGCCGAGAGTTAAGGGGGCGTGGTGCGTTTCGCGAGACCTTCCGATCGTCAATTGTTTTTGCACTCGGCGGACGCAAAAGGACGCAGGGCGCCAAACAGATTTTAATGTCAATAATATTTCCGCGTCTAGTCTCCCACCTGCAAAATTAAAAATTAAAGCACTTAGAATTCATCCAGCTAAACTCGCAACTAACATAAACGATTTCAAATCGCTGCAAACCTTTACTTGATCGGAAAGAAGTCGAGTGCGGCTGCGGCGATCGATGTTAAATAAGGGGGCGTGGCCATAGGGGGCGCGGCAAAGTGGGCTCAACAAAAAATTATTTTGAATTTTTTAATTCTTAATAAATTGTTTATGTCTCGTGACTTTTGTGGTCTGAAAAGCTGTATTTGAATTCCGGAAATATTGAGCTTTGATTTTCCCTCTTTTTGTGATCATCATGGTGTCTGGTGAACGCTGTGGCTATAATATTATTGGTTTGTACTTACATAACATAAAATTGAGAATTTTTACTATTATGCAAATTATTCCATGCAAATCATTGAACTAATTTTTTCTTTTCCACAGAGAAGGACTGCAACGGGGACGTTTTATGTACATGGACGTACCCTTCCTCCACAAATCAGCAGCGTGAACTGGCCTTGAGGAAATGCAGATTTGAAGGACCGGACACAATATTTTTGTATGGACGATGTGGAACTTTGTGGTACTACATTTTCACAAACGAATCACCAGACATAGCCAAACTACCCAAAGTAAAATATAATAAATACCAAGCAATTTACATTTTAAAATCAAAATTTATAAATGACCAAGGTTCGGCAATTTGCGATTTGCGTATGGTCTTCTGAATTCAATCCAGAAATGTATGAAGCACTTTCAAAAGTTATGGCTAATAAATACAACAGAACTGGTATGTAATTATATGAATATATTTGCATACATCAAAATTAACATTTGTATACATTTTTAGGCAATAATGTTCTTGTTCTGGAGCTTTATCTTGCCGCCACAACCATCGGAGAAATACAAGACTCTGATTTTTCATTCTCAAGCAAAGATTTCCCTCAGTCCATGATAAGTCAGGGGTCTACAAACATTAAAGGTTTAATTAGAAAAACATTTTTTTTTATTTTGATAATTATTTTGAAAACATCATTATTTCTATTTTAGAAATAATCTCAAATTTTGGCCTCGAGACGATTTTAATCTACACAGCCGTTCTGCTGAAGAAAAGAATTATTGTCTATCATCATGACATGGCCACACTTCTCAAAGTGAGTTTTCTTATTGAATGGAGTTTTTGATTAATTTTGCTTTAATTTTAGACTGTCAGATCACTGCCAGCTTTAGTGAGCCATCGCGGTCTCTATAGCAACATTTTTCCTTGCGTTGATCTTCAGAAAGATGAAATTTTCAGTCTGAAGGTAATTTGTTCCTTAATATGTGTGTTCATAAATTAAAATTTAATTTGTTTTGATTTGTTTTTTATTATAGAGCTGTGCTAATTTTGTAGCCGGATGCAGAGATGCCAACGTTGCTTCGTCTGATTTATTTGATGTTTTCGTTCATCTTCCAGCAACAGAAATTTCAATCGCTCCCAGTGCTCGGGGTGTGAATTTTTTTTAATTTCTATTACTTTGGATATTAATGAAAATCTTATTTCAGAGAGTATGTCCATGACCAGGGCCCACAAAGAAATTGCCTTTTACCTCGTCCAGCTTTCTCAAAATGAAAATTTGAGCGAGCGCCAAGTTGTGACTGCAATTTCCACCAAAACCAATGATCTTCTTGAGCAACTGAGGTTTTTAAGAAATTTTAAAATCTTAAATAGATCTTTCACTCACTTAATTTTTCTAGAACACTCGCAACAACTAAAACATCTGACGGAAAGTCCATGGTTACACTAGATTCTTTAAGAGCAAAGAATTTGCCTCACGGGATGGAAAACTTCTTGTTCAACTTGGCCATTGCTGAGGACATTATGATGGTTTAAATTTCAAACAAATTTGTTTAATCTCATACTTTCAATTTTAAATATTTGTGATTCTTATAAGTAGTTAAGTTTCAATTTATTTTTTTAAATTATATAGATTTGTTAATAATGATCCGTCGGCTATTATAGATGTATTATTTTCCTAGGAAAGTAATTTACGTAAATGACTTAATGTTGTAATGTGCATTCCATTCCATTCAACTTAAATTTTCTTATAAATTTTTATCGCAGTTTTGATAATTAAAGGAACCAAAGTATAGAAAATTTTGGTAAATAAGTCAAAACTTATGTAAATATTACATAATTTAATGTATTCAATTTATTATAAACTTGTTGGTATTTCTGCCCATTAAAATTGCCAAAGTCATATATTTATTTTATGAGCAAATCTTTTCAGGATCACATAGGTCCCCCAAAGTTAAAGGTAACGATCTGAAAATTTCGCAGGTTATTCAGCACGGTTTGAAAGGAAGCTCATTAAAAATTTACCTAAAAATTTTGAAAATTGCGGGTTTTACGGGGCATTTTGAAAAATCCAAAAAACGTAAATATCTCGGCTTCCTGTGGTCCCACAGCAAAATTCTGGATATATTTAAAATTGTTTCGTAGACCTCTACAGCTTTGCTTTTGCTTTCAAATTTTTAGGTCAAAGTTCAAGGTCACTAATTTTGAATCAAAATTTTCAAACTCAAATTTGAAACCCGGCCACACGTCAAAATAAAATTTCAAGATAGCCAATCGATTCCCCGTTAAATTTTACGTAATATATGTAAAAATTGCGATGTGGGTATTTTTCGTTAAATTTAAAATTAGATAACACTATTAAAAAACGTTGTTTTTTGCTCCTCGGGATGAAGGGCCATCACCAAAAACGTAATTTCTTCGATTTGCATTGGTTTTAGACAATATTTGATAATGACAAAAAATGTTCCCTGTAGTATGGCAATTCGGAAAACGTGCATAATGATGACCTTTGGTGACCTTGGGTCAAAGGTCACCGTGACCTTTGACCTAGGGTAACCTGACTATAATGTGTGACACGTAATTAGAAAGGTCTTGTCAAGAGAAATATTTTGGACACCAAGTTTTTCTTTCTAGCGTACTTAGAAATAAATAAAATTTGATTTATAATTAAATAATGCTCGATTTCCTTGGATATCTGCTGGAAAATGAAGGTTTTCTCTTTTTAATCAACTTCCTGTAAAGCTAGAAACAAAAACCTGGTGTCCAAAATATTGCTCTTGACAAGACCTTTCTAATTACGTGTCACACATTATAGTCAGGTTACCCTAGGTCAAAGGTCACGGTGACCTTTGACCCAAGGTCACCAAAGGTCATCATTATGCACGTTTTCCGAATTGCCATACTACAGGGAACATTTTTTGTCATTATCAAATATTGTCTAAAACCAATGCAAATCGAAGAAATTACGTTTTTGGTGATGGCCCTTCATCCCGAGGAGCAAAAAACAACGTTTTTTAATAGTGTTATCTAATTTTAAATTTAACGAAAAATACCCACATCGCAATTTTTACATATATTACGTAAAATTTAACGGGGAATCGATTGGCTATCTTGAAATTTTATTTTGACGTGTGGCCGGGTTTCAAATTTGAGTTTGAAAATTTTGATTCAAAATTAGTGACCTTGAACTTTGACCTAAAAATTTGAAAGCAAAAGCAAAGCTGTAGAGGTCTACGAAACAATTTTAAATATATCCAGAATTTTGCTGTGGGACCACAGGAAGCCGAGATATTTACGTTTTTTGGATTTTTCAAAATGCCCCGTAAAACCCGCAATTTTCAAAATTTTTAGGTAAATTTTTAATGAGCTTCCTTTCAAACCGTGCTGAATAACCTGCGAAAATTTCAGATCGTTACCTTTAACTTTGGGGGACCTATGTGATCCTGAAAAGATTTGCTCTTATTATTTTTTTTTACAATGGTTTGTTCCACGGAAGGTGGCGAATGAGCACAAAACCGGCCTTTTCCTCATTACCGCCAGATGGCAGCTCAGTACGGTTGGCAGTTGTGATCTTTTTCCAGCCGCCGCCATTTTTGCCCGTAGTGTTTTCCCATCCCGACTTTTTCCGTTTTCCACATGCTGTAGTCTTCCCACCCGTCCGAAAGTGTCCCATCATCATCAATTCGAACGTTTCAAACCTCTAGGAGCATTGCCACTCCCCTGCGTCTCTCCGTTGTGCAGAGGCGTCGTTTTGATTTGAGGGGTGCGGCGGGTTGCTTCGGCGTGGCTCGAGATCAACAAGTAGCCGACGGACAAATTAACTCTAAAGACACTCTCAGAGGTGTCCCGATTTGCTGAGAAAGTGGACCAGCACCGCGCATCTTAAGAATGGGGTGCGCCGTGAGCTCCGAGGGTGACAAAGCGGCCGTCGAGAGGTCGCGGAAAATCGACAAAGATCTCCGAGCGGATGGCGAGAGGGCCGCTAGGGAGGTCAAACTTCTGCTTCTTGGTAAACAAAAATTTTAAAACTCTTTTGACTCTGCATGAGTCACAACAATATTATCAAATAGATTATTAATTCTCAAGTTTCCTTCTTACTTTATTGATTATTTTGAGCAATGTACATAAATTCGGATCCACAGGTGCCGGAGAGTCTGGCAAGAGTACAATTGTCAAACAGATGAAAATTATACACGAGACCGGCTATTCAAAAGACGAATGCGAGCAGTACAGGCCTGTCGTCTACAGCAACACAATCCAGAGCTTAATGGCCATCATCAGAGCTATGGGTCAACTGAGAATTGAATTCGCTGACCCCAGCAGAACGGTTCGTTTACTTGAAATATAACAATCTTGACTTAATTTAAATTATTTCAAACAATTACAAATTATCCATTTCTTGATACAAGTTTTTATTAAGTTTTTTGCAAACAGGACAGTGCTCGGCAATTCTTCACCCTGGCCAGTGCAGCAGAAGAGGGAGAGTTGACGCCCGAGTTGGCAATGCTCATGAAACGGCTCTGGCAGGACGAAGGGCTGCAAGTGTGCTTTGCCAGGTCACGTGAATATCAGCTCAACGACTCAGCTGCGTACTACCTGAACGCCTTGGACAGAATCTCGCAACCTTCGTACATTCCCACGCAGCAGGACGTTCTCAGGACCAGAGTTAAAACCACTGGCATTGTTGAAACTCACTTTAGTTTCAAGGGATTAAACTTTAAGTGAGATTAGACTTCTAGATTTTCTGAACAGCATAATTAACAAAATTTTTGCAGAATGTTTGACGTTGGTGGTCAAAGATCTGAGCGGAAAAAGTGGATCCATTGCTTTGAAGGAGTGACGGCTATCATTTTCTGTGTGGCATTGTCAGGTAAATTAATCCACCCTCTTGAAGTTGATTGATTCTAATGCAGTTAAATTTTATAACAAATTATAAAACTTTAATTATATTTTCAGGGTATGATCTGGTCTTGGCTGAGGACGAGGAGATGAACAGAATGATTGAGTCTATGAAGCTATTTGACTCAATTTGTAATAGCAAGTGGTTCGTCGAAACCTCGATCATCCTTTTCTTGAACAAAAAGGACTTGTTTGAAGATAAAATCACCAAGTCGCCTTTGACCATCTGCTTCCCCGAGTACACAGGTAAGAAAATGTCAGCCATTTTTTGAAGTTCAAATTATTTATGCAAAAATTTAGGATCAAACACCTTCGAGGAGGCGGCAGCCTACATTCAAATGAAATTCGAAAACCTTAACAAGAAGAAAGGTTTCAAGGAAATCTACACCCACTTCACCTGCGCCACAGACACAAACAACATCCAATTTGTTTTTGATGCAGTCACAGACGTGATCATCAAGAACAACCTCAAAGACTGTGGCCTCTTCTAACTCTAATATTGTGCCTTCGTGTATGCCAACAATTTTGTGCCCAAGCTGAGCACATTGCCTAGCCATGTGAAAGCCAATTCATTGCTCCCAAGCAGTATTTTTCTGGTATTCCCAGATTCAGATGCAATTTTCTATGTAAATATTTATATGTATGTCATGATGGATCTGCTTTTTCTAACTTGCTATAACAAAAAATGTGCAAATCGGGATGGGTATTTTTCCTGCCTCTATTCTCTAAATGAAATGAGATCTTCCTATTCCTAATTATGAAACAGTTCTCGCAAGAGGCGGAGCACAAATTTTCTTATCTTATTGTGAATCTCTTGAAGCATTCCTAAATTATGCATTTATTTCTATGATCTAGTTTATTAATTTTTCATTATATCACCAAGTGTGCCTTATTTAATTTAATTAAAATGGGCGAAATGTTTCACTTGATGTTTGCCAAAATCTTGCTGCAACGCGTAAATTAATGAAAGGGTGCCAATTTTTCTCTCTATTTACAATGAAAGTATTTCTCAGATCTATTTGTATATCTATCTGCCAATTTTAATATGGATTATTCAATGAAAAGTGTCAAATATTTTATAAGTGTGAATAAATTCTTGTTCAGTTTATTTGAATTGATCATTTACATTTTTCACCACCGTACATCAATATTTTTTGATACAGGACCTTTAATTGCAATTCTGACTAGGAAGCAAGAAAAATTATTTAGACAGGCAATTAAATTAAAACTAGAACAAACATCGTCTTGCTACTTGTTGAGAAAAATCTATTAATATGAAGTGCTTACCAGTCTGTTTTTGGATAATGTGAGATAGCAAATAGCTTAATTTAAATGCTTGGAAGCTTTAACTACTATTTGACCACTTGAAAATTTAATTCTAGAAATGCTTGCTGGGAATAGGTTTGCAAAATCATCAGTCTGTGTGGCATATTTAAAAAATTAATCAGCTCTCATGTCAAACCACCTCTCCCGCAAAACATTGACAAAGATCTTCTTGATCGAGTGCTTGAACTCCTCATACCAACGGACAGCACCCTTTCGCCGATTGATTTTCTCCTCCTTGCTCAAGAGAGTTTCACTCTCTAGAACTTCCTCCAGCTGACTCCAATCCTGCAAAAATTTTGAGTGAAAAATTATGATTTGGTTTCTGTGTTGCTTACTTTTAGGTAAAGCATCGGCGCATTCATTTTCTTGAGCAATCTCAGTGGCGAGGCTGCACTGGAGGCGTCACAGCCCCCTGGTGTCATGATATCCTCCACTACAGGAATACTGCCAAGTGACAGAGCCTCGTAAATTCGGTAGCACTCTGTATTGAAGCCAACAGGACTCAGGGTCAAGTCTGACTGGAGAAGAGTGTCCAGATACAACTGGCGGGACTGCTCGCTTTCAAGGGGTTGCCACCTTTATTGAATATGTTTAGTATTTTTTTTTCTTTTTATGTAATTAATATTTTTTACTTGTCTCGTCCTGACATAAAACATTCCTTTTGCAGTCTACTTGAGCTATTTATAATTTTGCTGAGGCGTTCTCTTGAAGAATTTGCATAAACTGTTCCCAGAAAGTTGCAAGTGAACTCTCTGGGGTACGTCAAATCCAAACTGGCCGGGTTGATATTTGGAAATCCTCGGTAGCTACAAAATAAATAATGTTATATTGTAAAAATTATCAATAGTTCAACTTAATAAAATATAATTGAATATAAGATTAGGTGCTTACACAGATACGCCAAGAGGCCATTGGTAAAAACTTTCACCGTCGACAAGAGGCGAGTCGTAAGTGACAAAAACAAAGTCGATTGATCCACCGTTCTTCTTCAAATAGGGCAGAATCCATTCGTTGTTGCATTTTTCGTCTCCAAGCAGAATCACGGCCAGAGTCCGCAAATCTTCGTAGGCTGGCATTGAGTCAAGCCAAACTCTAGCTTGCTCAATCTAGAGAATTTTATAATTTTATAATGCAATTCTAGAATTTTATTTGGAAAAAAAAAATACTTTGTCTTCAGATCTCCCATTGAGTATTATAACCAGATGTGTGACATTTTTAGGGGCGGACGCTGGAACCAAACCCGGACCAGATTTGAAGGAGAAATTTATGTCCTTGTAGGTGAGCTGGGCCGAGTTCATGAGAGGTCCATTCGGAGTAGGAGAGGGCCCATTTAGAATGTGGCCCCATAGGTAATCTCCTATTGAAGCTTTGCTCCAGATTTCGACTAGGAAAGGTCCGTTCCGACGACTCACTAAAATATTCAGAAAAATTTAAATGCATTCCAAAATTGTTTAATTACTGATCCTATTATACCATGGGCAACAATGTTGTTTGAGTTTGAAAGTCGGTAAAGTTTTTGAGTTGCAATAACGATGCACAGCAAGTAGAGAGCGGAGAGAACAATTACGAGCCGCCTGCACGTGCAAAGGGCCCTCATGATGACCTCAAAGGCCAGGCTTCCTCTTCAGGTCATCGGAATAACCTGCAATTCTGATCGCTGTTTTGTAAAAACAACGCGAGAAAATTGATAGAAGTGGGCGTAGCGTCTTTTCAGAACGCCTGCAAAACGCAAGTTAGGCAACTGGCTCGGCACCTTTTGCTGAAAATTTTGATTGGCTGCTTGGTTGATCGCGGTTGACTGGTTTCTGGCCACCAGTTATCGGTCACTTTATTGTGCATTGCGCGCGCAACCTTTATAATGCTATTGAATAGGGTTGATTGAGTTTGATTTGAGTGGCCGAAAACTGAAACACCGCAGCTGTTTCTATTCTAGTCCAATCAAATCCCTCCGGCCTCAACTTCAGGTTATGGCGCTCGCCTTTTGGGCCCTCGGTGGCCCACTTTCTGCCAAATTTTCTTATTTCCTGCTCTAAAATGTATGTAATTAGCTATATATTAATATTTTCCGACAACATTTTAATTTTTCTCTGTGCTTTTGCAGGAGGTGGCCTCGAATTTGGTCGCTGTTGGGCGCCGAAACACGTTCGAAACGGCGACTGCTGCTCGTCGTGAGCGTCTACGTGTGCCTGATGGGCCTTGTTTGGCTCGCTCAGGTCCCCCTGAGACCTTCATACAAAACGCAGATCCACAACAAACTCACAGACGCTCTGCAGCAGCAGCTGAAAAAGCCGGACAGACGCCCAGAGAAGCAATTTGAAGCCCTGCTCGCCGACCCAAAGGAAACGGGCCAGCAACCTGAAAAAGTTCTGACAGTGATTTTTAAAAGGTTGATTTGATAATAAAAAATATAAAAAAATCGAAATATGCCCTACATTCAAGCTTTGTGTAATTTATTCATATTTTTCTGAATCTGTAGCTAATATTGAATTAATTTAAAGCAATATTTTTAATCCAATTTAATTTTCAGAGTTGATGGTGATCAAGACAACCTGATCAGCTTGGTGGAGTTAGTGACATGGATAAACTCCAAAATCCAACACCACATATCCCAGTCACTGAGGGAAAATTTTGTAATTTTTACAATGGTCGACAGCAACCCCAGAAATGGTAACTTTTGAGGGAGAAATTTTATTTTGATAGTTTAGTAATGAATTTTTTTATTAGGTCTGATTTCCTGGGAGGAATACCACCATTATTTCCTAAAAAAACATGGCTTGAATGAGACCTACATAAAAAATCATGACAAAAAACACAGAGGATTAGTTCGTTCTATTAAAGGTTGAATTAAATTAATTTTTAAGTTTCAATGTTAATTTATAATTTTTTTATTGTAGAGACAATAATGAAGGAGAAAAGAGCGTGGTCTGAAGCAGCTCGTTCAGATCCGTCATACTTGAACGTGGATGAGTTCCTAGCATTTCGACACCCAGAGTCGAGTCACTCAACTATTGTGCAATTGGTGGAAGAGCTTCTGGACAAATTTGACCGGGACGGAGATGACACTCTCACAGAGACAGAGTACGCCAGTCTCAGGGCTGAAGGCGACCTCGAGCATGAAGCCGAAGAGCTTCGGCAGGGAGAGGGAGAAAGACGAGCCGAGTTTCGGACACTGATCGACAAAAACCACGATGGCAGAGCAGACAGAAATGAATTACTTGTAATAAAATTGCATATCTTTATATCCTGCTATTTCTTTAATTATTTTTATAAACTAGGTATATATTGATCCAAGAAATCCAAGGCACGCCAGAGACGAGGCTGAGACGTTGGTCATGTTGGCCGACACCAACAAGGACGGCTTTTTATCTCTCCCTGAAATCCTCAACAAGATGGACCTATTCCTCTCAAGCAAAATGGTCAACGCAGCTAAAAGTTTCCACGACGACTTCTAAAATATCTGAATTGGTTTTGTCTTTTTTGTGCAGATAAAAGTATAATACTGAATGTGAAAACCTTCAAAGACCGACCAAGCCTGATTCAGAGATGGCCTGATAGTCGCTTTCCGCCAGCTCTGAAAAACCCTCTTTAAATCAGCCGTGCCATTTATTACGTAACAAATCACGTTGCTTCCATTTTTAATGTCATTGCAGCATTCCTAAATAATTAATACTCATCCATGTGAGATTTCTATTGTTAGTTTTGATGTTTTAAAGTTGTAAAAATGTGCAATCTAAGTCGGTGACAATTTACTTGTGTCAGGAGACGATCGATTTAGATTTCAAAAGTTTGTGGCTATACAAAATATCTTGTGTATGTATACAAGTACTTAAAAAACAAAACGTTTATTGTTCTACTGGTGGTTTTGGCCTTACTGGCCTATATTTCAAAAGCCATTTGTTTAGATTGCAATTTATTCCATTCTTGTGATTTTTAGCATTTTTTATGCCATGAGCATTTTTATGTGATATAATATTATATTATTTCCCATGTGTATACTTAAAATACTCATCAATTATTAATGTTCAACTTTTGGTTGTGATCACATTTTTAATAAAATTTTCCAGCTTTGAAATTCTGTTTTTAATTCTATATTAAACTTAAGATTCAGTCTCGGAACATACTTTGATTAGTCTTTAGCAAAAAATACATCTTATTTGGGAGTATAGAAGATTTGATTGTGAGACTGATCGTGAAAAACAGCACTTTCACTTGCATCTAGAGCGGTGACCATCAGCTCGTCGTCCTCATAGCAAGTTTCAAAATGAGAAGAGTGAGACAGTGGAGATATTCCAAGGTGAAGGGTGCCAAAAGCAGGGGTGAGTGAACTTGTCCCAGGCTGGGCTGACACTACTACAGTGGGTGTCCTTTCACCATCTGAATTAAATTTTGAGAAAAATGAAATGCGTAAATTATATGGTAAAAATTACCAGAAATTTTCTTCTGAGCCATCTGAGGTGATTCAAGGGGATATCTCCTTTTTGGAGTACTCAACGGAGAATTTTGCTGGGACCTCATAGCAGCAGGCAGTGGACTTTTCGGAGCTTGAGCCGAGTCTCGGTTGAGGAATTTGAGTCCAGGAGGCACTAACCTGAATTTGAAATTGGTTTTAGAATATAAACATGAAAATTTAAATCTTTTACCCTGACGGCGCAGATTGGAGGTGAGCAAAAGCCTTGTGGACGAACAGCTCGAGCTTGTTGGTGAGCAAGACTCCGCATCGAGGGTGGCAGCAGATCAGAGGCAGGTGGACTTCGAGGTGGCACAGGATCTCCTCGACCTCATAGGTCTTCACGCTGCACAGGGGGCAACTCATTCTGGGCGGGTGCGCCTCTCGTTCGTGCATCTGGCATCTCGCCACGGTGCAAAACACCCTTTTGCATGTTCGGCAGGTGTGCTAAAAAAGAAAAAATATTATTTTATTGTGACAAATAATTCATTTAAAAGATACTCTGCTTTAAAAGCGAAAAATTCAAATGTTTTTCTTATTGCTACAAATAATACAATGAAACAATTTTTAGAGATGGGATTTAATCCACAAAATTAAGAAATAACACCAAAATAATATAGACAATAATCAACCATTTATAAACTTACCCCTTCTGGAAAAGGCCACACCATTTTAAGGAATTTTCTTTATTAAATCTGATTAAATCGAATAAATCAGAGAGACACTGCAAGATTTCAAGGATTAGCTGCTGTGGCAAGAGCTCCAAGTCCAAAAATTCTCCCTGCTTATTTCGCGCAGAATCTGCTGTGAAAAGCAACAAACCTTGGAAATGCATGCGCGCGTGTGAAGTGTGTGAATTTTGCGCCGACTTGCATTCGTGTCAAGAGTAAGACGAGTCTGCTGTCTGCTTTATGTGTTTGATCTGTTCAGCATTCCTTTTCGCGATCCTATCATTCTTGGCGGCATTATTGCAATTCTCTCTGAAAGTAATGAAATATTTCACGAAAATTTTTGTTTTTGGCAATATAGTTCGATCCAACAATTATAATTGGAATGAAGCCTTAAGAAAAATAAAAATAGCAATAAAAATGTTTCTTTCTATTATTATGTGAAGGCTTTGATGTATAAGCACTTAGAATTAAACATTTTTATTTATCCAATAAAACCAACAACCTGTTATAATATTCTGATGCAAATAAGTTAAATTAATTTCTAACACTTTCATTATCTCTTAAAAATTTGTCATAATTCTTTTTTTATTCTCTATTATATACTGTAATTTTGATCTAATTGTAAGCATTTTTATTTTTTACAAGAACATAAAAAAATTTCATAAATATTTCACGTTTGTTACAAAATTATTGAAAATTATCTTGTAAAAACCAGATAATCCCGGATTTGTTTCTGCAATTTAATGAATGCATATTTTTTCTTCAGTTGGAGGTTGGAACATCTATAAAAATTTAAATTTTGATATTAATTGCACTGCGACGTGTCCACTCAGATAGACGTACAACAATTTTTGACTGATCGTTTTTTTCCCTTTAATATTCAATAATAATGCTGGACCACAAAGAAGCATAGCAACCCTAAGACAGCGGATTATAGAGCGAAGGGTAAATGATGTGGCTCGAGCACAATGGAACTTAGGCAACCCGCAAAACTCGCCTTTTTCGCACGCCCGTTCATTTTCTTTTGTATATTATTTTTTTTCTCTCTCTCTCTCGGTGGATTACGCGGCCGGACGCGAAATCCCCTTGGACTTTGTGTCTGCTGGATGCGAGGAAGAGATCATCATTTCTTTTGGAATTGCGGTGTATAAAAACCACTCGCATGTCAAAGCTGTCAGCTTTGAAGGATTTTCCGATAGCGAAAGGGGATGAATTTTGTGAGCGAGTGGCCGCCGTTGGCGAGTTTGCTTGATATAACGCAGGGACTAGAGTGAAATCCAATATAAAAATCAATCTCATCAATCACTCTTGAAAAGCTTTTGAATTGATCTATAAAAGCGTTGACTAGCCAAGAGTTCCTAACATTTATCAATACAAAAATTAATTTAATGCTGAAATGAATACCTAACTTCAGTACTTTAAAAATTCCATCACTTTTAGAATTTATAATTATTTTTCAAGCCTAGGCTTGTAAAAATAATTATAAAGCTTTCAGTACTTTAACCTTTTTTATTAAAATTTCAAATAGCAATATGATACAAGTAAAAACTTTAGCGGCGTAAAAAAAATCCTTATTTACGATTAATTTTAGTTGCTCTTATTGGGCTCATGTTTAGTTACTTGGTATAAAAACATTTGTGGGCTTTTTCTATCCCCAAGCTTTTAATGAACCGAAATTCATCACCCGGGGGTGCGATGTGTGAGACAGAAAGACAAATCGGGGGTGCATCAATTATCGTGATTGGATTAAAGAGGCGACTCCCTTATCCCATCTGCGTTCAGACATTAGCGCACAAATGTCTAATGTAATTGTGACAAGTTCTCTGATCGTGTGACGAAGATTTAGCGGGCATCACTTGGGACTTAGCTTTTTATAGAGGTTTTGGTTATTTGCAAAAAAGAATGAGGTTGCATTGTTAAAATAATAAAAATAATTACGTAAAATGTTGGGTTAAAAATTACTTTTATCATAAAAAAGATGAATTTTAATAAGAATTTATCGGAATTTATTAACAAATATTATTTTCATATAAAGAAAGCTGGATTTTTTTATTTAGATAGCCGAGCTCTATTAAAAAAAAAAAATTTTTCTTCTACAATTTTATTTTTTGTTTCAGAGGAGAAGGGAAATTTGCAAGTCATGACAATTCCATAAGCCCTTTATGAAGTTTGAAATTAATATGCAAGAGCGTGTCGGCAGATGAGCCAAAATTCCTAATCCAGAGAGCAACTGCGGGTTGCAGCATATTCGGTCCTCCAGGGATCAATTGTATTGCAATCAACGCAGAAAGCTGGCCGATCACCGCCTGCTCGCCGTCTGCCATGAGGAGACTCTAAATACCATTATTATTATGACAAATGTGTTTGCATTTGTATCCATCAGGCGAGAGGAAAGGGATGTTTTGCACACCGTCGAGACAAGCGAGGGTGCGGCGCGTCGGACACACACACATTTATCTCCCTCGGCTCTGTCGCGTTGCCAAATTAATCCTGTGGGTTTGGTGGACAAAAACTTGCCGAGCTCCGGTTGCACTGCAAAATCTCCCGTTCATCATTTTATATAATGTATTCGACCAACAATATTAATTATATAATTCCAAACTTCAAATTTGATTTATTATATGGCAAATTTTTCTATTTAATTTCACCAAATTACTTTCTTTAAATATTTAAATGTATTTAAATATTAGAAAAGTAGTTAAAATAATTTTATATTCAAACAAAAAAATTTGATTCAAAATAATTTTGGTGCCTTCGAAGTGCTGCTACCCACCGGAGCACCAGCGAAGCGCAGCCCGTCGTGCTTTGAAACTCGAGACAGCACCATGGGCTGGGTCTCTATTGTAGCAAAACCCCTGCCTGCGCCGAGCGAGCCGGAGATAAACCCATTTTTGATTAATGCACTTCAATTTTTCACCGGGCGGCCTCCGCAGCAGGAACCAGATGCAGAAATTCATCATCCGGGGCGGCCCACACCACCCCGAGGAAAAGCTTTTATCCTCTATTAAAGAGCAAAAAAATTCACACAAAAATGTTCAAAGTTACACAAACACACACTATTATGCATTATGTCAAATTTTGGAAAAATTGTTTTAAATTATGTTTCAAAATAATTTAAGTACTGCATATCCGTAAAAAAATAACCAAACTGATACAAAACAATATATTTTTTTAATACTTTTTTTGTCATTGACGACTTGTTTAGTGAAGATCCGAATAAAAAAAAGCAATTTTAATTTAAATCTTTATATAAAACAAATTTTTCACTTCAAAATAAATTCTTTTGAGAGATTATATTGTTGTAAAATATGATGTACGCAAAAAGAGTAATTATAAAAATAATTTTGACACTTTGAAAGAATAAATTAAGATTTCATGATTTCATTAGATAACGATATCATTATTATGCTAAAATAAACATCTTTTTTGTTGTAATTTGTGATTATTCTCTTAGTGAATAATTTAATTAAAAATTTTGTTTATATAAACCTTTTTCAGAGAAATTTTTATTCATTTTGCTTTGTTCATTAAAAATTTTTTATATGCATATTCAGCTATTTTGGAAATAGCCCAAAAGTATTGTGATATACATGCGCATCTTCTTTGGGTACTGCGCATTATTAGATTTTGCAGCAGAAGGATTTTTTTATAAGAAAAATAAACATTACATAATATTTTTATTAATTTGATAATTTTTGCAATAAAAATCTCATCCAACCCTCTCTTGCCATTGAAATTTGCAAAGCTTAAATATTGCTTCTCCTTTCAATCCACGTTCGCAGGTTCATCATAAAGTTAAAACAGAAACCATACCGCGTGAACGTAAATGATGATAATTTTTGGCGCCCTGGTCTGATTATCCAAACGCCCGCTGAAATTCCTGTGATTCTCCTCTTTCCTTCTTTCCCGCCCGTGCCCAATTCGACCTTGCCTTTGATTGGCTGAGAAGCGAGAGACAATTGCAACGATGCACACACGATTGTAGTTTCCCTCCAATTCACTTTGTGTATGTACAATCATGATGTGCGGATTTTTGACATTTTCAGTGCATTTTGGACAGTTTTGGAACCGAATTTCAATCCTCGGGACACTAATATCGTGCACATCGTTGGCGGACGTTTCATTTAGTGTCATTATTCGTGAAAAACGACCTCAACGACCTGCAGATGAGACGGCACTGGGCAGTGAAGAAGAGGACCAGGAGATTGGGAAATCCGGAATGGACACTCGTTGCTGAAGATCTCTCATCTCCCAGGCTGGATAAATGGAACCAGGAAACCTTCAGGATGCGTTTGTAGCTGAAAAAGGTAGGATTTCTAATCTATTAAAACGGATAATGTAAGATTTTAAGGATTTTACCATTGGAACTTCGAAAAGGGCAGGACGGCCTGCAATACTGGCATTTATTTATTTTATTTTTTCATTTTAACATGTCCTATAGGATGAATAGAAATCGTTGTTTGAGTTGGAAACTTTTCGGATAGGGAAAGGGAATTAAATAGAATTAAAATTAAAATGTTACATAATTGAAAAATACAACACGTGTCCCCCTAGCGGCCTAGCGGCTTTTGTTCAAATATAGATGTTTTTTTTTTGGGCTTGTTCTCATTTATGGAAAATTATTGAAATTTGGGGAAAAATTTAACATTAAAACTATTAAAAAACGTTTGTTCGGAAGCTCTAGTAATTATAACTTTTAGTTTTTATGTGAATTTTTGGATTTTTTTCTTAATTTATTGGCACAATAAGAGATACGGTTGAATGTAAAATAATATGTTGACTGATTGCACCTAAAATTTTAATAATACTAAATAAGATATAAAAATTATACTGTCATATTTTTATTGAAATGTTATTATATTAATACAAAATTTCTCAGTTGAATAGTTTCTTCAAGCGCATATTTTTAAAAATTGAAAATTAAAATTTATATTTTAGCAACGTGAAAACAATTACAAAAGATACGAGTTGTTTCTAATATTTTTGAATCACAAATTTTTGCAGTACTTAGCAAGTCTTTTGCCTCAGGGCCTTTGTCAATTTTAGTTACAGTAGTTTTTTTCCACTTCTTTTTATAGTTTGTCGGGCATACTTTGCGATTGCTTTTGTCTGGCACGGAAATCAATTTGAGGCAGAGTAAAAAAATCGGAAAAAAAGAAACCCTTCTTCTTCTTCTTCGAACTCTTTCGGCGCGGCTCGTTGTGAAGTTCTACTTGACTTGCCACCATATAGCTCTCTCGGACGGGGGCAGCTGCTCTTTGAGTCTTTTCTGTGTACGTGTGTACCCTAATAACTGAGAGAGAGAGAAGAGCAGCCGGCAGGTTTGCTCGAGCGGAATCAATTAGTAACAGCACCGCGGTGACCAGTGGACCCTGCACTGGTCGCATGCATGCTTGGCGCTCGATCACCTCTCGATCTGCTCTCACCCCTGTCCCATTTTTTATGAAAAGGCTGGAAAAGCATGCAAAAGTGTAATTCGTATCAGAAAGGCAGAAAATTTAAGAGGGAAAAATAAAAATTACAAAAAAAAACAATAAAATACAATTAATTATGATTTGTATTTATTGTTTTTTGTAACAGTTTTACTCAAAATTAATCTAATTAATAGAAAAATCTGTACAACATGATCTGTGTAATATAAAAATTTTTAATTTTAGGAACAAAAACTGAAAAATTAATGCTGATTGAAATTTTAATCTTTTTAAAGTACAGTTATTTAAAAACACTTAATATGGAGTAATTTAAGTAATATATTTATTCTCTATTCATGGAACATTACATCGAAAAAAAAATACACTAAAAAAAACCTTTAATGGTGGTGCAGAAGGCAGCGCCCGGTTGATCTTAAATTTTTCTCTTTGGGCTTTAAATTAAAACCATTCTTCTTTGATTTTAAAACAATATCATCCTTAATTTGATGGTCCGCACGAAGATGTAAAAAGCTGTAAAAATTTAAAAAGGAAAGATTTATTTTATTTTACATATTTATTAATTTTTTTTTTTTAGCATGTGGATGGGGTCTTTTTGATCTCGGAAGTTTTAGAAAAATTCTTGCTAGTGGTGGTGCCGTTTTATTCAACAGTTCCTTTTTTTAATTAATTTGTTATCAACAATTGAATTAATGTCAAACATTGTATTTGCAACCGTGTGGACAAATAAATTCCAATTGTTTGCCAATAATTGCAAAAAATGGTTCCTATTGTTCATATTGTTATTAAAACTTGATTTTATTGTGGCAATAAGGAGTTCTCAAATAGCTCAAATATATAGAAACTAATTACAAGTTTAATAACGGAGTTATTGATTGGTTTTCTTTACTTGTATCCCAAACTTTATTTCGTTTTCAAATAAAAAAATCCATATATTTTGAACTTAAAACTGAAAGTAAATTACAGATTGAAAGTAATTTAAAAAAAACTTTCCCCATTGGAACAGCAATTAGCTTTTTAACCGTGAACATATAATATTTTTTACAGCCTTTCAACATGTGAAAGAAAAACTGACTGTCTATAAGGCTGAATGGGCTCTTGTTTGTGCGGTTGATTGACTCTCCGTCGCGGTTTTGTATGGTCGTTGGTCACAAGCGAATAGCGCTGAGAAAATTAAAAGCCAAACTATTCATTCTAACTTTTATTCATGTCACCTGCAGCAAAAAAAAAAAACTTCAAAGCGAGAATGAATGCATTCAATTTGTATAGTTTTTACTTAACCACTTTTATTTTTATTCTTTTTTACCGAATAAAAGTCATAAAATTTTTAACGTTTCCTCTGTATAGGCATCTTCTCAAGTACGGGAAGAAAATTTATGACTCGAGAGAAGCGCTTTTTCGTATAATCTTGAGGTGAAATCATGCGATATTATATTTCAATCCTTCTCCTTTCTGCACCACACGTTTGTAACAAAAAAAACGATCCTCTTCCACTCTCGAAAACAGATATCGCAATAATAATGGGAAAAATCACATCTCGTCCCTCTATTTTATTGCTCGCCGCCTAGCATTTATTACGAGAGAGTCAAAATGAAACTTTATCCGAGGAGGACACATATTTCGCTCGCTCTTCGGGCTCGTCATCGATTACTTATTCCTCGCCGCGGCAAATGCGAAATCACCCGAGAGTGCTAAATTATTGGTCGGATGACGCAGCCGGTAAAAAGTTTTTTTTTACACTCTTCCTAAGTGCTAAAAGTTATTGAACTGTTCCATTATGTATGCTGCGTCTAACAGCAATTTAAAGAAAACGGCATAAGTAATATTGGATAATAATTTATTCACTGTTAAGCGTAAACCACTTTTGAAAATAATATCGTTGCTCTTCATAAATATTTGCAATTTGCAACAGCAGACATTATAAACTCTAAACTTTTGTATAATTTAATTCAATTACTAGTGAAATTAGAGATAAATTAAAGTTCTTTAATTTTCAATTTTCAAATAATGTGGCTTTAATTACCATTACAATTACACATTTTACGTAAAAAAATATTGAGTTAAATGTTTTAAAATAAAAATATTAAATATTTATATTATTTTATCATAAAGACTTCTTATCAAAGTCAAAAGTTAACAACAATAGAAGCCATTTTTGACAATCTGAATCAACAACTATTGGACAAATTAGAAATTTTGAACACTTTATAAAAGATTTTTTTACTTTTACAATCAAGGAGTCCTTTGAATAGCAAAGCAGGCCACATATTCTGGCTAAAGTGATTCCATTCATTCAATATTTCCCTGTCAATAATAAATTATTTATATTTTATTTTAAAAATTGGGCAACTAAACTGCAATAATGGAAGGCATTTAAAAAAATGAGGCATTCTTCTTAATTAAAAAACTTGAATTTTAATATTTTTTATAAATTTTATATGATTTTATATAAAATAATTTCTGAATTATTTCTTTATAATTATTATATTCATGTGGGTGTAAATCAGACATTTTTGTTTTGGTCCTTGCTTTTAATATTGTAATATCAGTGAAGTCCACTTAAATTTTTTACTACCAATAATTCATGATAAAAATTATTTAACTGTGAAGTGAAAAAAGCACCTGGTGTGTGCAAATGGCAATAATAATAAAGCTGGCGGGTTTAGAGTCTAATTTAATATTTTCGTCCTTAATTAACAGCATTTTATCGTGTCATAAACTATAAAAGAATGAATAAAAATTCTGGAAGGTGATTGAACTTTTCCCAGTACAGACCGGAATATATATAAAAAAATATGTATATTTCTCAATCTCGACTTTCGCCTTCTTTGGGCTGCACTTTGCTCTCTCTCACATTAATCACACCGAAATTATGATCGACATGCTTTTTCACTTACGAAAACAACCTGCTGCCGAAGCGGAGTAATTATACCGCACGTACGAGAGATGGACATGCCGCTCATTTTAGGTCCATCTATAATTTCCCGAGAGGAGGCTTGATCGAGGGAACGAAAAATGCGTAATAAATTAAGCGCGGATAAGAGCGGAATAAAAATTAGGACTGCCTCCTGATTTTTCGTGAGCTCGGCCGTCAGCAGCTTACGGACGGAAAGACGGACACTGATGCTCGGTGAACTGAAAAAAAGAAGCGAAAACCGGTCCTGCGTGCTGCAAGTATAAATTCGCTTTTATACGTCCATAATAGAATCCTCTTCTTTATATGCCCGCTGTACAAGCATTAAAAGTCAAAGCAAATTGCCCATAAAAATTATAATCATGATGTGAAAAGTGGAGACTTTTCAATAATAAAAAAAAAGAACGAGCAAAGGACGTGCCTGACCGAGAAAAGCAGCTGCCCAGGAATTTACGATGCGCCAAACGATCTTCGCCCGTTTCGGTTCCAAAGAAGAATGCGAGCGCCCGATTGTCTTCAATTGCAGACAGTCCCGTCTTGCATGAAAGCTCGAGAATTGCAAAGTTGTTGTCCGACGCGCAGTAATAGCGGCTAATGGGCGCAATAAAAATGCTAATTTATATTAATTTTGCACTTTTACGGTCTACGGAGCATTCTGGATTTTGTTGCTGAATTGCCCCGTGCTGTGAGAGATCAAGAGGATGTGAATGGAAAATATTTCATGACTTTTTTTAATTGGTGGCAAAAAAAAAAACGTTAAATTTAAATTACTGAACAGAATGGCAATAATTTTATCCCGCCAAGAATTTACTTTTAAGGACGGTTGAATTTGAATTTTATTTTATTTAAAAAGAAATCATACAAAATATTAATCACTAACTTTAACTTTAAATTTTTTTTAATTAATTAAATGAAATGCAGCTCTTTTAACCCAAAATCCAACACCATGAATTCTGCAATTTAC